AGTCAAATCGGTTGGAAAAATCAGAAGTTATGAATTTTTGCGCAGCGCAAGAACTTTTGGGACGATCCATACAGTGTGTTGGCTTCTATGGGTCACCGGAGCAAATGATTTTTAGAGCCGGGAAGAAAAAAAGCCCTAACATGCTTTATACTATTCGAAAGCTGAGATCATGGAGAATCGACGTAGACTGTCGACTTTCTTCTAGGTCTTCTGTGCCGCGAGATATGAAGGATTTTATGTACTTTAAAAACCAACTGCTTTTTTGTCCTCACTTTCTGCTCTCCACTGGATGCTACGAGGATAAATCCATATATATATATATATAAAACTCAATGTTTGTGAGGATGTTCGTTTAGTTGTCGTTCGTTATAGAAACGCGCGCCACTGAACCGATCCGGCTGAAACTTCGCGCAAGTATATTTTCGACCCCGGCGGTGGTTTAGAGCTACTTTCGGCGGCGATTCGCCGGGCCATTCTATCGATTTATTGATTTGTTTACTCAAACCTGAGAAAATGAAGGGCCATCATGGCAACCGATCATTTTTACATATAAGCATGTAAGAAGGGGCGGTGAAGTCCATTTCAGTTTTAAAGTTGGTAGGGTGCGGCAATTAGTCTGAAAGCGTATTATGCGCATGTTAGAAGAAATATAGAGGCGTGAGTTCTGTTGGCTTAACTAATTTGAAGTCTCGGGTGAGACCGGGGCCACCAGCTAGTTAATAATATAAATAAACATAAATGCCGTTTTTTTTGTAAATTTATGAGTGTACTTGTTGTTTGAGGTACTAAGCCTGCAAAACCTTTTGATAACGATTTTTCTCATATTCTCAGACTACAATACCAATCACAGCCCAGGTGAAGGGGGTCATCGGGAGTTTGGCCTCAAAGGGAAGGGGGTAAGATCCATCACTCCCCCTATCGCAACTATGCTCGGCACTCGGCAGGCATAGAGACGCGCAGCACGGTGGAGAAGACTTCGATGTCAAACGCAAAATTCTTGCGTATGAAACAGAGATCTCGGCTAGAAAAGCTTTGGAAGCATTCTGGATTGCTAGCAAGAATCCTAAGATGAACAATAAGAACGAGTGTTTATCAATAACTAGTGACTTCCTCCCGTTCGTATCGTTATGTGATCTATAACTGTAGATCATCTTGGTCCCTACAGTATGATTCACTCGTCTGCCGCAACTGCCTTTTTCCTTCTTTTTTTGTGCAAACTACTCGAGTTACAGTAGTCTTCCGGTATGTCCTCTACACCGACATTTTATTTGGTAGCGAGATTGTGAGAAAGTCGAAAACTAGCAGAGCTGGAGGAAACGCTTGGTGGTCTGGAATTACGGATGACACTTAGAAGCATTCAGGCTTCTGAGGAAGACGAAAGGCGTCGAAATGTAAGGCCGTGATTGGAAGAAATAAAAACCACTTCTCAAACCTGTACGGCACAAAAGAAATTTGTCTTAGAATCTTTTTCCACGAAATGTGGCGTTTATTTAAAAAGAATGACGCTACTTTCAAAACGACCTAATATTTAACAAGCGTTTTCCAAAATTTCCCAAAAATTCGAATATTCAAATGAGCGATTTTCGCAACTAGACAAATAAATGATTATTCGGATAGACGTCTTTTTCACCTACTCGACTATTCGAATAATCGAATAAAATCGAATAACTTTCTCGAAAGTTCGACTATGAATATTCGAGGAAAGTAAATTAGATTATTATGTTAAATTGTTCGAATAAGAATATTCCAATAATCGCCACTGAGACGAGGGACTCAAGATGCAGGCTCTCCCTCCTATCACAAAAATCGGTATTACCCGATTAGCCACTCAAAATCCCATATTCACATTAAACTTTGCTAGGGCTATTCGACATGCTGAAAAAAAACTCATTGCGCAGGCTAGCGTTTCTGCGATTACGGTCTATATGATAGGTTAGAACATAAGTTGAAAATGCCGCAATCTAGCATGAGGGTGGGGACGGGGGGGGGGGGGAGGGGGAGAAAATGAGGCGCAGGTCACAATGATGGTACACGGTCTCTTTGAAGAAAATAACGTCAAACGTTGACTAAAGTTCCGCATTCGCGACGCTTGAGTTTGCGGCGCTTGGTCGCGCGTAAAGCGTTGCCGAAGAGACTGAAGAGAATGAAGAGAGGACAGACCACCTCTACCAAGTGTAGGCGTAGCGTAAAACCATAACTGCAGACTCGCATCATGCTAGCTCTGGTCTGGTAGGATTAGGACAGTGTATAGTGCCCGCGCCGCGTTTGCGACCGCTTAAGCATCGTTTAGACCGCAACGGTACTCGTCAATATTCGTCGAACCTGCCTGAACCCGTCCGAACCTGCCTTAACAAACCGTAATCTGCCAAACTAAGGAAGAGATATGCCCTTGAATCAGCATCTCAAAGCACGCGTGATACATGGGTGCATTGAAATACAAATTAGTGAGTGGTAGTAATTTGGTCGAAACCATCGAATGATGTGATGATTCAATCATGATTACATCGTGGTAAGCATGATCATCTTCTTACGGCCGTTCACTTCAATCGGTCATACAAAATTATGAAACATGCAAGTTACTTTCGGAAGACCATACTTGTTTCATGCTTGTTTCATTCTAAACCAAACTATGAATTAATCAGCAGGTTAACACCATTGTTTCCTTATCAGGTAGAGTAATGAAAACAGCATTTCATTTCATGAGACGCAGACGTGAAACCACCATATCTTATATTAGGTTGGTGCAAAAATAATGAGCGTTTTCCCATTTTTCACTTTGACTTGCTATAATTTTTCATAAAATATACATTTTGAAATGTAATAAAGACCATCAGATGCAATGAACCTTTCGCAGTACAGCGCACATTGAACTATACTCATATCTCATATAGGCAGAAAAATATGGATTGAAAAACAAAAAGAGTTTTTTTCTGAAGCCTTGTTTTTGACAGAACATAACTCCTTTCACACTTTGTTCTTATGATTTATAAGCAGCCTGTCTTGTAGCCGCAAGCCAGTAGTACAAAAATACATGGAAATGGCTTGAAGCAAAAAGATTAGCGAAGAGGGAAAAATCGAAATTCAAAAATATCAACTTTTTTAGCAATTTTCAGTAAGCCTCAAAACCCCGAAGTAGAGAATTTTTTAATTTTCTGCGTACTGAAAAGCTGGATGTTTTTGCAAAAACCGCTAATGGGACTCCTACCCTCACGCTTACAGAGTTGAGCAAAGTTTGAGCGACTGCTTTTTACAAAAGAAAGTTATGGGCTCTAAAATGACCACAACCAGTACCCATGTTAAGCCGCCGATATCTCACTTCAGATAACTTGAAAAAATGTGGTTGAATATGCGTAATGTAGACAATTTCCATTACATATAGCGGCTAGATTTTCGATAGATCATGTTCATTCGCGCTCAAACTCTGGCCAGAAAAATGAATGCAGCGAAAATCTAATTTTAAGTGCGATTATGTGAAGCTCTATGAATTCTTAACAGAGTGGGCTAGAAGTTCCTTTCGAACATCGTCAGATAGAGCATGAAAAGCGCTTTCTAACAATGTGCTGAAACCGTTAAAAAGAAAGACGTGTGATGGAGAAAAGCTGTCCTGAAAAAAGTCCTAGGAAAACGCTCATTATTTTTGCACCAACCTAATATATAGAGCTGAATGTCTGTTTGTCTGTCTGTCTGTCTGTCTGTCTGTCTGTCTGTATGTCTGTCTGTACGTATGTTCCGAATAGAAAATTCCATTTCTGAACCGATCGGGACCAAACTTGGCACACATACACTTTGGGCCCCGGCGGGTGTCACAGTCCACTTTTCGTTATCGATCGATGCCATTTTATCGATTTTTTGCAAAATTTGAGCTACGGGGCTGGGAGTTGGCACAGGGGGGTGATCAGCATGCTCGATTACACCCCCTTGCCAAATTCCAGCCCCCTAGCTCAAATTTTGCAAAAAATCGATAAAATCGGCATCGATCGATAACGAAAAGTGGACTGTGACACCCGCCGGGGCCCGAAGTGTATGTGTGCCAAGTTTGGTCGGGATCGGTTGAGAAATGGAATTTTCTATTCGGAACATACGGCGGAGCCGGGTAAGCCAGCTAGTCATAGTTTAAAATGAAAAAGTATCTCCGACCACTTTTTCGTTTAAAACAATGTTGTGTTGGTTTTACAAGTTAGGAAGAGTGAGGGAGATCAGTCTGCAACTTACTATGTGAAAGCTTACTTGTTTACAGCTTAGATAAGGTTATGGGAAGATGCAAGGCTGAAAACCGAACTGCAAATTTGGCAAAGTGCAATGAAGGCGGTCAAGCATGAGAATGATTGGAAGTTCGGTCCCTTCTATGACTTTGCTTTGCACGATAGCATTTCGAGGTTTCCTATTGGTTAATTCGTGGTTTCGTTGGGAAAATGATGTGAAGCTGCTGGTTAGCTGGTGTCATGAAAACACAGTTAACATGATGGTTTCGACCAAATTACTACCACTCAGTTACAAGTACAGCCTTTTTCAACCTGGAGTGGAAATTATAAGTGGAGGTGCGCGTCCGCACCGCCATTGACTCAGCAAGATAGATTAGAATGAAGAGACGCAGACTGCAAAGCGCGAATCGTTGCGAAGCGGAGCCAGTCCAATTTCCGCCTAATCTGAGTTGAAACTTATTATAACTCGATGGCATATCACCTTCGTTTCCCTCATTTGGCAGGTTTCGGTGGGTCCGGTGGGTTCAGGCAAGTACGGACAGGTTCAGGCGGTTTGAGCGCGGTCTAAACGATGCCTAATTTAGCGATTCAAGTGGATTCGGACGGGCGGCGGATAGATTGCCCTAGCTCAGTATGCGACCTCCGTCCAGGAGAGGTTATGCACTCGTAACCAAAATCTGAGCGAATGCACGCGCAGCTGAGGAAAGACTGGGGAAAGGGTATTATTTTGAGATTGTAACATACAATGTTCTCAAATTTACTGAAGTTATAGCAAGAATTTATATATCATTTGTTTAGACTTTTCAAGACAATTACGGACATACAATTTGGACGGGCAACACGTTCAGGCTGGACGGTCGACGTTTGTTAAACACAATGAGCAGATTACAGTATCTGTACGCACGATATTCAACTGATATAATTAGAGTGAGACTATTGGTATTTTAGTGTCAATTTGATGATGCAAATGAGTTGCCTTGTACTTTAGTATAGGAACATTGTCCTTGCCTCAGTCCCTACCAACAGTTCGTGCTATAAGTGAGATAGTTGCCTAACTAGAAATTTGCCTAAATCTACTGCTATACCTCACTTGTAACCGATACAGACTGGTTCCCGGAGCGAGAGAAACAAATATGGTCATTACACGCGGAGTCCGGACTAATGCCCCTCATAGAGTAAGGCTAGCATGTGAAAGGAAAAGTATTTTGCGAAGGCGGCGCCAAGTAGAGAAATGTGATTCTATGATACGCGACGTCTCCACGGAATACCGTTGCTTTCGCGCATTCTGCAGATACCAGTAGTCTCGGAGAGGACAACTAGCAGATTTTTTTCCCTCTGCAGCGGCGCCTACCAACGGTCTTCTTGATTCCAACCTTAAAGCAAAACAATACACTAAACATCGCGCATTCGGCATTTGACGTCGCGTACGCAGCATTCAACGCGACTCTACAAGTATCGTCGAATCATGACGCGCAAAGACTGGGCGCCGTTGCGTCCGACGAAGATAGTTTGTGCATAGGAGAGACAGTAGACGGTAAGGGGAACGAAATAGCGCCCGATCATGGAGACGCCGAGATGTCCGCAGTCTCTGCGTGCCATGAATCGCCTATAGCTTAGTCGTCGTAGGCTGTTCAACATAGCGCCACAGAAATCTGGACACGTGGGGATTGCACGTAGAAACTGTTCTTAGAGGCCAAACGGCTCTGCTTAGAGGCACCGTCCAGCAGAATCTCGACTTCTATTTTTTTTGCCTAATTCAAGCCTTTTCATGGCGCCGATTCCAAATAACAGCACTCTGCTTGAATTCCTCAAAAAACTCCATTTTTGAGACAATTTCATAAGAACCGTGTTCGAGTGCTCCTAATACCATCCCTGTCGGAAGCAAACACTAACATGTAGAAACTATGTGTTTGATTGTGTTTGCCACGTGAAGACACGTCAAGGGCTGGGGAGAGTCCGCTCAAGGGGGCGGGCGGTGCGAGGGAGTGGGCGTGGTCCCGACGCTCGACCTTTCCTGCTCCGATCTTCTTCTGCAAGGGTGTTCGAAAGTCGGATTTGCGGATAATTCTAGATCGAGGCCGTAGTGCTCGGCGAAAATGTCCAGATCAGCCCGGACGCTGCGTTTGCGGCAGCACAGATGGTGCACTCGCAGCAAAAATGTACGTCCATAAACAAACACCACAACCGTACTGGCGGACGACTTCATCGGTTTGCATGCTGTTGCGTGAGACTCACAGCCGTTATGATGGGTCCCGCGTGAAACCCTTCAAGCCTATGCAAGTCGTCCGCTAAACACAGTACTGGGGAAAGATGCCTGGACGGTGCTTCAATGCCGCACCATTAGTGTCATTTATAGAAAACAGTTCACAGAAAAGGGGGTATCGCATTTGCCCAAAGTTAGAAGTTAATGACGTCCCTCATCGCTTACGTCTCTTGAAATTATGAAGCAGTGTGTGTGCAAAAAGATCGAAGACACTTCTGTAGCCAGCTATGGTTTACTGCCGACGAAAGCGCAGGTCCAAGAACGTGAACGCGGTTCTAGAAGCAGAGTGCAAGGGGCGCCGAGTCCAACAACGGCGAAAATACCATCGGCTCCACGATTGCCGCGAGCGTGGACTCGGGCGAGCATATCAGCGATACGGTTGCCCTGTGTTGGGACATAGCTTGTAAATTGATTATCGGTTGACCATCGCGACCGCCCTCGCAGCAAGCGGGGGGCCGATGGTACGTGCGGGACGCGTGCGCAACTAATATTGCTATTACGCCTTCGTCCGGCAAATCCTGTTACGCAGCCATTCTGATACCCGCAGACGAGCTTGCGATTCTCCCTGACCCGTCATAGAAAGCATGCCGCAATCTCAAGCACTCGCTGCGGCCGCGCGCGCGCCATAGCGCTACAGTGCGAGCGGCGCGTTGTGGTTGAAGCTGCAGTGCGAGCGGCGCGCCATAGTTGAGGCTGCAATGCGAGCGGCGTGCCATCAGTCGCAGCCGACTAGCGGCGCGCCTTATCACGGCCGGCGGCGCACTTAAAGGCTATTGCATGACGAAGACGCAGAAGCGGTATTAGTTGACCCGACGCAAACGCGGCGCGCGCATATCCTCACCGTTGTAAATCCTGCGCCTCATGCGCTCCGCGGCTAATAAAGCCGCGTTCGCGCCCGAAAGTTTTGCGCCTTCGTCATGCAGCAGCCTATACTTAGACCTCTGCGCGGCAGCGCGCGCGCCACAATATTTATTACTGTAGTGCAAGCGGCCGCCCTAATTGGGACTGCGAGCGGCGTGCCATAATGTCTTCCGCATCACACGCTGTAAGCACAAGTGATACCCGCGTGAAGTACGACGCAGTGTTTTGGGTGCTTCATCGTTCAATGAGGCTATCGCTGCTTCGCAATGGAGTTGTCTCATTAACACAAGTGGGGTTCTCCCACTGAGAGTCAGTCTCCATTAGCATTGCGAGTAGGTGCCGAGTTTGAATTCTTAATTTTAGAAATTTAAGTTTTCAAACCCAAGGTTTGGGAACTTCAAGTTTAAATTTGAGGAACTCAAAATCCAATTTTGATTGTTTGCCTGAAGTTGAAGGATTGTTATCAGGTCTACCTAGCAGATTCACCGTGATTCGCGCTGCTTCAAAGGCGAATGGGAATTTTCATACCATGCGAGCGGCGTGCCATTAGCGTGTGGCGCGCGTACCATTTACTCGCTCCACGCGCCATTTGACGGCCGGCGGCGGGGGACATGAGCGCCCGCGCGCATGTGCGCGCGCCGCCGCAGCGAGTGTCTGAGAGCAGGAGGGTCCCGCAAAGATTCTGCTTCTCTAAGGTAGGTACCAGAGTAAGCGAATTGTTCAGGTTGGGGTCCTGCGCAGAATTGACGTCACTTGGATCGCCAGCATGGGCTGACGTCCCCGACGAAATACACGTGTATCGATCGAAATGCTTGAGTGACGTCCATTCTGCGCGGGACCCCAACCTGAACAAAATATTCGCTTACTCTGGCACCTACCTAACCATGGCAAGACGCGCTCCACTCGTCCAAAAAAATTGAGGCCTTGGGAAATGGTGATTTTTGCCATTTTCGCGCTCTTCAAGGTGGATCTCCGGAATCAGCGCTTCGAATTACCCCAGGTAAGCAAAAAAATTGAAGTCGAAAATCTGCCGAGCCGCTGCCTTTAACAAAGAGATCGAAGTTGTCAGAGTTTGCAGTCCTCCGCTCTAGCACCAATCTGGTAAAACCTTTTGTTAGATGCACTAACGCATATCTCCAAGATACAAAAGTCGGATGGCTAGTACGACTTGAAATTAGTTTGTAGTTTCATGATTACTGCCAGATTCAAGAATTTATGTTTCCGTGTTGGAAATTTGTTATTGTATCATGACATCACAGTGTATGATGAATGAATGTGCGAAAAATACCACTCTTTGACCCAGATAGTCAATGCTCGTTTTCAGATCACACTAGGGGTGAACTTGTCTGCAAAAAATCTCAACTTCTGCCATTCATCGCTAAATTGTTGCAAAAACTCTTCAATTTTTCGAAGCTTCACCTGAAATCAAATGAAGAGGCTATCGTACTTGTTACGAGTTTGCATTTGACAATGGATGGCGATGGCAACACGATCAAGCGCAATCTGAAATAACGTTCTCCTTCGTGCCTGATATTCCCCTCTTGATTGACATCGCTTCAAGGTTGCTCAGCTAGACAGATTACCGATAAAGTAAATTAAAAATGAGAGCACTGTCGAAAAAACTGATGAAATGTACTAGGGTATTGACAGCATAGGACGACAATGCGGTACTGACAGAACGAACAGACAGGACGCCAATCGAATAGACGCCACCTGGCGTCTCTCCGACGGAGCGCACTTTTGCTACTCTGGTCGTCTGCTCTCTCGCGCGGTTCCTAGTGGGGATTTCTGGTAGTATTAGGTTGGTGCAAAAATAATGAGCGTTTTTATTTGCTTGCTTTAACAAAGCAACCAGACTCAACCCAACAAAGAGTAAGGGGTACTGTTCGATAGAGCAAAGCAAGCTCTATAAGATGGCACTTATGTCTTTACGCCATGGTCGATCCACCGAGAGTTCAAACTCAAAATCTAAAGATTTCCAAATGCCCAAAAAATCGAAAAAAAATCAGATCTTCGTCCAAATAATTTCTACGGACCTCCCACTCGCTCACATCAATACTATCGATATCTGATATCCATATGTGCAATTGCCGTATTTTTTCCTTGACTAGAAACTGAGAAAACGAAAATTTCCCTGATTTTCTCAAAGCAATGCTGAGCCGTTTTTGCATATGTAGTTCTATACTACAAACCTAGGTAAGCATAACTGAAGATTTTCAGCCCATTCCAAGCGGTGGTTTTCGAAAAATAGCGAATTCGGGTTTTTTCGTTTCAGTTCCAGTGCTAAAATCGACATTTCTCGAAAACTACAGCTTGGAATGGGCTGAAAATCTACAGTTATACTTACCTAGGCTTGTAGTATAGAACTACATATGCAAAAACGGCTCAGCATTGCTTTGAGAAAATCAGGGAAATTTTCGTTTTCTCAGTTTCTAGTCAAGGAAAAAATACGGCAATTGCACATATGGATATCAGATATCGATAGTATTGATATGAGCGAGTGGGAGGTCCGTAGAAATTATTTGGACGAAGATCTGATTTTTTTCGACTTTTTGGGCATTTGGAAATCTTTAGATTTTGAGTTCGAACTCTCCGTGGATCGAGCATGGCGCAAAGACTTGAGTGCCATCTTGTAGAGCTTGCTTTGCTCTATCGAACAGTACCCCTTACTCTTTGTTGGGTTGAGTCTGGTTGCTTTGTCAAATCAAGCAAATAAAAACGCTCATTATTTTTGCACCAACCTAATACAATGGCGTCCGTAAAGACTATAGTCTCTGCCCCAGCGTATCAATAATTCTAATCCGTCTGAGCTCAGGGTGCGGCATTTAACTGGACTGTTATGACATTCGTATGTAATATATAAAAAGTCTAGTTTCTGTTGAGGTAAGCGCAGTTAAGTTGTTTGTGTACTGTTCTATCCCACGAGGAGTTCTCAGTTGATGTTAGTGGTCAAGGGATGGGATGTGGTATTCTTCTATGTAAACTCATAGTAAATTTTGCAAGCATGCCGCTAAACTGCGCAAATTTAGACTTTACTGAATTCAATGGAGATCATTGAAGTAGGTAACACATAAACAAGCGAAAGAACCTACTTAACGAAATGCAAGGACTCACACTCATCATCATTTACTGATTCGAGCCGGATGATGGAAAGCAGACTTCCAAAAGTGAAGACGCACATTCATTTGCGACAAGCCACGCTGTCACAATTTCTTGTTAAAACTTGTTTTGTGGTGTGATGACATGACAAAATGAAGGCATCGCCGCTTGCTACAGTTTTTATGTTATATTATGTTATTTTGTTACAATGCCAAAGCAGAATTTCAACGAATCTTCCTTTTGCCAATGTGCTGATTGTGAAAGCCAATGATTCAGATTGCCAAAGCTGAGCCTAACAAGTTCGTGAAACGTCCAGGAAATGTTTTTTATTGTTTAATTATGGAGAATGCTTGATGGCTGGGGCACAAGAGCTGGCTGTAACTTTGAGAACTGGGCACCAGTTCGGCACCAGTTCGGTATCCCAAATTCGAAAAGGTTTCCGTTATTTTCTTTGAAAAATTTTAGACAGCCCCCCTCAGCTCTCTTCCAGCAGAAGTTCAGACAGTGACAAAATAGAATCGCCGAAACTAGCAGATTCGGGTAGTCGCCGATATCTCTCCCCCCCCCCCCTTTGCAGACAGCTGGTAGGGAGGTGTGATGTCTGTAAGGCCCTGGGCATACATACCTCTCGTGATTTCAGTCGCCACGCAATATAGCCATTTGCCTTTCTTCGAACTCAATACTCGCAGATCACGAATGCTTGGTGTACACAACTTCTGTGAGTCGTTAAAATGTGCTATTCTTGTGCTCAGGCTGAGCTCGCGACGAGTAGTAAGTAGCTGGAGTTGCCAAATCGCTCAAAACTGGGATGGCGTGAGGTATGCCTGAGGCCTGAAGCTAAGAGCTGCCTGGAACTACCGGGCATATGTCAAGAATAACGATAGCTGGCAATTGTGGCAAGACTAGATTTACATACCCACACATGTAAACACTGTGGACTAGAAAACCAATAAAATCTCCTAGTTTGTGTTCATGAGGTCCTCATCTCAGCCTTCGCGAACAAAGAAAAGAGGGGGGGGGGGAGGTGGGAAGGGGAAGGGAGCACAAATTACAATTGACAGACTCCATGTAGTGCAAGTTATCTTTATCCCATAACTTTACACTGTAGGTTTAACGAGTATCAATCAATAAGAGTTAGCTAATGTATATATCACAGTGATATAATAGTTACAGAGTAGAACAGCGCTGAACAGAATATGCATTGAGAGGGTGCGTTTCCAAAGAAATCGATGCTGCGTCATTAGAATGGCACCATAAATTTCTGGTAAGGTAAGCAATTCAAGACAAATAGAAGAATACCGAACACTGTGAAACATTCTATCAGACCTATACTCCTAACACCCAACTACACCGATCAAGACTAAAATTTAGCGTAAATCCAACCTGTACAGAAACACTGATTTAACATCGCAATACGACTAGAAACACATACGAAAAAAGTTAATACAACTAGTGTCAAGAGTCGGAAACACAACAGTAGTTCATCAGAGCGACCATCGAATCGAGATGCGATGTCTATCTTCGCAGTAAAGCAAGGAGAACAGCAGCAGCAAGTCCAATAATGGCAGTAAGGGATATCTGAAAGGATTCATGCATAGTAAACAATCAAATATGACTGTGTAGCTCGTTGTTAGATGTGTAACTCTTGGGTCGAACAAACAATTTCGCCCATATCTGATAATTAATGGAAAACTTGCGGACGAATGTGTGGAAGAAGAATCAGCTGTTGTACTCTGTTTGGAAAGGAGGAAATTCTTTATAACAAGCAGGTTCTAACAAACATGATATCCTTTCCAAATAGAGTAAAACCGCTGATTCTTCTTCACACTTGCGGACGAATGTGCGAAAGAAGAATCAGCTGTTGTACTCCGTTAGTAAAGAAGGAAATTCTTTATAACAAGCAGATTCTTTCTAACATGATATGTAATCTCCGGCCATTCATGCCTTTAAATTAGTAATATGAAAATCCATTTCACGCGCAAGAAACAGATTTTCAGATCTAAATTTGGAAAAATCTTGAATTGAGTAACAAACTGTAATTATTTCATTATTCTTTTTATTTCAAAGCAAAGAAACTCCTCAGCTGAGTACTTAGGAAGGCGTGCAAGTGGTACCCAAGCAGCCGCTACCGCAGCCAACCGCCAGTGCTGCCAGCACAGCCGCTGCAGATAGTACAGTAATTACGCTCGTCCTGTTGTTTAGAGATTTTCGGCACTCCTTCGCGCTGAGGTGCGATATCAGCCTCAGGATGACATGATATCCTCAATATTTTGAGGATCATGCAATCGAATACAAAACTATACAAGAGATTTTCCAATTTACAAACGATTGCAAAAATGAATAAATCGTAAATCAAGTTGTTTTTCTGTCAGATTTTGGTAACAGCATTCAATGACTGTTTATCCTATTTTACCAATTTTCCAGCAATTCCTTGAACGCTTCAGAATTTAAAGTGCGTTTTCGCTGAAGTGGTTATTATGAGTGGTTCTTTTCAATTTTGGTTTTTTTTTTCAGCTTTGAAAATTCTCGAGAATAGATGTGCAAGAATACAAGATGTACGACTGCATAGGCTACACGGTTAGCTTTGACCTTCTGTCCATCTGGACGCATGCAGTTGTGACCTAGCTGGCAGGACATTTACGGAACGCAGTAAAAAAAGTAGATTTTTAATTTTTATGATTTTTGGCGTTCTTGAAGGTACAGCAATTAAAGTGTGTTTTTGTTTTGTTTCTTGATCTATTTGATCCCGTGTTAACGTGACGAGAGGTTTGGGTTTTGATGTCATTAATTATTTATTTTCTCAAAAAAATATGTTTTAAATTTTCGACGTATGCTTAGACCTGAGGCTCTTTTTCGAATTCTTTGTGACCATTTCCTTGAAAAAAAAACACTGTGTAGCTTTTTATTTGTACAGTTCTCAGAAATTAATAAACTTGTTCGATGTTCCGTTAGATATATGTTCGAGTATCACGCTATTTCTCAGGCTGATATCGTACCCCAGCCCGACGAGGTGCAAGAAAACCTCTCAGCAAGTTTTAGGCGACGAACATAGTTTTTATATACGATCCGCAGCGACTTTGCCGACAGCTCTGCTGCTGGCTCCGCCAGCAGTCAGCTACCGCTTGCTACGCACCCAGTACTCACTACTTTTGTCCACCCACCGCTATGCAAAAAAGCGGCACTTCAAAAAAAACAATTTTCGAAGTGCTACACGTGGTAGTAATACCTTGTATTCTGACACTAAGATAATCGAGATTAATAATATATCGAGTATTCTAATCTCAAGATATTGAGAACTATCTATGCTTTGGTTGACAAAAAAGAGTTCTTCTCAAGTAAAAAAAAAGCCAAGCTCAGTGAAACCTGTTCGAAAACTATTAAGAAATTTCTAATCACAATCAGATAAAATTTATTTACAGCTAGCGAAGGTCATTCTCAGTCTATCACTGGGATTTGGGAGTGTTAGCGAATGAGACGAGGAAGGTCAGAAAAAGAAGTGGCAAAAATTCAAACAAACTTCAAGAGTCAAATCTAACAATAAGTCATATAAAAATTATAGTCGATATACCTATCCGACCCAAAGATGGTAAAAGTATTGCTGTAAATAAAAACAGCATATAGATGACTGATATAGCCTGCCTGTTGAATTACTTAGGCCCGCTCACTAACATACGCATTTTAGCACTGCAACCTCAGTGTCTTTATTCATTAGGTACATCAGCAGATATGCTACTATATCCTAAGAACAACCTTTGTCTAAGAAGATTCGAGATCACCAACCATGAGTTAATTAGGTAATTCGGCAATAAAGCTTTTTTCATTTCCATATATATCTGCGAGCAGAGCTCGAAATGTTTATAGAATGCTTACCGCCAACAGGCTTCGCTTCCGCGAACAACTGATAAAGACTATATTGTTTAAGGCTACTGCATGACGAAGGCGCAGAAGCAAAATTAGTTGAGCGGGCGCGAACGCGACCGCGTATCCTCACCATTGTACCCTTTGATTCAATGAAATTGGCGGCCGAGAAGGCTCAAACCCGCGACGCAGCCTGCGTTTCTCTCGCGAGCGTGCCCTTCTGATCATTCCCTAGCCTTGGTTAGGCCTCGAAGCCCCGCCTTCCAGCCGCCAATCCCGCTAAATCAGAAGGTAAACCAACGCCTCATGCACTCCGCGGCTGATAAAGCCGCGTTAGCGCCCGAAGATTCTGCGCCTTCGTCATGCAGCAGCTTATTGATATATATATATATATATTGAGTAGGCAAACATTCTCAAAGGTGCTTATCGATGGACTTTTTGTTGAGGACCGATATCTAGACAAATATCACGAACCTTATCACGAAATCGACGATGCTCAATTTCGTCTTCCAATTGGTACAATCTCGTCGATATACGACCTGAAAATATGAGAGCATAAGAGAACATCGAGGCATTAAGCGGTGCTTGTATAAATCTTTGGCATGATTTGTGCCTCAGTTTCAATGACGTACTGCGATGAGGGTTTGTGAAACAAATTAATATGGATAAAAGCTAAATGACGGCAAAGGCTTCAAAACTACACTGCGAAAAGCAACTATTTAGCTGTATGTAAATCGACATAGAATAGCACAAAAAAGAAACGAGATCTTACCAATTTGACGACGCATTAACTTCAGTTCTTGCAAAGGGTTCTCTTCTATTGCTATGGAATTTTCGCTTCGTACAGGTTCATCCTAAGATTTCATATTTATGAAGTGAATAGAAAACAATAAAGGAAACCTACAGCAGGATCGCCTCTGTCCAGGTATGGGCTTTCTTTGAGTGTGATGGTGTTTGGAAGGTCCTTTATATCATTCTGAAAGCTTACATGAGTTCACATCATTAGAATAAAATCCGAAGTATGTACCTCTCCCACTTGAGTGATATGATCATTCATGAGCTCCAATGGTTGTGCCTCATAACCTTTGTAACCATCTCCACCTGTGAGTACTATCCGATCTGGTACATTCATCATCTGCATCAGACGTTCACGTTCCACGGTGGTATGATTCTAGAATGAGTGCATAACAGAACTGCTTTCAGAAACTTCAGCTCCTCTTGCAGTGAAACAAAGTCATTAAAGTCAACTAAAACCACAAAATTTGATTTTCTCAAAAAGCTGAACTCTCGATCATGAATGATAAACCCCATAATATTTGGAAGCTCCTATTCCAGAAATGATAAGACAACGCTAGCGGAAGCAACAAGCTTTCTCGACGCTGAAAAATGTCGGCAGTCTTTCGAATCCAACATCCGAATCCTCAAACTTGATAGAACATCGGCCTAATGTCTGAATATGCAACAAGCTTTCCTTCACACAGCCGTATGTTGGATAATTTTCTTAACCTTTGATTTCAGATTCCGAAAACCGACAAGCCTTCAATCAGGTTCGACTGGATGTAATTCAGATGTCGTTCAAATGATAACAAGAGGAGAAAACTAACATCATATCCGACGCTCTTCAGTGGCTCTCCTGTGACTGATATATGTTCTGGTACGATCATCGTCCTGCAATGTCAATGTAATGAATTTACAACAGGTAAGTGTTTGCCACTCAAAAGATGTCAGAACTCCTTGCGCACGACAAAATTAGGTGGGAGAAATTCTGAAACGTTATTCGCGATGACAATGAGGAGTAGCTAATGTCAATGACAGATCACGAGCTTTGGTGACGAAATAAAATCGCAACGTGAGATTTTAGTTAGAACAGACGTATTGCTCGCCGTAGGTGCCGCACCTGCAGACATGTACGCTAATTAGCGGCTTTTTGCAGAATTCATTCACTTTTTTCCTAGGCAGGCGCCATATTTGATCCACTTGGTCCGCTTCTTCCACTTCGCTTCTGGTTAAATCAGTGAACTGATCAACAGTGGAAGGGATGTCCACTTGATAACTTGATCCACTTGATCAACTTCGCCATTTGCCAAGCCAGTGAACTGAGTAATAGCGAAGCGGATGTTTATCCGCTTCATCCGCCTCGCTATTGGTCAGCCCGCTGATTTGGCCAATAGCAAATGGATGAATCTCATAATCGCGCGAACCGGATAAGTATGGCGCCTACTTTAGGCACGCGCCATACTTGATCCGCTTTATCCGCATGACCCATTTTAACTGCTTCACTATTGGTCAGCTTGTTGATTTGCCCAATATCGAACTGGACGGAGCAGATTAAGCGGATCAAGTATGGTGCGTTACTTAGGGTGGCTCCATAGCGCGCCGTTAGCCCCTTTGAAGGCAGCAACCAGGCAAATCTGGGCCTACGCGAATCTCACTTGGAGAATTTTGGAGCCCTAACTAAAACATTGCCCAAGCGGCAGCTCAAATGGTGAGCTCACAGTTGAGATGTTGCCTCCAAACTAGACCCGGGATCGTATTCGCATGGATTCATGGCGCGACACATCAACTCCACGCGGATCCACGCATGTCGCGCCATGAATCCATGCGAATACGATCGCGGGGTCCAGTTTGGAGGCGAATATTTCAACTGTGAGTTCACCATTCAAGCTGCCGCTTGAGCTGTCCTAGTTAAGGCCCCAAAATTCCTTTCCACACCAGAAAGCCGTATGTCCAGATTTGCCTGGACCCTGCCTTCAAGCACTATTCAAGGCATTCGATTATCCGTCCCAATATCGAAACACAAAACTTGCTCAAAGTTTGTTTGGCGAGGTTATTCGGCATGTTACTTACAAACAGCAGAATCTTTCATAAGGAAGGCCTTGGAATAGTGGGGTAGTGCGCAAAAGTGGCTAGCGGCGGCTGCCGGCGCGGCATGAAGACACCCGTAGAGCTCAGTCTTCACTAAACAAAAATCCAAGCTTGATCAACAGCTTTGTCCTGTAAAAATGGAGACTTAAATAATGTAATGTTATGAAAACGCCTTCATCTCATAAGCTTCTTCCTGCAGACTCAGGCAGTGTCATGTTGCGAAGACCACTCACTTCCATCGAAATAAAGGCAGACGATATTGACCATATGGAAAAGGTTTTGCTAGAGTTATATCAAAAAAGAGTTAGTTTGAACTTTTTATCATTACACCTTTTTGAAATATACATTCACTAGTTGCACCACTACATCAGTTCAGGATCCTTCGAAAACACCTATGGAAACTGATACTAACTACACAACACCTTCAACAGCGATTTCCAGTGAACGTAAGTGCTTCCGTTCTTTTTCTGGTTTTGTTGTCTCACTTGGTATCTATTTCTGTGGGTCGCCACAACAGTGGAAATTTTCCAGCCAAGCGACCTGTATCTCCTACGGAGACGCTGTCTTCTATGGATACCTCTGGGAACCAAACTTTACCAACCTTTATGTCTCCAGGAAACAGCTTCACCAATGAAGGATCCGCTTGATGCATCTTTCTCATCTTGGAAATATGTTGATTGCAATGTCTAAATGTTACGGGTTGTAAATCAAACATTTTTTGATTCAAGTAAAATTTGCGAAATTAATGCTTGCAATTTTGACAGCGCTTATTGCGTAAAAATTCTTTGTACTGGTGACTTGCAAATCTAATCAGCGATGCCAGGATGCTAGAAAACTATGGATATCAGCGAAGTTTCGGCAAACCACAGAGCAGAAGGAAAGTGTTCAAAGATGAAGACGATGATGTGGTGGAAGTGCAAACTAGCAGCGCAGGTGCGAGATAAGTCAATGTGTCTCATCTTCAATCACATTATTTCAGGAAAGAAACAAGATAAGGTAAAACCTGAGCCGTTGAACCTCAAGAGAAAGCATGACTATCATAAAGATTCCAAGCTGAAGGCGTGGAGAATGATCATCAGAAATCTACCATTTAAGGCAAGCTTGATTTTTTACTCTTTTACTTCTTCAAGATCATGTGTTTTATAGCTTTTATGCTACTTCCCAGATTGTATTATATTTTGGTATAATTTATCGATCATTTAGACCACAAAAGAAGACCTCCAGAACGTTTGTTCCAAATTTGGTCCTTTCACCGACATTGTCCTTCCTCCCTCAAAGAAAATGCCAAAGCGCATTGCTGGTTTCGCTTTCGTTCAGTTCAAAACGAGAGAAGCTGCTGAAAAGGCTCGGGAACACTTCAACTCCAATAAGTTTAAGGTCAGCTTCATAGCTTTCTCTACAACTTGCTACCACAAATTTCTCAAATTATAGGGTCGTTTGGTAGCTGCAGACTGGGCACTTCCAAAGGATACCTATGAGACGGCTGCTCAAGAAGGCAGGTTAATTTATCTCAGGGTCATGAACGTGTTCGATCGTGTTTAGAGAGGGAACAGCTCAAAAAGAAGGTCAAATTGGAAGTAGAAGACAGTGAAGATGTGAAAGAAGAACCGGAAACGTCAAGGTAATCTCATCATCGTAAATCGATGCAAACGATGATCCAAATCATGATCTAGGAAGCAAAAGCCGTTAGCAACTCATCTGAATAGCAAAGGGAATGAAGACGATGATGATGAAGATCTGAGGTGAGTTTTTGTTTTACTAGATGTAGTGGTCTTTTAGACTCATAACTTCAGTTTCCTGTTTCATCTTTATTTCATCGTCATTTTTAATAATTTTTGATTTTGATTCGGCTGTTATCGTTTTCCCATCTTTTAGTGATGAAGAAATAGACGAAGATAGCAGCGGTGACGAAAGTGCATCTGGACAGGAAAGTGATGATGGCACGAGCCAAAAAGATGGTGAAGAAGGGGAGGAAGAAAGCGATGAAGACGTAAAACCAAAAAAGAAGGATTCGGCGATTGACGAAAACCGTGTTATTTTTTTGAGGTGACCTTTCGAAGCTTTGTTGTTTTACTCAAGTAATTGTTTGGAAGATGGTTGCACAATGAAATTTTATCCAGGAATCTCTCTTTTGAAACTACCGAGGAAACGCTGAAGACCGAGATGGAGAAGTTTGGTAAGGTGGAACTTGCGCTGTGCTGCAAATTTCGTGATAGTGGTCATCCTAAAGGTTCGTGTGAGCAGCGCTAAAGTAACACTCAGTTTTGAAGTATTTTGACAAGGAGATAGAATTTCTGAATTTTTACCCTTCAGGAACAGCTTTTGTCCACTTCTGTTCTCCAGTAGAGGCGCAAGCATTACTGGAGGCCACCGAGCGAGGACTCGAAATAGGTATTACCTCGAACCATAGATTTATCTGTGCAAGTCGTTTCATTTTTTAGACGGTAGAGAGATCAAAGGATCATTGGCCATTCAGCGAGAGAATGCGGCTGAAATTCAGAAACAAAAAAGTGTCAAAGTAAGTGCTATATGTGATTTGCTGTTTTCTCCTAAACTTTTAGCTCCTTCATATATAGGTGCCGGAGGATAAGAGAAATCTTCGATTGATTCGTTTCGGCTTAATCCGAGAAGGAACATCTGCAGCTAAAGGAATGAGTTCTGAAGATGCGGCTAAGAGACAACGCTTAGCTGAAGTATCTAGAAAGAAACTGGAAAACCTCCACATGTGAGTAACAAGCAATATATAACGGTTCTTTCCTCGCGCTCAGTTTTCCTATTAAGGTTTGTGTCACCCACGCGACTAATGATACATAATCTTCCCATGTCTATGACTGATGAGAAGCTGAAGCAGATATGTCGCAATGCAACAGGCACTGCGGGTGTTATAACGGAATGCCGCATATGGAAAGATACGTCCAAATTGGATGCGAAGGTACACCTACACGTAAGACTACATCTTCATCATTCTTTACCGACTATGTGACTTTCAGGGGAACCCGCGCTCCAAGGGTTTTGCATTTGTGAACTTTGCTGAACATAAGGATGCTTTGACATGTTTGCAAAAACTCAACAACAATCCTGCAACGTTTACAAATGAACGCCGACCTATAGTAGAGTTTTCAATTGAAAATCTGATGGCTATAAGAGCAAAGGTGAGCTCATCATAGTTGTTCTTTGATTTCACTGAGTTCCTTCAGTACATCTTAACTACATACTTCAGGCAAAGAGGGCATCTAACAGTAAAGGGGAGAAATTAACAGGAAAGGAGTTAAGCGAAAAGATTAGGCAGCAGGTGAGTGGCTTTTTGCAGATACATAGGATTTTCTCTCACTGATTATAGGTGAAACAATCAATAGGAGAAGTGCATGCCTCAGGAATGAAAGTAATGCCCAAATTCCTTGGTAAAAAATTGCGACACAAGAACATGAGCAAGACACAGTTGAAGAAAAAGGTACGCCTTTTTCATGGGTTATTGATATCTGAGATCTTAATGATGATGTTGCCTTGAGAGAGCTATTGTTTGTTTGTGTACGGCATTATACACCCCATTTGCTTTTTGTTCAGAATTTGAATAAGAAAAAATTCGAAAAGAGGAAACAAGAAACACTTGCTAGTGATGTGAACATCAAGAAATCAAAAGGAAAGGACAAGAAACAAATCACAAAATATCTCGCCTTGTCATCATGAGTTCTCCTTGCCTAGGAACCATTAATAACTCACTACTTCCATCCATGTTTTTTTTATTATCTCTTCGTAAACTATCTACTCAATAGATATGTCTATAGTCTGTCAACTTGTTGTTCTTGTTGCTGTTGTTCTTGTTGCTCTGTGCTGTTGTATGTTGTTGATGGAAACCTACATTGTTGTTTGTATAAAGTAAATATATTACGCTGCACTACGTCCTTGATCTGGGTTAGTCACTAAAATGAAGAATTAAAAGATAACTTCTTTGCCGTTTGACCTGGCTACTAGAGTGCTTCAACAATGCACCCATAAACATGTGAAGCTGCAAGGCTCGTTTGTTTTGTTTTGTTTGATAGTACAGTATCCCGCTAGATAATTATCTCTGTGAATAAGAAGCTCTTCTGTTTTCGTAGGCACTGCTTTATGGTGACCTGCTTTTAGAGCATCGTTGAAATCTAAGTGAATCAATGCTTTGTTGGTGTTTGCCGCAACATATCGTAAAGCTGTTTTATCTGTTTACTCACCCAGGAATGGAAAAGAGTTGACTCACCGAGTAGAGATTTTGTGAATGCATCTCTACAGTTGTTTTGGAGATGTTTTTGCATACTTTAAATATTCTGCGCAGTTCGCACAAAATACCTCTGCAAGCATAGAGAGGTAGTAAGAGTAGTAAGCGCAGTCTCAACTCAAATACTTCAAAGACTGCGTCTCACCATTTTTTGCTGGTCAGAGACGCCTTCGACAGTTAATTAATATGGCTAATGATAAATCCATTTCGAAGAGATCACGCTCGGTTACTATGGTGTTGAATGAGCAAGGCTTCAAATATCTCCATGCGCTGAAGCATTCCTTCGCTTGGTACGATAGGTGTGTCCTTTTCTGTTTACCAGCTCCGCTACAAAGACAGAGATCAACAAGATAAGCAATGCCATTTTTGTCTTGCTTTGCTTGTCACTCGGCTTTGAATCCAGCTACTCAGGAGAAGTTTATGGAGCTCCAAATTACTCGCATATCCTTTTTGTAAATGGCAATGACTGACCAACAAAGAAGCGCCAATAGCAATAATTGAATGTGAGCACAGGACAGGCGCTCAGCGATCTTTGGTCAATGACGATATCAAACGTCGGATCATACCCGCGTACATTGCAAAAGGCTCGACTGCTCTAGGAATTGTCATTGGTTTTTGGAGCCATTCCTGTTATCGATGAGCCTTCTTACTCGTGAGTTGGTTCTTTTCTTCACCCTCTTACCTCTAACAATTTGTGATGCTTTGACACGTTGTGTACCCGCTAATCAGTCCAGATATTTCATTGCCTTGTGTAGAACTATCTATATCAAGTGAGTTGTATAGGTGGGCTTACCTGCTTATACCTTCAGATAATTAGAACAATTTTTTAAATTTCTGAAAACTTAAGTGAGTCTTGAAAAAAATCCCAGGGGGAGTGGCTGCCGCCACCCCTTTTTTGAACATTTCGAAGAGACGCACGCAAAGGTTTTTATTGAGCATAGCATCTGAAAAAAAAATCGGAATGCGTGGCTTTGATATAGTTTATTTTGCTGCCATAGCGTTCGCTTTGTAACAGTGTCAGAGGCGGCAACAGAGTCGATGTAAGAGCTATTTTTAGTAAGCACCGTTTCAATGAATACCAAGAAAATTTGTCTATTTTCAGAGCTAAGATTCTGGAACTAATCATGCGTGCCGCTTTTTGATTGTCCATTTGTTATTTCCCACCAAAAAACACCAGAATTCTAATTTGGATCTGTATTGTGGTAGAGGTGCCCTTCCCTTTTGGTTAGCTCATCTTCGGAAATAGTCAGTCCTCAAGTGATAGACCAATACTCAGTTTCCTTATATCATTTGTGATCTAATACTTGTGAATGTCGTGTTTGACGTACTAACTATGAAATCACACATATGCTGAAATACATGTTTACAGTTACTTCGCGTAGATTTATACAACTAACGGCTGCAAGAATGACGGATCACTCGATTTATCAGTTCACTGTGAAGGATGCGGATGGAAAAGATGTCTCCTTGGAGAAATACAAGTACGTTTAGTGTTCTGTCTTTTTGAGAAACATAGCTATCTATTCTAGGGGCAAAGTGGTTGTGATTGTTAATGTAGCATCGCAGTGCGGTTACACTAACTCGCACTATACGCAGCTGAAAGAGATGCTTGACAAGTACCATTCAAAAGGCCTAGAAGTAGCTGCCTTCCCTTGCAATCAGTTTGGACATCAGGTATGTAACAAGTTTTTTTAATCATTTGAAGTTAGCGTCACTTGTCTTATTGGCACTGAAATCATAAGTGCATTGAAAGATCGGATTTAATTAGTTTACCGTTTGCTTCTTCATATAAATTTTCAGGAGCCTGCTTGTGAGCTTGATATCAAGAATTTCATACACGATAAGTTCAACTTTGAACCGGATCTCTACGCTAAGATTGACGTCAATGGTGATAAGGCTGATCCGCTATTCAAATTTCTGAAAAAGGAGAAGGTATGATTACCAAGTGTCGTACAAGACTGATGTTCAGTTTCCAGGGTGGCATGCTCATTGATGCAATCAAGTGGAACTTCACTAAATTCTTGGTTGATAAAGATGGAAAAGTTGTGAAGCGGTATGGACCAAATACAGAGCCGAAAGGGATGGTGAAAGACGTTGAAGCGCTTCTGAATGACTCAACTAAACTATGAGCTTGTAATTAACATGAGGAGTGTGTAATTTTATCTCTACATTTGATTTCCACTTTGTCAGTATTTCATACCAGTTTGGTCTTATATTTCTGCAGATGTATCATACTGTTTGTTCCTCAAACATCACCGAGGATTTTATAAAATTATTTTACAGTTTTATGCGCAGTTTGTCTAATGTAATAAAGACGTCCCATTGTCTTTGTGAATAGATCCAAGTAAGCGTAATTCGTGGACTATGTTATTATAAATTATGTGTAGTGTTTCTTGAATTTCACATGTGTTGGGTTTCGGTTTACCATTTAGAGTAGAAACAGTGCTGCAGCGCAAGTAGAGGGTGTTTACTATAATAATACGTGATGGAGTACTAATGTATCAATAGAGTTGCAACAGAGCCGATTACTGCAAAACTATCTCATCAAAAGGGTAAAGGGTTGTGCCGAAAAAGCAGCTGCTATGTTGACCGCAGTGATAGCGATCCCGTATCGTCGGTTCGTTGAGCGCATGAACTGGACATCACTGCGAAGCACGCGCAGCGAAGTAAAACGCTTGCCCCAGTACAAATTCGATATTGTAAAGGCTATTGCAGGACGAAGGCGCAGAAGTAGCATTAGCTGAGTGGGCACGCGGCGCGCGCATATCTTCACCATTGTAAATCCTGCGCGTCATGCGCGGGGCCAATGAAGCCGCCTTCGGACGTTCACCCCTGAGTCAACGCCCCATTTTAGCGACATATAGTCCTCTGCCCGATTTATGGCAACTATTTATATTTACCGAGGGTCATCCGAAACGCTAAGTCCGATAATCCACATCAGAAAGCGAGAAAACGTTGAGAATATGCGTTTCCCAAAGACTCACAATTTGAAATTGGACGGTTCCCGCCAAGGTTGAGACGCAGACTCGGGTAGGCGCCAGACGGGTGGGGGTATATGTCGCCGAAAAAGGGCGGTCCCCGCGGTCATTTGCGAAGTACGCGCCCTCTCAGACAGCGGATAGAACCCCTCCGCCGGAGAAATGGCAGGGCCGCGGGGTTTCCCCAGCGGTGGGTCTGCCACTCGTCCGCCGGAGCCCTCCCATTTCTGCTCCGGAGACCTCCCATTTGCGCTCCGGAGGCCTCCCATTTTGTGCTCCGGAGACCTCCCATTTTCTGCTCCGGATACCTCCCATTTTCTGCTCTGGAGACCTCCCATTTGTGCTCCGGACCCCTCCGATTTTCTGCGGCGCGGCTCTTCCAAATCTGGCGGACTCGCACCGGGCAAATTTCGCCGGCGCGGCTCTGCCAAATCTGCCGTACCTCCGGAGCAGAAATGGCGTACCTTTGCAGCAGGGCCGGAGAAGCGTCCCACTTGCCTGCCAGTGATGTCACCGCGACCTACAAGAAGGGACCGCCCATTTGCCCCGCTCTCATTGGTCAACTGGGTCCGGCGCGACTCTGGCAGATTCCGACTGTCCGGCGGAGGGGTCCGGTCGATTGTCTGAGCTTGTAAATGAGCGGACATGCATTCCTGCAGGATATCCGCGCGGGACTCTTCCAAATTCGGCGGCATATAATCCTCCACCCGCGCCAGACTAAGCGACTATTTTGTTCAGCTGCGGAAGGTGCGCAGAGTTGACGTTGAATCTGCGCAGGACCGCGCAAAATTAATGTTAATTCTGCGCTGTTCTGCAGCGGACCCCTAAAAAAATTTTTTTTAAAGATGCTATACATAATTTGTACGAGGCCATGACCACGAAATTTTGGAAGAAGGGGAATTTTATAAAAAGGGAAATGGGGGGGGGCGCTATCGCCACGCCCCGAAGATATCTTGCAGCCAGTTCGATTTTTAAGAATTTGAAATTATTCCAATTTTTTACAAGAACGAACAAGTCACTTGCACATTTTTGAAACAAGTGTAAGCAAATTTCAAAGATTTCCCGACCCATCCTCGGGGGCGGAGGGTGCCCACCCCCCTTGGTCCACCACTACCTGCCGCATAACATCAATTCAAACAAATAAATGTACCGCCCCAAGGCGTGAGTTTCCCAGATTTCCGACCGTACCGTCCGTATATCGTACTTCTGTCGAAGATTATGGGCTAGCACTTGCGCGATGGCGCGTACGAAGGGGCCCAGTTTCGCATGGCACTGAAATCCCAAAACTCTCCACTTTGTCCGGACACTGCCTTTGCCTCCCTAACTTAATCCACTCTATTCACTTCATCCATTTCTTCCTACTGATTAAATCAGTGAACTGACCAATAGCGAGGTGATCAAAATGGACATCCGTCTCGCTATTGGTTAGTTCACTGATTTGACCATACGAAGTGGATGAGTGTATCGAGCAAGTTTATTAAGTGTTGCAAGCAAACTAATTGCTTCTCTTCATTCTTCTCAAAGTCTAATTGGTCAAATGCAAATGCTGGCACTCGAGAGGCCACTACAAAGCGGACGCGCCGCTGCAAATGAAGTTACGGCCTACACTCGGTCGGTGGAGACTGTAGAGTGTACGATACATCGGTCAGTTCGTATGTGGAGGCGGGTAGTAGTAGTCCATGGTCGGAGGATCATGACTTATATAATAAGCGGCTTAATCTGAAGTTGTGTGGAGTTTGTCCGTTACGAAATTACAGTGAGGAATGATTTACATTGCTTAAATGCATGTGAGAGTTGCAAAGCAAGTAAGGTTCATTTTTGTAATTACTTTGCGGTTTCCTCCATCAAAGAATGATGAAGGCCACGATCATTACGTAAGTTTACCTATACTTTTCAGATGGCCAGTGCGAACCTCTGCTCAGATAATCGCCGGGGGCAGGCGGTCCGCAAACTCGCGCTTTTCTGCGGGCGGTCAGCAGAATTTTGGGGCGTGGCCAAACCTTCAGCGGGCGGTACTTCCGCTTTCTGCCAGCGGGCAGCAATACAGAATTTTCTGCGAGCGCTCGTCAAATAATATCTTCCAGCGAGCGCTGGCCAAACTTTCAGCAAGCGCTCGGACTCTTTTTAGGTATTTTCGGGCGTACGTCGAGCACAGGTAAGACTCTGTGTGGTAGAGGTGTCACCGTTGGTTTAATTACTCAAGTTTGAGGTACTTTCTCTCAGCGGAAAGTACCTTGGGGTTGCGCGGTCCTCCACAAAGGACCGTGCGGCCCCCAAAAATTTTGCATATTCTCGCGGAAAGTCCGCGAGAATGCGGCCACTGCGCCGCAGCTAATCCATAAAGAAACCGCGATTGTTCTTCAAGCATTCTTCTTTAATTTTGCCAACTTTCTTCCAAATTTCTGCGGGCCGCAAAAAATCAACGAACTATTTTTCCGGTGCGCGCTTGCTCAAAATTCGCATGGCCGCCTGCCCCCGGCGGTTTTCTGAGTGCGAGGCAGAGGTGAAGCACTGGTTGGAAATAAGTTGCATATAGGCGAAGGCGCAATATCTTTGATCGCGAATGCGGCTTTATTAGCCGCAGAGCGCATGAGGCGCAGAATCTGGGTAGGGGAAGAAAGCCGCCAGCTTCGGTCACCTGCGCGAACTGCTGGTCCTGGAACGACATGCAACAACGTTGTGAAAGGACCAGTTAGCCGCGAAAGGCGGCTCAAACTGGCGGCTTTCGTCCCCTACCCGCAGAATCTATAACGGTGGAGATACGAGCGCGTCGTGTTCGTGCCTGCTCAATTAATACTGCTTCTGCCCTTCGTCAGTAACCTTTAGATAAGTTTTTGAAGATACCGGTAGAAGGATGTAAAACCATATGGTCATGAACCGAAATTGTGAGCGGAGAGATGGGAATAGGCCATTTATATATTTCAAGTTAGTACAGCGGTAAAGTATGGGACCTCAGTCGTTGTTGCACAGCATATCGTCGATTCGTTGACCGCATGGATTGCTCAAACGCTGCGGACCACGCGTAGGGCGGCTGAATCGACACGAGGGTACGACTTGTACAATGGCGATTTTGTACATACTGGGGCAAGCGTTTCTCCTCGCGGCGCGTGCTCCGTAGTGATGTTCAGTCCTTGCGGTCAGCGAACCAACTATACATAGATATGACATGCTTGCGCAGGTGTGATCGATCCTGTGTCAATATACAGTGGAAACAAAATCAAAATAGTATAATGCTTACTCAGTATTTACTTATGCCAAGTCTCAACATGCTGATAGAGACTTTTTCCTTACAGAACATTACAGCTTCACTTCATACGCTCACAAAAGGGCTCGACTTTTCTATGACTCGATATGGTTGCCAACAGTGCACTGGCGGATCAGCTGAAGCAACTCTTCGAGCGCTGCTCAACAATGGAAGAACTGCCGCATTCTTTTGATGATACCCTCATTGATCATTTGATCGAGAAAATTGATCTCACTGGTGAGCGACATTTGTATTACTCTTTGATTCGATTGGATTGGCGGTTGGAAAGCGGGGCTTCGTGACCTATTTAAAGGCAGCGTCCAGGCAGATCTGGACCTATGGGGATTTTACGTGGAAAGTACTTTTGGGGTCCTAACTAAACCATTGCCCAACAGGCAGCTCAGATAGTGCTCTAACGGCTGAAATATTTTCCTCGAAACTGGACTCCGCAATTGTATTTCGCATGACTGAATTATAGAATGTAAAAGGCACTTCTGACCTACCGTAATCAAAATTAGGCGTGACGGTAATGTTGACTGCAGAAACATGCAAATCTACGTCCAATAAACTATGCTGCGATAGAACAAGACTGTAGGTGGGTAGCATATTGCTTGAGAGCGATGAACAGTCGATGTGCAGCAACGTTACGTATCAATTCCCAGTCGTGCTGTGAGCTGCTCTGATATCACAGCTGTGTGTATATGTAGATAGGTACTTACCTACCAGCCACAGCAGTTTACGTGGATTACGTTTTAAGGAACCGCTGGACCAGCAACAAGCTTGAGATTTGAGAACCCCATGAATTTCGTAATTTCTCTTCTAACCAGGTTCAAAATAAAGCTAAGCCTCACATTTATATCCTCTCGATTGTTTCTCTTCGAGTTTGCTGTCGCTTAACTGAGGATGGATCCTTGATCGAAGTAGCCTTTCGAGATGATATGCATACATATGGTTTTGCAAAGCATCAGTCGCTTCTAGATCTGTCCTCTTTATCTGCGGAGCGGCTATGTAACGAAGATCGGAAGGCGTAGAAAGGGAAATCGTAAACAGAAGCATCTCATGGGTTAAGATGAAGCAGAAATGCTTGTCAAACCATTCTTTACAAAGAAATTTTTGTTTCAAACCCATACTGGGAAACAGCTTCTGTCTCATACCCAGACCCGAATACAACTCTGACTGCGGAATGTACAGGCTGTTATACACAAACTTTTTTCCTCGTTGTGCGTTCTCTTTGATTTTTGAAACGGTCTAGCTTCACCCTTAGGTGTTCCGCAGACAAGGAAGACAAATTTGAAATCAACTTCCTTCCCGTTAATTGCTTGAGCGTAATCCAAGATTGGTACAGAACTTTATCGCACAGAATAACAGACTAACGTTTCGGCGAACTCGCCTTCTATGCCAAGATTCATGGATAGTCGAACATGGATGCTTATGAACGATGTACCAGCAACTTCCTTCCTTCAAAAATATGTGCGACTCAATCTTAAGGGGAACTTGGACCAATGATCCTTCCCGTGTAAGTCTTTTAGTCAACAAGGTGATACGCTCGTCTAGTCTGTTTTGACACTCGAAAATGATTAACATGGCAACAAGGACAGGCGATTGACGCCAAATTGGTACGCTTTATAGTGACCGTGATCCTAGTCCCTGTAAACTGAAACAAAGCCGTCAAAGGGAGAGGGAAGTTATTGTATTCAATTGACATCAAGACACTGCATAATCAGTTCTGTTTTGCGCTGCTTATCTTCTGATGATAAACGTCACATAAAGTATGTTGTAGTTCTTCCAATTTGACGAATCCTTTAATGAGTATAGGTATCGTTTTCGTTCATGACCGGTCTTTAAACTTTTTTTGTCAACTTTGTTAAGAGCTCAAAAACGAGATCTTGTCGGTGCACAAGCGAAAAGCTAAACATTCTTATACGTCGCCTAAATGAAACAGTTCACTTGGAAGTAAAGACAATCAAACTCGTGTATAGCAGTCATATGACATGTCAAAGGACGCCCTCACAGCTAGATCTGTGCGCGTAATTAGTAAATTGTAACTAAAATCTACATTATGAGGGCTGTCTTGTTGCTAAAAGTCAGCTTCAGAAAATTCCATTCATGGAGCATTGTTTCTGGTAGTAGTTGCAAGAAGCTTGTTTATCTTGGTGCCACACTTAACCATGTATCCAGCAGTGAACGATGTCATCGGTGATTGCAGCAAGAAGATACAATCTAATCTCTTCCTTCGCAACACTTCTTTCGCAACACTCCCCAGGAGGAAAGACAAGTAACGGGAAAACAGAATAGATATTCGGGATGGATTAGCCAAACCAAAGGAAGCCATCATTTTCATCCCAATGATGAGGCGGCATATCGCGCGGTAACAGGCCGAGGCGTGAAGTTACGTGTCTGTGCAGCCAACATTACCGTCACGCCTAATTCTGATTACGGTAGGCCAAAAGTGCCTTTTACGACCTATAATCCAGTTTTCGCATGGATTTATGGCGCAAAGCATGGGTCCTGGCGCGAAACTGCCATGAATCCATGCGAATACGATTGCGGGGTCCAGTTTCGAGGGGAATATCTCAGCCGTTAGAGCACTACCTGCGCTGCCACTTGGGTGGGGCAGTGCCTTAGTTAGGACTCCAAAAGTCCTTTTCACGTAAAATCCCCATAGGTCCAGATCTGCCTGGGCGCTGCCTTTGAGGCTACAAAATGGTTAGAGACACGTGCGCGAGAGAGACGCAGACTGCGTCGCGGGCGCGAGCGGCCTTAATTAGTTCACAAAGCCCCGCCTTCCCGCCGCCAATCCAGTTGAATCAAAGGTCACAATCAGTGTCAACGACCTGCCCCCTTTTCCGTAGGCGCAATCGCCACGCCAAGGCTTCGCGCGCGTATGGCATTGTCTTTCGAGTGGCCTCATTGATCGGAGGTCCGCAGGCAAGGCCCTCGCGTTGCGCATGCGTACTTCCTACGCGAAGGGGAGTATCGTTTGTTCTCCAGCAAGGTTCCCATAGGTACCACGTCATCTCGCTGCCTTTCGCTCTTTTGACGTGCTCCGAGCAGTTCCGTTTTAATCTCAGAAGAACGTGTCAAAAAGAACGAAAAGCAGAGTCGCACCACGTACGCACGCTGGTTCACATGGGAACTTTTCTGGGCACACAGGATACATACTGTAGCATTTCGTATCGCACATAAGTAAAAGCACATAGAAGCCTAGTGACTTATTAGTAATTTTTGAAACTAAAAAAAATCAATTAGCATTGTGAAAAAAATATTCGTGGTGCTGCCGAGCCCTTTTTCTCAAATTTTTCTTATAAGCGCGAAAAATTTGAAAAGCATGCTGAAAATTTTGGTCGCAGGGCGTGCCGAAAATGTGCAGTTGAACAAACTAGCAAGGGAGGCTACTCGACTATACCTTGCTGTCCAGACATGTAGGTATGCGACTTTGCCTCGCATTTATCCCAGCCATTTCAGATACACGCCTTGTTGACTTCATAAAATCAAGCTTCTCTACGACAAATTTTGAATCCGCTGCTTCGGTTGTTGTGTCTCTTTTGCTTCGTCTGTACACGAAACACTGCAAAACTCTAGCTGGCGATAGCGATGCATCTGTGCGAGATCAGCTGGCACGTACCGAAGTACTACTTGATCAAGACCGACCTGCAAGAGTAATTTCCGATCTCTTCACGCTCTATATCACATGTTATCATTCTAGAGATCAAGGCGAATGGGATAGTAAGTGAAATATTTCTCAAAATGCTCAAGATGATTTTGTATGCAGCTTTTTGTAGATGTAGTATTTTGGGCGGTGACACAGTTATCCAATGAAAAGCTCAGCATATTTGTGCGAAGACTGATTGAAGACTTTCTTTGCCTCATAGAAGATGCAGATATCGTACAGTTGTTCTTGGCAAGTGTTGCCGAGTTGTTCTGCTGCACGGTCAGTGGCCTAGAATATCTAATTACGAATCTTTCTATCTTTTGAGCTTTTTAGGACTCTGCTTTTATAATGAATGGAACAGCCCGGATACTGTTGAAGTTCGCCGACCAGCTGAGCTCTGCACAAATTGGTCTGATAATTGAGGCGGTGCAGACGGGTGATCTATTGGGAGATACGGTCTATCAGCTTGCTGCAAAGCTGAGGTAAGTTGCATCATAATTTTAGCATCGTAGAGAATTGAAGATCCCCAGGGGTTAGTATCTAGCCTGTCATGACTTTCGAACATGATAAACTGCAGGTGTCTCTACTGCTTTGTGCTCTATTTCGTTTAAAATTTAATTTGAATTTATCACAAGTTTCGTTTTAACACCTAGAAGTAAAAGACACCCACACCTTTCTATAACTCACCTGGCAATGTGGAGCTGTGATACAGAACCTTGCAAAAGTTGGACTGAAACCACATTTTTTAACTTTGCCGATTATTTTCCTTGAGAAGTTTGGAACTTGCAGACTTTTTGTACAAAAAAATAGTGGTTGAGAGTCAAGGGCTAAGCCATGGCTTGCTTAGACGCTGGTATGGGAGCCTAATTAAAGGCAGTGTCCGGGCAAAGACTTGATTTTGAGATTTTGTGCTTAACCGCGCCTATTCGCTATTCTGAATCCGAAAATCCACACTGCAGCGCGTGAAAAGGACGAAAAAGGCTCTAATGGGGAAATCAGCAGGGGGCAAGGTCTTCCCCACTTTGAATTTACGCTTCCAGCTTCCGAAGCGATCTTCTTGGATCCCATTTCATATCATGCGTTCGCTCTTGGCCCGTGGCTCAGAGCGGCTGAGGGAATCGCAAAGACGGTTCTGGATGCTGGAAGCGTGAATTCACAATGGGGAGGACCCCGCCCACGTGCTGACTTCCCTTCTGCGTTAGAGCCTTTTTTCGCCGTTTTTGCGCTCTCCATTGCGGATTTTCCGTTTCAGCATAGCGAGTAGGCCTGGGTAAGCACAAAATGTCAAAGTCGTTTTTGCCCGGATACTGCCTTTGAAGGCAGTGTCCGGGCAAAAAGTCGATTTTGGGATCTTGTGCTTACCCGGGCCTATTCGCTATGCTGAATCCGAAAATCCACATTGGAGAGCGCGAAAACGCCGAAAAAGGACTCTAAAACTGGAGGGAATTCAGCAAGTGGGCGGGGTCTTCCCCACGGTGATCACGCTCCCAGCTTCGGGGGCGTTCTTTTTGATTACGGTTTCAAGTCATTCGTTTGCACTTGATCGGTAGTGATGTCAGGGCGGCTAACGGATACAAGAAAATGCCTCTGAAAGCTGGAAGCATGAATTCACAGTGGGGAAGACCCCGCCCACTTGCTGATTTCCCTCCTGTGTTAGGGCCCTTTTTCGCCGTTTTCGCGCTTTCCAATGTGGATTTTCGGATTCATCATGGCGAATAGGCCCGTATAAGCACAAAATCTCAAAATCGAGTTTTTGCCCGGACACTGCCTTTAAAGTCACCACATTGTTAGAAAGATCTACTAGCATCATCTATTTTGTCTTGGAGTAATTACGGCTCCTAGAGTAACACGCTAAGCCTTTGTTCTGACTTATACTGCCAAGATTATTTCATAAGTCGTAGGTGCATTACAGGCCTGAAATGGGACTATTAGATGATCTCTCACTATCCAAATGGCGTAATGAAACTGCCAGATGCCAGACAATTATGAAATTGATTCTCCAGCCACCACGGTTAGTTTCAGTTGGAATCGGATAAACTTGATATGGATACTGACAGGGTAAACTTGATACTTACTACATACTGATCTGTTAGCGCAATTGTCGGTACAATAAGCATAGCGAATTGCAGACGACGTGATGTCAGTGATTTGATTGCGGCTGTTCTGCTGTCACCGTGTGTGAAATTAGGCTCGTTTGTAGATGTGATTGAATTCCTAAGTGACAAGGTAAGTCTTTGTTAATGCGATCTGATAGTATTTTCCGAGGACAAATTTTCGAATTTGCTTTCGGATTATTGTCCTTGGTCTTACGAAGAACCAAATTTACTCCTCGTCTTTTTAGGAACTCAAAGAATACCTTACGAGTATGTGTCGTATTCTTACGGATCGTCGTCGAGCTCCTCTTTCTGATCTTCAACGAATGATGTCAAAACTTCCTGGTCGCTTAGACTTGCCCGAAGTAGCGATTGTGCTAGAAAGTTGCTTCGAGAGACTACTGGTTAGTATGCATAATTAGTCAGGAACTGGCCGCATCAAGTTCTCTTCAGGACTCTCCATGTCTACTTGAAGAACTGTGCAAGGGATATGGTAATGATTGTTTAGCTTCTCCATCGTTGGCAAGTATACACGATAAGCTCGCTGTTGAAATCACAAAAGGTGAATTGATATTGCTCATGTAGACTATTTAATTTGCCAATGTTATTTAGCTGTGTCACATTCGGACTGGGAAGTTCGTGACACAGTGGTTGAGATTGCAGCAGCTGTACCTTGCTTTCGCCCTATGTTGGGTATGTGAACCACTGCTTTTCTGACGACATTTTCAAATCTGTGGGGAATTTTTAGGACCGCTAACTCCTTTGGTTAAATTCGATCCATCACCTTATGTTAGAGCTGCTGCCCTCAGATGTCTGATTCTCGATTCCCAATACCATCAAGATGAATTACCTCAGCTTTGTGAAAGTGTTGTGTTGCTGGACGCAGATGCAGAGCCTAGGTGAGATGTCTCTTTTTTCAACCACCTCATGTTGACAGATTACATTTGCCCTTTTAGGCTTGTAGCTATTCGTTACTTGCAAGGTACACTTGCAACGAACATTCGTCACGTTTTCCGCATTCTCCCAAAGGCTATCGAGGACACAGACGATGAAATAAGGCGCATTATGATCGACATGTGTCCAAGCTTACTTGTTGTCGAAGAATACGCTGCAGACACTGCAAAGGAACTACAGGAATGGACTGAGGTAGACATAATCACGAAACAGAGTAAGAAGTTAGCTTGTGAATTAAGGATGCAGAGATTGGAGCAGCTGTTCGTGAGGTACTGGGTGAGGTAACAGCTGAACGGCCCGATCCAGTCGAACATATTCTCGCAGACATGATGAATGCATTGCGTGTGACCATCGATGATACTATTGACTGCTATTAAATGGTATGATCTCCACTGCGTTTCGCACTTCACCGCAAACGGTTAACGCCAGAATCTTCAAAGTGTTCGCACTCTATCATAATACATGAAGTGTACATTGACGACCATTTTTCAATGAACCTCAAAAATGTGATTCGAACGCTAAAATACTCATGAACTCAAGAAAAGTTTAGTGAAAATGGCTTCTATGAAGACCCTGCTACGCAGCTTTCCACATTTTTCAATTTCTTTCCGAACGGTCTATCCTACAGTGGCGCTGTATGCTAGAAGTTCCTACCAATCCTACAGTGGTGAGAGGAATAGGTGATTCACTTCATACTGTAAATCAAAATTGAAGCCAGCTCTACGGATTAATACCTTAGAAGCAGAGAAAGACATCGAAGCAAGAGAGTTAACGATCAAACAATAAAGACATTTTTGAGACACCCTGTAGAGTGACCAAATCCGACGTATCTGACGCAACATGGCTTTGATGTTATGATAAAATAACAACTTTTGACTACTGCACTCTTCTTTAAGACAGTAAACCGATGCTGAACTCCGCTTGAGAGAATCAAAATAGAGAAAACACAACATCTTCATTGATTCTTGTCACCATTCTCTTATGTACATTCATAGTTCATAACAATGAAAATAAACGAAAATCAAATCACCTCAAAAACGACGTACGTACCCAATCTCCGCAACAAGGAGTTTGATGTTTATAATGAGGTTAAAGATATACGGTAAATTAATTACTAATTAAGTGACATGCAAAGATCACATAAATCATGGGATTCACAAAGACCACACACCGATTGATTGACTTAATAGATAATTGACAGCTATTAGGTAGATAGATACTTTCTGTATGTGCATGTGCGAAATACGATAACACCAACCGTGGTTTTCAGTCGGTTTTCACCGGCTTGGGCTGTTGTTGCTTCTTCTTTACGAGGTAGGCCGAGTTAAAGAATTTAGAGAACAAAATGAGGAACGATGCGTAGATTGCAAAACAAATGGCAAGATTGTCGAAAGACTGCTGGCATACCTGAATAATCATATGCAAGAGATGTTAGGCAAATGTCAACAAAATGAGAGTTCCATGCTCAAAACTTGCAAGTATTAGTAAATATGGTCTTAGCTCACCGCGCCATTCAGTTTGAGGTATAGCACATAGACAGAGATCGCAACACCAATGAGCATCTGCGTTGTTTGCAAGGCAGTGACAGTCCTAGAAAATTTTTTCTTCATATAGAGAATCTAGTGCATCGCAACAGTGAGGAAGCCATCAGCAAAGTAATATATCAGCTTCAAAGAAGAAAAAACCGACTCACATTGACAGCCGTTTAGGTAATCGTTTGCCAGTCGACACTATAGCGTAGTAGGTGTACATAATCGAATGCACGAAATAGTTCATCCATATAAACCAACGTCCAGCAGCGGTCAGTTCGACAGCTATAATATTAGGTTGTTCCAAAAGTAAACTCCTTTTTCAATTAACTGAAGCTGTTTTTGTTTCCCTATTAGATTTGTGACACTCAGTAGAGCAGATCAAGCTTTACAAAATATCCAACAAGGATCCGCCTAAGTCGCAGTTTAAGACCAAAGTCGAAAAAAAATCGTGTCACCTGAGAATTGGAATTTTGCGAGAAAGAATCCTGAGACCTCCAACTTGGTTATTTTACAGTAGGCACAGAGCGGTACTCAAATATGCCTTTACCGAATTTTTTCCGAGCATAGAAATCGAGAAACCAAAATTGTCAAAAATGGCAAACTCCGCCCTCAGCCCCTCCCACATATGTCATTGTATACTACAAGTCTTACTAAATATAATTTCAAAACCTTACCACTGTATGTGCTCTTATGATCAAAAAATATCAAGTTTTACATGAAACTCGGAAAAAGTGGCATCTTGGCTGTTTCGGACCATCTTTTTTCGCAATTTTGAGCCCCGGAAAAAATCCGCCAAATATTTTTGGGTACTACTATGAGTCTACTATATGAAGACTGAGTTGAAAGTTGAAGGGATTTTGGAAGGAGATGCGATTTTTAGGGTAGCTGAAAAATTTTGATTATTGGTCCCAAATTTTACCTGGATTACGACTTAGGTGGATCTTTGATAGTTATTTTGTAGAGCTTGCTCCGCTCTATCGCATGATACCTTGAGTCTATTTGAAAAACAAAAACAGCTAAATTTGTTTGGAAATGAACTTAACTTTTGGGACAACCATAAAATCACTCAGCGTTACGAAAGAAGTCGGTTTTGAATAAAAAAAAACAGCAAAGTACTTCTGAGAATTACTTTTGTGATTCTATGGAAGAGATTACTTCATGTTAATTTCTTCCCTTCATTCAAGGCTACATTGTAGTAAACATCATTCAATTCTAATTTTGCAAGTCCGCAATCCACGCTGGACACAGTGTATCTGCTTTTGGCACCTTTCAATGTTATTCAGCCATGCAACCAGTTGAAGGACAATCACCGCACCAGTTGCTGCCATTTATGAGAAAAACCAGCTGTCATATCAACGATTTTTCGATGACAGCGAAAGCGAAGCATCGCTATGGAAAAAAAACACTCGACTTTGCCCTTTGCGTTGTAGTGTGCTTGGGAACGAAATAGCGCAAGCTTTCCCTTTCATGGTTTTCTTTAAAGGGCAATAAAGTCTTTCAAACTAGCTGTGTGAAACGTAGAGAAAAGAAGTTTGCAAAAAAATTGTCTCGGTACTTTGCCCATCTATTTTGTAGCGTGTTTTGCAACTCAATCTGTGTAATGTCAAACATCAAACTTGTTTTTCCGGATTTTCCTTTCTCTGAGCTCCTTCGACCCCAGCGAGATTATTCCTGTCTACACTATAACAAAAAGACGTATGCGAAATTGGCGAAGCTTTTACGTTGGACACGATATGAGGGATAGGGCAATATCAACTACTTGGCGATAGCCTCCGACAAAGGGAACGAGCTTTAGGCTGGTTTTCGCAATCAAATCCTCTACTATCCTTGTTGCTAATTATCCCGAAAAGAAAGAGAAATGCTGACGTTCAGAACTACACGTAGACAATCCACTCCACTGACATGCGAAAACGTCTAGTGAAAGAGACAAGAACGTCGGAAACTTCCTAAGATCATTTCTGATTTACCAGATATGAAACTTCGTTGAAAACTTCATTTCCACTTTGGCTTGGTTCACATGCCGAATCTATCAGATTCTCCTAGCAATCGCTTCCCATTTGCGAAAAGCTACTCCAGACTCGCCAATTCTTTATGCATGTAATAACCACGATAAGAAAAGCATTTTCTCAAGGAAGAAACTAACAATGCATCGCATGACTCTTTTAGATTTAATCGCATAAAGTGCGTCGTAAACTTGAGTTATCTCAAAAAATCACAAAATGATATTAGCCGGTCATACTGGCCTAAAAAATTCTGCGAAGGTGGAATTTGGTTTACGACGTCGAATGATCGGATGAGGAAAATAAAGACAAGTTGAGTTCTCAAACAAAATCAGTTCTAATCCCTGTTTCCCCTGCAAAAATGTTTTTTTTTTCATACTGAGGTAAGCCTCTTGCAGATGTAACGTAGGATTCTGTCAGCCAACTCTCGTAACCCGCTATGTTTAACAAACCGTACTGGACAGCGTAGAGGTTTGCATTTCACTCATAGAATTTCAGCCTCAAGTGTCATACTACCTACACATCGTGCGCATCAAAAGTCGAGTGCATTTCAAATTTATTTACCAAGTCATGTGGGTTCCCACAACGTAAGGGTTCACGTCACCAGTGGATAGAAACTTGACAAAATGTTGATGTCTCGATCGGTCATTTATGGGTCCTGTTTCACTTGCTGACCCGCTTCGCCATGTCATTCGATGGCCAACTAACTGGAAGCGCCAAGTTTTTGATGCTGCTGTCGCATGGAATTTCACTTGCTCTACATTAGCAGACAATGCAGTTTTATGTCAGCAATTTCCTGCTTTTCCAAAGATACGTGCATCTTCACTAAGTGCAAAAAAAACCCTATTCCTCACAAATTGCAGAACTTCACAAATAAATCTCTCCTAGCAAAAGTGCGACTGATACGTAGGAAGAAATTCGAACGAATACCCTTATTCTCGCAGCAGTGCCGCCTCGTTTCAAACCCTTCACGTTTGCATAAAAATGAGCCGCTTCACAAAAGACGAATGCCCTCATTCTCCAACTCGCCTGCATTCATTAACCAAAAAAAACTGCTGCAGTCGCAATGTGTCTATGAAAGTAGAAAAATACCAACATATAGCTCCAGCTAACAGATAATCCAAAGGAAACTAAGACTAAAACCCCAAAGTAATGAAAAAAAACAATAATACCAAAAAAGAGAGTCCATGACAACAATCTATCAAACTTAAACTATGGTGCAAACCAACTGAAAGCACCGTTAAAAGCGAAACTTTTTATTTTGTTTTAAAAGATCCAAGATGAGCTGCCTGGAGAAAAACACCCCCCCCCCCCCATCAAGTAGGGCAAAACTCATCTATTTAGGAGGTGCACTTTTTAAAGTGCAGAAGCTTCTAAGTGAAAGCCAATAACTACATGTTCAGCTTCAAATGTTGAGATGCACGCTACAACTTTTTTAAATTGCTCCTGCTTTTTCTTAACGATCAACAAATCATGAGTAGTGTCTAATTCGGAAATGACACTTTTTCTAGTTGCTATGACTACTGTAGTGTTGAATTTGTGACAATGCTGACTAATTACGAACCACCATCTCAGATGCTTTTTTTTTCGCTCGTTCCCAATTGTCTAGAACTAAATTTTCTGTCTTCACTTTCAACGAGACCAAGAAAAAAGACAGACTAAACACAAAATTTCCATCATCACTCACATGATTTTCGTATCATCTATGACCTGCAAAAACTTCAAAACCGCTTTTGTTGATGTCACCTAGTTCGATAGACTTTGATACCTTCAAGCGCAACTTCCATTTCTAGTTTTTTCCTTATCAAAATCACAAGACCATAAGATGGGATTATTTTCTTGGACGAACACAACAGAGACTATATCGAACAGATGATGAAAACGTATGGAAAGTAAATCACATTCATACTCTCACATTTCATTTTATAAGAGTGGAAACCAGCATGGACCTGGCTTGATCTATTCGTGTAATACCGATACGCTTAGAAGGCACCAAAAATTTAGTTTAAAGGAGTTTAAGAATTACTTTAGTTTGGGAGTTTTTTGGAAGCATACTTCTGCACTCGTGATGACAAACCATTTCGTCACTTTAATGAAATCAAAAAGCTTTCTTCAAACTCAATCCAACACAAAAGATGTGGTAATCCTTCCTCGATATTTCTTTGAGAGTTGATGCATACTGAAGAGTTACAACCATGCGGCGTCTTGCTACATTATTCATCTTTTTCAGCAACGGAGCCAAAAAAAAACCCTGAGTGTTACGCTGCTACAACTGCCCTCTGTTGTCACGATATCCACATGGCCACAAAGTGTGTACATGGGTGATATGTCTGAAGAGACCGCCGACAAGAGTCAACAATGTCGAGTATGCGCTACAATATCGCAATCGATATCAGAGCACATTGAGCTCCACAGAATTCTCAAGCATGAAGCGATGAACTTAATTATGCGACATCAAACCTTATCGCGCTGATAAGCGGTCTGCTTTGTCAATAAACCTGATATGACCACTTGGCCACTTCCTGGAGCAGTAGACCAATAAATCGTATCACTGCCTGCGATATCAAGGGAACTAAGAACTAGAGAGAAGCACTTGTACGACGTACCCACAAATCATCGTCTGTTAATCAATTTTTTGTCCTAGTTTTCAATCACCATAATTCTTATTGTTGGCAATGTCACGAAGATGGAAATAGATGAGAAGGATGAGGACAAATTTCACATGTGCAAGCCAAAAGCTTTGAGAAAAAAACAGATACGCACAGAATTTCTTAGCTATGCCTTGTGAGCTGAGTTGAGAAGCCTTGACAAAGATCGCTGAGAACTTACTTACTCAGTTACTTAGATATTTAGTTAATCTAAAATGCGCAAAAAAATCGCGTCTACCATGTAAGGGTACAATCTACCCAAACCATCGGCAGTACTAATAAACCAGTTTCGAAACTACAAATTTAGGGAAGTGGATGCATTTTTTCTTCGAGTCCGCTGACTATATTGTAGTCGGAGAAAATCTAACTCGCTCACTACAGACATCTGTTTCAAAATCTGGCAGAAAGAATCAATCAAAGCCGCGCCACATTGGTAGCTACAAACTAAAGCTAATGTCCAACAAAAGTATACAAAAAAGTACTCTCGATAAAGGGAAGATAAAAACAGCATATTTGAGAAAATGCTGTTAATTCGAACAAGGGAATAAGTAACATACCTGAATGCCAGACGTAAACGAGTACAACAGCATGATGGTACCAATGTAGAAAGATCACTGGTCGTTTCCGTAAAGCCAAGAATAATGTGTCACCGAGCTCTGCGATTTTTGAGAACGCAAACATGCACGCCCAAAATGATGCTGGTCCGTTCGGATCCACAGAAAAGCATACGGAATCCGTGAAAGGTCTAAAAGTGCTTATTTGAATGTAGTAAAGACTGTTGGAGAATAGTGTACTCATCAAGAATATTAAGGAGAAATGTTTTCAATTCACAATGTGTAAATAACAAAAAGGCTGGGATCCTTCAATCTGAACCTAGCCACCTAAAAGTAGACATTGTCTCATGTTCAGAAAAAAACTGTCACTAGAAGGAAGAAGAACAAAGAGATCCAAGATCCAACCAAAGCAATGAAGACAAGTAAGCTAGCTGCATACCTATGCGAGTGAATGAATTAATACTGCCGCCTGATTGCATGAAAGCATATCCAGTTCTTGTAATCGGACTACCGCACATGTGATTGGAAAGTTGTAATTCATTTGCAAATCATTAGTTAGTGCAACTTGCAACGTAAAGTAAAAAGAGTACATGGATAGACCGAAATTAAGACTGATAAGTTAGAGTGAGAGGATAGAAGAATTGCAAAAAAGTTTGCAAAATCTGATTTTCGCCCCGCTCCCTCCCCCTCCTCTATCGATGTTGATGCTATGCTGGCAGACTTTTTGCTTGTAGCCATTTGACGCAAGCTGCCAGTCGCTGTGGAAATTGGCAGCAGTCTGTCAAAGGCTGACATTGGTATACAATTGTGATCACGATGTTAAAAATCCCATAGTTGTTTGCGAAAATCCCCAGCAATTTGGAAGTTCTTTGCGTCTTCTCAAATTCAATCACTTTCGATATGACGCTGAATGTCCCATAACCGGAAGATGTCACCAATGTCGAGATAAAGATATTGGTTTACCACTCACATAGCAATAAAGTTAGCTTCACAAAAGAATGTCGTTCAATAAAATGACAATGGTGTGAAATCACAGCTATCACTCTGAATGGCATCAATAGTCGATTGTTGGCGCATTCAGTCTGCCTATCATCACTGCTATCGTCGAATTCACGCAATTTTTAGCAAAGGGTCGCTGTTCAAACAATGGAAATCAAGCGAGACCCAAAGTAAAAAAGCTGTTACGTATTAGATGATTTTGAAACCAGTCAGCTATGAGTCAATATTGGTTCAGCACTTTGTTAATACGGAAGAGGAGCCAAGTGCACAAATTACGACACTACAGGGACAAAGTTCAATCAGGAGTTGGCTGGAACTATTGCACGGCAAACACTGAACGGAAAAATGTACAGCATCGTTAAAGGGCAGAGTAGCGCAGGCTATGTTATTTAACGATGCAATAGCTCTAGAAGAGAAGTACATTGTACTATTATTGTGCACTTGCACATCATTAAAGAGTGCAAAGATTTCATAGAAATGTGCGACTTCCGATTAAAAGGCAAAGAATTTTACGCTTGCCGCAGTATTGCAATCTTAAGCTAACAAAAAGTACCGAAGATGATATAAGAACCAGTTCACGATTAGGAGGTTGCGAAAAGTTCACTTGCGAAACTAGTTTCTGATAGTAGGTGTAGTGTGTGCAGCAGATCGCTTGTAAAAAGAATATGATATTTACAATAAAAATCAAATATGAAAAACTTACTACACATGATGAAAGAGATGCGAAGCAATCGATATATGTAATGCAATAGCGTTCAGAGAGAGAGAGATGGAGGGCTAATGGAACAATGAGTCAAAAGAAGAAAAAGCAGCGAGAAGGCACGCTTTCGTCGAAGCAAAGTGGTCGAATAGAAAAGCTGAAAGCACTTGCTTTGAAATATCCCTCCGTAAAAAATTTGAGGAATTGCCGTAATCGCATCACCATGAAATCGGTAAGGCCTCGGACAGAGTTCACGCGATTTGAGCGCTGCGATTTAATTGCCGCGATTTTCATTTTACATTTTCAAAAATTTCGAGTTGGAAAAGTATCACAACCGAAATGCAAGCTGAGCATGCAATGAACTCGTAACAGTTGTCTTGTAGCAATTGAATCGCGACGATCAAATCGCATGAACTCTGTCCGAGGCCTAAGGCAATCACCAGTCCTAAAAGTATAGCTCGGAATGAACTTTTTCGTAACAGAAATGCCATGATCGCGATCAACACATTAGATGAAAAAAAACACTTCATCGTGAAAGTGATGGATGAGTTGTGGAGCGGTAAGTTTACTCAAGAATTTCCCTCATGCCAAAATTAGAGAAAAGTAAGGGGAGGGTAATGGAGAAATAGTAGCTAAACAAATCAACATAACGATACGTTCAGAAACCTTTTTGATGAGATTAATCCATTATCATGACCGCACAGATTTTGTAACAATATTTAGCGTAAAAACGATCATTACAGATAAGGAGAACGAAGAAGAGATAACGCGCTTCATAAGATCCATCCTCACCTTGTCCATAACATGTTGAAAAATTCTAAGCCAAATCGCCATGTTCCCATCATGCTAAATATAGCCAATGCTCCATTCCAGAATAGCATTATAGTTTTCATGCTGAAATAGTGAAGTATAATTCAGCTGAATCATCACTCTATAAGGAGTTGAATCTCAGAAAAAAATGGTTTATGCTTTCTCTCTGTTAGAGTGAATCAGCAAACGAGATTGCAAAAAACATTAATCATTCACTCACCGTATACTGGTCAGAATTGCACCTCAGTTTGGTCACAGTTTTTGAAACCCGAGGGTTTAACAACGGATAATTTAGCTGGTTATAAATGCAATGATGTCGAATCGTATGTCATTTACAGCTGTGAAAAACATGTGCCATTTGAAAAGCACCAGCCTCCTCACTTTGGTGCAATGAGATTAGTATACAGATCGGGAATCCTATTACGCAAAAGTCTTATCTCACATAAATAAGAGGATTGAAAGTTTGGAAAACACCTTACAGTAAAAGTAGCAAGATGTATGTTCGCTGACTTGCCGAACCAACAAATTCATAAAAAAAAGAATCTGAGAGATTTGATATGGAACAGACTGATGTAAGAGCATTTTGTAAGGAATATGAAATAAAAACACATAGGAAAGGTATTTTTATGAAAACTGTATTGAAAAGGGAGAGTTGGAAAGTACAAAATTGGGACAATCGTTCGGAATAGCACTTTCGCGCAACAAAAAGCAAAATCACACCATCGCTTACGAAAAAGGCAGGAATTTATTACCTTAACGGTTTCCGATTCTCCATAACTCGTTGCAGAACGTTAATGATAGCCACATAACCGAGTGCAAGATATATCGACGAGCTCCAGTGCCGAGCGAAGAATGCATGCACAGCCATCGGATTCCATAGATGTTCGGGACCGACGATTTTCTCATAAGTGTACGGTGCATACAGAATTGTATGACCGTTGCCGGTCCAAACCGCATGCGACGACATCGTGCTCGAATGCCGCCAGCCGCCCGACCACGCCCCGGCCACGACTCGCCGAGTCGCCGCGCCCGCCCAGTCGCACGTGCGACTCTCCGCCTCGCGCCTGGCGTGATTCGCGACGGCGACTCCACGCGCAAAGACCAGCTTCTGCTTCTGCTGCAATCACTGTTTGTTTATCTGCTTGCCGAAGACCGACCATTGTTTCAGAATGAGTCAATAGAATCGAAATCTGAAGCAACCTTCTATTTGCATACGTTGAAAGCTTCACAGTCAGGGAACTATTGACTTTTTAAGGTATTATCATTTCTCCAAACCAAACTAAATGCACTATAACAACCGGATATACCCTTTGATTCAAATGGATCAGCGGCTGGAAGGCGGGGCTTCGTGACCTTATCAAGGCCAGTTAGTGATGAGAAGAGAGAGCGCGGGAGAGACGCAGACTGCGTCGCGGGCGCGGCCCCAATTAGGTCACAAAGCCCCTCCTTCCAGCCGTAAAGCCAGTTGCATCAAAGGTTAGGAACATTTCATGTGGAGCAGCGCGTCCGCATCACTGGAGGTTTCCCTTCTGAGAATGGGTCGCGAATTTTTTGAAAGTTACTTGTACGGGTTATGAAAATGTGCAGGTGACTAGTTCATACTTATAATTAATTAAAATAATATGAAAATGTGCAAGAGACTCATCTATGCTTGTAAATAAGTGAAATAATTTGGAAATTTTGAAATTCCACTACTCGTAAAAGATTTCTAAGGACGTGGCTGGCCACGCCCCTTGTCCTGGAATTTTTGGTCACAAGCCAAAATTTTTTGAGGAGCATCCAAAAAAATTTCACGCGCACTCCAAAATTTTATTCGATAGAAACCTTGTCTCCTCTCTCCCTCCCCCCCCCCCCCTTCAAGAGAAGGCCTGGTTTTACGTGAGAAAGTGACTGAGAGCAGGGTCCAAGGGAGGCATATGAAAATTTTGGAAGCGAAGTCCTCTTTGATACGGTGGAAGTTTACGAATAACCTTTTGTGAATTTTGTGGAAGTACGGCTTACAAACTCAGCGAACGATGAGTGGATAAATTTAAAAAAAACAGGAAAATTAGAAATAAAACAACAAAAGGCGAGAAAGTGGAGGTTTTATAACATCAATGCCGTAGAAACTTGGGTCAGGAGTACCTATAGGTAGAGCTTAAACTAAAAAATAGATTCATGTAGAAATTTTTGAAAACTACCTGAGGAAGGGGTGAATTATGACTTTAGTTGGTCCCACGCAACCTCAGGGTGCTCCCAGGTTGCGCCAGAGCAATCCGAACTAGAAAAACTCTTGTAACTCCTCTCATTCACATTTTTCCATTCCTCATACTTTTTTTGACCATGGTCGAAATCATACAAAAAATTTAGTGGCTTAATGCTTAATCACTTATTTTGGCAGATCCGGGAATCTTCCTCGGAACTTCACGATCTCCCTTTTGTTTCCTTCTCAAAAAACGACATCCAGCTTGTGAAAGCACCATCTCTGCTGAGCCCTGACTGAGAGGATGGGCGAAATGAAATTAGCCCACATGAATTATGGAATTGTGCCTTTGAATTTGTCACTTGTAAATGTTTAGAAAAAATATCAAAAATTCAAATCTCCTCTATGCGAGAATTTTCGGGGCGTGGCTGCCTTCAAGCCTCTTCTTCTGAGATTTCGAAATTGTAGGTCCGCAAGGATTTCGAAGGGCATCTCAAAAGTCCTCCGGCGTGTGCGGCCATTGCCATGCTCTTCTGATCAAGAATGTCGATCTCTCCCCCCCCCCCCCCCCCAACGTCCCCGGAAATCTCTGACCGCCACTGCAGTAAAATGACAATTTTGCTAGGCTGTACATGTTTGGTGGGGTTGCACTGGGTTCACGGTAGAGGGCTAAAGTCTTAGGATTCACTGAAAATTATACAGGCAACTTTAGCATCTACAACACCGCTCAAAGAATGTGCAAAATTTCCCTGAATGTCGCGCAATTTCGCGAGATTCCAGGAAATTTTGCACATCCGTGAGCGGTATTGTACTTGTTCGAGTAAATAGCAACAAATTATCAATCTAGAAGTTTTAGCCTTTTGAGCCGGCTATAAGCGTCCTTTGTGCAAGCTTTGTCGCCGACATATGGGCGATTCATAGCACGCAAAGACTGCGGACATATCGGCGCTCCGTGATCGAACGCTCTTTCGTTTCTCTTACCGTCTGCTGTATCTCCTATGCACAAACTATCTTCGTCGGACACAACGGCGCCCATCTTTACGTGTTATGAATCGACGATATCAAGCATGCTTATTGCGTCGATCTCTTTTTTTTAATGCCCTTAGAGTCAGCATAAATTCAAAGCCTTTATTATCAGGGGAAGGGAGAAAGCTATGCCCAAATAATTTATGTTAGAGTTTGTAAGCAGCTTCATTTTCATTCACTGGTTGGAAAAAAATGAAAACAAATATGGCTTCCAATGCCATACGCACAGCTTCCATAGTCTTCCATACATAGTCTAGTATATTTGTTGCTCGATATCACTGCTTCTTCGCCACCACTGACAATTTCGTTTAAGAAAATTGCTATTCTTATACAAAAACACCTCAAAAAATCAAATTCAATAAACGTCATCACTGCAGATCCAAGTTCTGTACTTCATGGCATTTCTAAAGCGCTGATGTCGGCCAGTCAACGATTATTTCCGATATCTACAAGACTATGCATAAAGCTGTATAAAGCTCTATGGCTAACAAAAGACATGAGGCTCAAAGGGTCGTAATTTATGCCGGTTTTTCAAATCTTATTGTGCTGTGCACATCGACGATGCAATATTTAACGCAAACGTCATGCATCCGCAGGAAGACTTGGTAATTGGGGAGAATGACGTGAACTTGCGCTCTGACGTGGATGTGGAAATTTATAAAGGTTTTCCGTTTTTAAAAGTCCTGATTTACTGGAGGTTTTTTGCAAAGATTTCTCGCTAGAAAAAATTGTCGGCAGGTCATCTATGTCGCTTATTCAAGCGTTACTCACCTATAACGCAATCACAACCAAATGACACATTTTTATTTTTTTTCAAACAGTGTGGAGGAAATACTTTATTTTTCTTTGCGCAGTCTAATCAGAAAGCACATATTTGAACTACTCAAACTCAAAATATGTAGCTAATGCCGTTCTGTTGTGATAGCGTTCACGGGATATAATCAGCGCTCCGCGAAAGACATATAGTTCGTTTATAAAATCGTGACGACGGATTTTAATGCGGACTTTGCGCCCACATGTGCATAAAACGCTCATACAAGAAGCCATTACCTCAGTGTTCAGCTCAGCCACTTCCAGTGTCTATATATGATCATACGTACGCGACAAAACCATTCAACTAGAGATGGGAAACAAGAAAATGCGATTTCCGGAAGTGGCGTGCGTATCGCGCGCGGTCGCGCCATCGTCACGGTTTTTCAAATACCCTATACTGCCGCACCGCTGCGGAGGCCGCGGCTTGCATATTGCCTGCGTCCATGACTTCTTGCTTGAACCTAGATGCGTAGCGTTTGTCTCTATAATTTGTGCAACAAATTTTTTTCTTTGAAAATAATGATAATCAAGAATATTTTGCAAAAATCAAATACTTCAAGTAAAGTCCATGTTTAAAGAAAGCGGACTCATCTACAAAATTAAAAGGTGCTATTCTAGCAAAGAATCTGTTTTTTTTTCTTTTTCTGTTCGGGATCGTTCACATCACTATAGAAGTCGACATCAGACACTACCATCGCTTCGATGGTTACGTCAGATCAAATTTACGAATAATGGCGATGATGGGGGAGAAAGTACAGCTTTACAGCACTTTTTTAAGCACATCATTCTTTACTTGCCTTTTTGGTGTTCTTTTTTCCCTATCTTATTCGATGGGTGAAACGTCAGAATTCCTTATGTGATAGGTATTTCGAAGTTCTTATTGTTAACTTCATTGTGTCGGAATTTGGATTTTGTTGGGCTGACTTTCTATGAAATCCGAAAGCGATAAAACTTCCGACAAAGAAATTAAGTCAAAGTACTGACTGCACCTACACCATTGTCTTGGCGATGAGATTTAACCAGACTTGACTAAATTTCGGTTTCTTTCAAATGTCATGCATGTAATAATGGGTATCGCTCCACGAAAGGATTTGGGCTACGTTGAAAATATGGCGATCTTACGTCTAGGCTATCTTCGTGAGAAACTACAAATCCTACAAATCAAAAAAGGTAGTACGGAATGCTCATTTGTTTTTCACGGCAATGCCTCTGATTGTGAGTCGCCGAGAAAATGGCGAAAGCTACCCACATACAGCTAAGTATGCACCGTCCCCATTGATCTCAGTATGTTTTTTTAGGATTGTATAGGAAAATTTGCAAAGGCTTGTGTTTACATGCTTTCTCCCTCCAAACTATGGCCTATGGACTAATACTGATTTACTGCGATGTATGATAATCTCGAGTACTTGTTTGGTTCAAACTTCGTATTTCCCGAGGACTCGCAGCCTGCTCATTAGATACAGAAACATGACAAAAGAAAGGAACGAGTTTGCCCAACCATACATGTAACAACCAATCCAGTCCTGTTCTCGCCCGCGGGAAGACGTAACGGACATGTATATTTACGCGGTCTCATATCTTAACAAGCTTCGTTGTTTGGTTTGAGCGATGATTTGCGAAAGCGTAAGCGTTCCCTAAATGTTTCTGTTTTCTCCGAATCACATCATAGATTCATAGATCAATAGATGTGTGATGTTATCATCGAATCTTCGGTTGCGTAGTCGAAAACGCCTCGAGTGAGAGGCAGTATCCGTGCAAAAAGTTATCTATCTTGTCCGTTGCCTTATCCATTATTTTGAATGCAAAAATCCAGCCTTATCGTTAAGCGCTAAACGGCAAGAAGACGCATTTTCCAAAGTGCCTGCGCACTCTTGAAGTCGTTCGAATCGAAAGTGAATGGGATTGAATTGCTATTCACATTTCCAGTAGACAAGACTGAATGCGAGACATAGAGGAAATTGGGAAAAATCACGCATCTTCTCAATTCTCTACAAAATACAGTCAAAATCCAAGACATTCAAGTGAAATGCCGCTATCGAATATGTCGCCTTGAAAAATGAGGAAAAAGGGAGAGACAAGCTGATGACTGATTCAATAGCACCTTAAAGGCAGCGTCCACCCAGAATTTGGTCTCCCATGTTTTCGTCATTCTGGGGCCTTTTCGTGACCCTGATTACAGTTCTGAACTTCAAACTCTCTAAAATTCACAAAAAAACCCGATTCCTGAGGACCCTGTCTTGAGGGCGCGGACGAGTTTCAGATCGCTCGTCCCCGTCGGCATGCCAGCGGGGAGGAGCTGCAACTCCATGGGTGCAGTTGCATTGCAGTGTGCAGTGTGCAGCTTCTGCTCACTATCTTGTCAATACGTGTCGGGAGGCACGTATTGACAAGGTAGTCAGCAGTCCCTGGTGGGCGGAGTCTGATATCAGACTCCGCCCAGCCAGGGACTTTCAGGCCCCTTATCTCCATTCAAAGACAATGTTAGAAGACCGGACCAACGCAGATGCCCCTTTTCTGGGGCCTACACTCAGGACCGACGCTAATCGGAGGGGGTTAGGTTTAGCCTGGACACTGCCTCTAACCCTTTGGGACCTGGTGGGGCAATTGCCACCATCAACTTCAGAGGGCATTGTTACTGGCGCAACAGCAGATTTCTACTATTTATTGCTATAGGTAGCTTCAGACAACCTTTGCCTTCCTAATAGTGATTTGCAGGCCCCATTTCATCCATGGTGGTACTAGCAATGGGGTGGGGGAACGAAAGCCGCCAGGTCCAGCCGCCTTTCGCGGCCAGCTGGTCCTTTCGCAGCGTTGTTGCATGTCGTTCCAGGACCAGCAGTCCGCGGAGGCGGCTGGACCTGGCGGCTTTCGTCCCCCCACCCCTAGCAATGAAGGATTCTTTGTACGCAACTGAGTGACAAAAAATCGATAACGGTTGTCTGCCGCAGCATCTGCTGAAAAAATATCAATTATTTCCCCTGATAGTTGAAATTAATTTATACTATTAACTGAAGTGTGGAGTATGATGTCACGCGAGCACATCTGCTATGAGTACGCGATTTTATCTTTGTTGGAAAAAATCAGAAAATTGGATGAAGGTTGGTAGAAAAAATTAAAAATAAAAAGGTCTTGTTGTCGAAAAAGTTCCAAACTTCGCTGTATTGTTATTAAAACGCTACCCTATCATAAGCAGTAGGTGAGCAGTTCTCTCTCTTACTGGGAAAAAGTCAGATCCTAAAGGGTTAAGCAAGCCTTAAGTTAGAGTCTCTTCATCTGGAGGTCATGGTGGTGCAGTGGCAGAACAAAATTCGGTTCCGGCAACGTGAACTAAAGGAACAAAGCGCGCTTGTGCACTGCAGTACTGCGAGCATAAGAAGTCAGCCAAGTAGCGACGTTTGGCAGGCTGGAAGTCCGGAACGTAACGAAAGACAGATCAGGATTCGGAAGCCTGTGCTTGAGATTCCCACGATCTCAGGCAACTTCCAAGAGTTTAGCAGTTTCTGGACAGTCCTCGAATCACTTATTCACCCCCGAGGAGCCATTCGACACGGACAAATTCTTGCTTCTGAAACAAGCCTTGAAGGAAAAGCAGCAGACGCCCTGAGCTGCATTCCCGTCGTTGGAGAAATAATCAGACAGCGATAGATATATTGAAGAACCATTTTGATCGCTCTGCCAACATGGCAGACATACTCAAATGAGATCGAAAAACTACCCAGGGCCTCAGATGATCCGAAAAGTTGCCGAGACACCTTCGAAGCCATCAACTCTAGGAATCCAACCCCTTCCGATTGGTGCCAATCCCGAATGTAGGCCCAGGGGGGGGGAGGGAATATGTTATTAGTCCGGTCCTTTAATGTTGTCACTGAATGGAGTTAATGGACCGGGAACAGCGAAAGCGCTACTAAGCCATGCCCAGATCCCATCAAGCTTCGCCCAGCCAGTGACCGCCTCACAACTTGCATAGGTAGGGTGGTAGTAGGAGCTGCCTGCACACTGCAGTGAACTGCATCCATGCAGTTGCATCTCCTCCCCGCTGGCATGCCGACAGCGACAGGGTTCTGAGAAATCGGGTTTTTTTGGGAGTTCTGAACAATTTGAATTTTAAAACTGTAATCAGGGCTACGGAAAGGCCTCAGAATGACATAAACGTGGGAGGGGAAATCTCTTGGGTGGGGAACACGCGGAAGGCGACAAATGCCCTGAAACGGGCGCGACTAGTGGCCACGCCCTGTCCGAGTTCTCCATCAACCAGCCATTCAAATCTTTGTACTGGAGCGCGACTGCACGCTTTATGTTTCGTTTCTTGTGCGATCACGTTTTTGTCTCTGTTCGTATCTATCATTTACTAGTTGTATATCTTTCACGTTCTGTGTAAACATCTTTGCTCACAGGAGTAATGTTTGATGCAGGAGTCCTCATAAAAGACGTACATACACATGAGCGACTTAAAAGGACTTGTCCACTGATTCATTAGAGGTATGATTTTTTCTTGTGTCCTGTGCTTTTCTACTTATGCATTTTACAATTTGCTTATTTAGTCAATATCACTTTATGAATGTTCTCGGAAATGGAATGGATTTTTAATGGTGATTATGAATGGTTATGAATGGTTTTTTAATATCATTATCTAAGGGTCGTAGATTCTTTTCTTTTCTCAAAGAGATGGTAAGTTAACATGACTTCACTCACTTGTAAGCAGTATTTCTAAATACATAATGGTCCCTTGCAGATACTATTGTCGATAATGACTATGTGGAACAAATAGAATTACAGAAAAACTTTGGAAACTCAGTACAGGAATTTTTTGTTTTTGTTGTAAAGTTATATTCTACATCGGGGACCTACAGAGTGGACCTACAAGTAAAATGTACCATATCATTTGTCATTGTACCATTTCATTTTTGTCCTATACTCTGGTGCAATTTCTGTTGTGAATAAAGTGTTCTTTTTTGCACTGTCAAGCAAAACAGCAGAAAAATTATGAAAACTTGAAGCATTGACAAAGACCATAGGTCGCGAAGCTTTATCGAGTTTGCGGTTCGCGTAGATACAGACTAATGTTGACATTTCGCCAGAAAATGAGGTTTTTCTTACTTTGAGCCTTGAAAGGAACTGCTTTGCAACATTCATTGTGCTCAATTCAGTTCTATCCGAATGATAGCCACATAACCGCATAGTACACTGATGCAACTCGGTTATTCTCACTTAATCTGGAAGTTAATCAAAATATGGTTTGTGAGTAGCATATGACCGAAATCGAATTTCGCTGCGAAATCTCACACTGCAATCGGTTAGCTATCATTAAACAATCACTGTTCTACACTGAAATACGTAACCTTTCCTTCGTACACTGAGTGATCACTCCTACCAATTTGCACACGAACTCTCATGGACAAAACAGAGTAGTCGAGGAGGACATCGCCACCATTCACGCGCCAGCCTATGCGCCACAAGAGCGTCAATCTGTCTAATTGACTCGAGGCCAGCACTAAACAGCAGGCAAGTTGGAGGCGTGGCCACCGTTTCCTCGCCTCTGCTGGGTTTTGTCGCCTTCCGCACCACACCCCTCTTGGGTGGACCCTCTAAGCTGACCTACTGCCAACGGCGAAAAAACGTTAGCGTTTGAGCGCGATTGCCGCTTCTTTGTAGTTTTTAGGCAACTTTTCTTCACGGAATGGCCAACGATGTTCTGTATCACGAAGTTGCAACTATCATAAGGAGTGTTTTGGCTAAGGAACAAAGTGTCCGAAATGCTGTGTACAGCAGTGATTACAAGGTCTGGTTTTATCAGTGCGTTTTCCTGATTTTTCTTTTATTTTTTAGTCTTGTGGATCACATGTTTTACTTTGTAACCTTTGATTGGCAATGTTGTTGCCTAATGTTGCTTTACAAAAACTTCTTTTATCGCTTGTTCGTGTTCGCCCAGTATCATTTCATGTTCACGACTGAATACATTGCCCTCTTTTTTTTAAATAGACAAATATTTTCGCTTTTCTAATTCGTATTTTACCTCGGAGCTCTTTCCAACTCACTTTTTCACAAAAAAAGCTTGGAGGTAAAAGCGCAGGAATGCCGGATGGCACAGATCTGCAGACCACTATAACGCAGGAATCAACCCATGACGAGCCAAAATGTAATCCTTTTGGAACTAGGTGAGTGCCTTTGTTTGTGTCTTTGTGTTTTGCAACATTTTGATACGTTTTTCGCAATGCTATGTGTTTTTGATATCTCAAGGAATGAAAAAAGCTTCATGTTATTTACATCACCACGTAACAATAACGGTTGTTCCCAGGTATCTCACAGACGAAACTCGTGTCTGGGAGCATAACGCTTGGGACAATGTTGATTGGAGTGAAGAAATGCAAGAACATGCTCGCCAGGTTGTAGAAACTCAAAAAACACAAGCTGTAGAAGAATCGAAGGCTAAGCGGTTACTCGAAGAACCCGCGAAGCAATGGGATGCTTTCTATTCTCAACATAACACGAACTTCTTCAAGGATCGAAACTGGTTATTGAAGGAGTTCCCGGAGTTGGATATGAGCCACTATCCGGAGGTATCTAACTTGTTGTTAGCGTTATTCATTGAAGCCGTGGTTTGCATAGCGTTATGATTTCAGGGCTCCAGAATCCAAGTTCTTGAAGTTGGATGTGGTGTAGGTAACACCTCTCTTCCTCTAATCCAGTGGGACACACATCGACGGATGTTTCTCTACAGCTGTGATTATTCCGATGTAGCAGTCGAAACGCTCAGACGGGATGAAAAATATGACAGCTCTCGAATGTGTGCTTTCGTTTGGGATATCACCGAAGTTCCTCCAGCCGAAGCCCCAGCCAAAGAATCATTGGACTACGTAGTTTGCATCTATGTGCTCTCAGCTATTCACCCATCGAAAATACCTCAAGCAGTCAGTCATCTCGTGAGCCTGCTCAAACCAGGAGGGATGCTTCTTCTCAAGGATTATGGACGATTTGATCTCACACAGCTGCGATTCAAAAAGGATCGATACATAGAAGATAATTTATATTGTCGCGGAGATGGCACTCTAGTGTACTTCTTCACTCAGGACGAGTTGGATGAGCTGCTTCGTGCTGCTGGACTGGTCCAGAAAGCAAATTTTGTGGACAAGAGGCTCATAGTGAATCGAGCTAAACACGTGAAGATGTACAGGCAATGGTTGCAAGTTAAATATCAAAAGCCAAAATAAATCTTGCACTTTGATTTGTTATATGACACTGCTATCTACACAGTTTTCTTCTGGAACATACATCTATACGCTTATTTACAATCATCTATCCTCTTTTTCAGAACAAAAAGTCGCTTTTGCGGCTCTGCTGTGAAACCTTGCGATTTCGCCCATTGTTCGATGAAATTCTCAAGGATCCAGACCTTGCTCAAATTGGCGACGATCCCGAGATAAATGGTGACATCAATCTCGCATACGTCTTATTGTACGAGTTTCTCGCAGGAGCTGGTTTGGGCAGAGTGAGTTGATCTTTGAAGCTTGCTAGTTGCTTCATTGCTTTTGTTAAGAATGTGAAGCTATTTTCAACTTTCTGCTCACTTTTCTCAAGTTCATGGCAGTGTGTATGTTAAGAAAGTGCTCTCTTGTACTTACGTCAAAGGCAGTGTTTAGCCATGGAAAGGTGCGGCACACCACATTTTTGGAATGCTTCTGAATAGGCTCTACTTTTTCAGGGCCTACTCGATTCGGGCCCTCCTACGTCAAGAAAATTGCACTTTAAGTGGCCCGCATTGTCATATAAGCATATGCTTACTAATACTTACTTTATTTTTTTCTGGATATAGCTTAGTTCAGACCTCCCCTCGTCTTCGTGGTGTCATCTACAGGCACACAAAAGCAATTCATGATAGGGTGAGTGATGATAAGAACATGCATCCATGCTTTTTTCAATTCTTGTATGCCTGTTTAGGAAAAAGCTCTAGCGGAGGAGGGCCGAGGCATTGCCGCAATCAGAGAAGCTGGTGATCACATGGATACTATATCAGCGATTCCTCGATATGCGCGAATTAATACGCTGAAATGGAAGGCAGAAGAGGCCCTCGAAACACTTACTTCTGAAGACTGGAAGGTTTGGATTTTGGGTATTTTTGCCGAATTTATGCGTATTCGCTTCTTATAAGTGGAAATTAAATCCTGGATTTGATTGGTTCCAGGTTGTGCATCTCAAGCCTGAAGACGATTTTGTCAAGCGAGTTGGAAACATAGCCGAGGACGAGGTCAGCGTTTTTATTGAGTCTGATGAATGAGTTTTCACACCATCATGAATACATGCTTGAACTGTTCCAGGTTCTCATAGACCCAGATGTTGAAAATTTGCTGATCTTTCCCCATTCTAATGAATTCCATCGCTACTGGATGGTAGAACAACGTTATATCATATTACAGGATAAGGTGAACCATCATATTTTTGTAGCTTTATTAATATCGACAAAGCGGAACGTTTAGGCATCTTGTTTGCCTGCGTTCTTGTTATCTCCATCACCCAATTCACATGTATTTGACACATGTGCAGCACCAGGGATGAAGACATCGCATGTGGCTGCCATTTTGCAAGGAACAGGGTAAGTGATAATGCAGTTTAGAGTATTACCACAAAAAATTTTTCTAGGAAAGTGTGGGCAATGGACCGTTCAGAAGAGCGAGTAGAGATCATGAATCAGATTCTGGGAGAATGCGGTGTCGAGAATGCTTCAGTATTTCATGGCGACTTCTTGAAAACCGACGTCAATGATAAGAAGTTTTCGAAGGTAGGGACCTCTCTTTTGGTCCATTTCTCCTATTTGTATGTGTACAATATTTGTTGTTTAATGACAGATTCCTTCATTCTCTAGATCCCTTTCAACTCCTAATTCAGGTGAAATACGCTATCGTGGATCCCCCTTGCTCTGGATCAGGTATGGTGAAGCGTTTGGATGAGCTGACGGGTGGTAATGCTGAAAAGGGACGTTTGGAAAAGCTAAGAAATTTGCAGGTACCAATTGCCAACAATTCAGAGACATTCCTTCTAATGCATGAACTTTCTCTGCAGGCTATGTTGCTAAAACATGCGTTAAAATTTCCAAATCTGCAACGCGCCGTGTATTCCACCTGTTCAGTCCATGAAGAGGAAAACGAGCAGGTTGTGGATGAGGTAAGGTTGCTTGGTTTATATATCCTATCTCAGAAAACTTTGAAATTCTCTCCTTGTAGGTTTTGCTTGACACCTATGTTCGTCAGCATTTCCGTCTTGCATCTTCGGTTTTACCAAGTTGGACGTATCGAGGATTGGATACATATGAATTTGGAAAGGATTGTTTGAGAGCCGAGCCGTCCAAAACACTGACTAATGGTTTCTTTGTGGCAGTCTTCGAGAGGATCACAGATGACTTGAAAAACGAAGATTCCGAAAACAAAAAGAAGGACAAAGTATCTAATCAGGAAGCTCCAAAGAGAAGCACCGCAGATTATGGGATTGGGAAGCGGAAAGTCTTCCCTGATGACGATGATGAAGATATTAGTGATGTCAAAGCAGCAAAAAAGAAAAAGAGGAAAGCAAAGCTGTCATGACAGTGATCTCGTCTTCTTGTATCATGGTAAACATTATCCATTGTTGCTGTTACTATTGTTGAGATTTCGTTGTTATATTCATATGTTAGAAGAAAAGCTGTTGTATTATAATCGTTTGAAAGTAAATTTTATAACTTTATCCAGCTGTCTAGCACGCTTTGGGAAGCAAATGATCAAAAAAACATATCAGAAAATTAATTTTTTACATTCCTGACCAAACCTAACCAGAATCGGTTTCAGTTTCAGTAAAAGGAGCAGCAGGACTATTTGAGAAACAAGGACAGTTTGTGCGGCAATTTGCAATGTATAGTTGTGTAATGAAGTTTTCCTGTGGGTACCCATTATTGGGAAGAATCTCAGGACACGCATCATGCATTGCATTTCTCGTATCAGCACGCAACAAAGCTGCTCTGCCTTTGACGCGTTGACACAAAACCAACAAGGATTAAAAGCTTGGGATCAGCTAAACGCGAGAGGTATGCGAAGTCGTGGTACGAGGAAGCTATAAAACAACAGAGTACAGACGAGTGGAAGGAAAATTTGTTGCCTCTACTGGAATAGTATGAACACTGACTACAACTAGAAGTGCGTCGCTTCCTTAGGTAGCAAGTCAAGATTTGCAAAGTAGTCTTCAGATAATCACATTGAAAATTACGTAAAGTTCGGAACACTCTTGGGACAAAATTTTCGGATTTTTTTCGCGGTTTTCTATGGGGCTATAGGTTATTCCAGGACGGAAGCGGCTGCCGCTATAAGCGAGGCGTGCGCAGGCGTAGAGTAAAAAGATGTTTAAGCGCCGCGTTCGCACCCGGCAAGTAAACTGACCGCTTTGATTAGGGATCAGCATTTGATTCGAAAGAAAACTGGAAATTAATCATGTAAAAGTAAAATCACCTCAACATTCTGAACTTTCACATCCTTTTAACCATACCAATGGCAATACGAATGACATGAAATGACATTTTTTTTACGAAGTTGTAGTTCACCATTTTTTTATCCACTCCACCTATTTGTTGTTAGTTCAACATGATGTCTATCACATCACTTTGCCGTCAACATTATATAATCTGATTTGAATTTGAGAGAGTCGTAGTCAAAACGATACGGAGAAGTGCCTGATCATAATATCTGTATTACCATGATCATGTAGATAGATGTTCTGAAAGGGTTCGAAGAGACTAGGCAAATCATTTGTACATCATATAAATGGACAGCTGTGGGAAAAATGTCAAATTCCCACAGCTCGTATTCCAGATTTTTACAAGAATTTCTTCTTGCTTGCTTTGAATTGTCAATCTTGGCACGTCTTTATTTGACTAAATCGGATTTTTCGTTTTACATCAGTCTGCTACAAAGAAATTCTACTGGCTATTAAAACTTTTTTCACAAGCATACGTCATATGAAAATCTTGAGAACAAAATCTTGAAAACAACAATATCAATGACTGTTTCACTTCCAGCACTCGCCGAACACTTCAGCGAATAGCAATGAAGCTCACAATTGTGAGTTCCATTTTTTCGCGCTGTTTTTGTGCAGTGATTTTTCGATTGAGGTGCCCTTTTTCTCTGCATTATTGCAAATACATACAGAAATTCTATTACATTATCACATTAGAAATTTTATTGTAGAATCTGAGAGATAAAACCAGACAAAGCAATCTAGTTCGGGTTTGTGGTTTAAGGATTTGATGTAGAATAAGAGGAAGAAATGTGACAAAAATTGATGCAAAGTATGCGATTTTGTAAGATTTTGTAAAGATTTGTAGATTTTTGAAGAAGATTTTGTAACTGAAGCGGTCCTGCTAAAAATAGAACTTCAGGAATTCCTTAACTACATTGCCTTCTGTATTATGTCGTTCCAACTTGAATGAAAAAACGTGCAGTTTCCTATTTCTTCTGAGAGTAGGGTTGGATTTTGAGGTTGGAGTTCACAGAAAAAATTTTTTGAGACTAAAAGATGACTCCGTTGCTTTAGCACTAAGTGCAAGTTTTATACAGTGGGAGGGGGTGGGTCAAGATACCTACGAAAGTAATAAAGTGTGGTAGCCCCTTCGGTCAAAGAAGTGAACGGTTAGTGTTGAAAGAATCGTCGTTTGCTTAGAAGGGGGGGGGGGAGATCATTTAAGAAGCAGAACAACACGGATATCACCTGCATTTGTAGCGGAATACACGATTACGGTATAGATATGTACGTAGTTTTCACCGTAGCACTGAAGGGGCAGCACATTGTAGCTACAGATATTTATTTATTTATTTATTTGATAAGATATGATCAGGTTCAGCAAATCGAACAGCGCACCCCTTAATTTTGGTGGGTTTTTGTTTTTCATTAGACGCAGATCACTGAATATCAATCTCAGAATCACAATGGTTCAAAATTTTGAAGTCTGAAATTGTCTAAAATTGATCCAGTGACCTCATGAACTGACCGTGCTTGCGGCATCTGCGGTCGCGTCGCGCGTTTGAAAGCGTGCACTCCTTGCAGTTGATAAATTAGGTATTATTAGTTCTATAAAATAAAGTTTGAAAAGTAGTGACACTATGTACTTGAATCAAGAAGTTTTTGAAAAAGGAGTGTGTAAAAAGGGTAGTGTAGTGTACAAAGAGGAAGATGATAAAAGATTGTCTCGTAACTTCTACTCTAGATTGCCGTTTTTTACGCAGTTGCGGCTTTCTCTCTTGCCACTGCAACATCGACAGAAATCGCGAAGCCGCTTGGAGACGACTGCAACACGACTGCATCTCCTACCACAGTAAATTGTGAGCTTGCTTTGTTTTAAAATATAGTGGTAGCTATCTACGAGATCGTCAAAACTCAGAACCGAAAACAGCAGTGCTGGGCATCAGCTCTACATCTGCGAACGATTGCTCAGTACTGTATTGTAACTTGGGACTTTTGAGCCGATTAGTTTGCGGGCACAGTTGACTGCGACACCTCAAACTTGCATAATTAAACTTTATTATAAAAACAATGTCTAAAGCTATGAGCACTACACGAACAAGCAATGCGCTAGTAATACAAGCATTGGGAAATATGAGTTGAGATGTAACTGTAAGAAACTGTGGTTCTGTGGGAGCAACTGTGCAGAGGGTACAGTGACACGATAATCCTGACCAAACAATAGCTAAGAAGATAAAGTAAACAAGAGTGAAGTCGACGCGGCCGCTTCCAGTAAGCTGTATTATCATCCACTTATACAAGTGAACGAATATGAACAAAATACCAGGGAACATGGGAATTCCGATAAGCTAACAGCTAACAAAACATCAAACATAAGCCTGTGAGAAAGTTCGTGTTTCAGCCGCTGTTGATATCTTCGGAGCACAAAGTACGATACGAACAGGAAAGTTCGTATAATCTGGTACCTGTAGTGCTTTCGCCCAAGCAGGTTTACGACAGGATTTCTTTCAAACTTTGTGCAGCACGGTTATGTGACGTGCGGATCGCGACTATAGCCCGTATTTCGTATGTTAAAGCTTTTTCGTGAGTTTTTGAGATTATTTGGCTTGGAAAGCGAAAAAGACTTTTATCCTATTTGCTACCATATTTCACAATAAGGCTATTGCAGCGAGCAAGCGTGATAAACTCTATGAAGAAACCTCACACTGTGCTAAAAGAATACGGTACTACCAGCATGTCAAGGTCAAGTTTCAGCCAAACCGTTGGTTTTGACCCTTGTCGTATGACCACCTTGAACATGCCTAATGACGCTGTGTGAGATCCGGAATAACCATGCCAGTAAACATCCACAGACCGACTTGGAGCAAAATCCACAGCATAGTAATTTTGGGGCCCAGATACTGGAATACCACGGAAATTTCAAAGTTGACAATTAACCATTGCGCCCCTTTCTCTCATGCTCATGAACTTTATCAAATTCTGATTTCAACAAAAACATTCACGTATGTGCATTCAGATTGTCCCATTTGTTCGTGCAATCCACCACCAAACTGCATACGACGTCAAACTCCTATAAGGTGTGTTTTCTTGTATGAATTGTCTAGAAAGCAATGTGGAAAATATCGAACTGCCATCACTTCAGATGCTTGATCAAATGCCCGAATCCGACTCCAGCAGATTGATGCAGTAAAAGCAATCATGTCCTTCTGTTGTGCTTATAAATATTCACTTAATGAATAAAATTACTGCTGCGATAGTCTACATTTGAACCGTGCATTGGCAGTATGTCAAGTTCTTGAAAAGGAGTCACGAAGAGATGCTGATGATACCTAATATCGGCGTGCCATATATATGGAAGCTTTTAGGCGGAGACAACCCTTTTCTTCAAACTTATACAGTAGCAACCGAGCCTGCGGAATTGTCTAAACACATCGCCACGAGACCAAATTGCTCCTCCTGCTTCTTTTTGCTTAGCGAAAGCCCCGCAAAGTGTGCTGCGCGCGACGACGGTTTGGAAGTGTCCCAATAGCACGATCGTGGTCGGCCTACACCTTTTTTTTTTAGGAAAACAAGTTCCCCTCTCATATATTCGAGGTGAATGAATCCCTAGCAATGCAAAGTGTGCAAAACCGAATCTGGATTGTTTGCCCAAAGTATGTGACAGGATAGAGGACATTAGTCGCCGAGGGGGAGGTCCCGCTCGGACATTTGCAACAAATCACCCGCCTCTAACATTATTGCCCCATGCTAGCGGTCCGAGTGGGTGGAGCTTATCGGCGACCTAATGTCCTCCATACTATGTCAGATAGTGCCTTTAAGTAAAGTCCTTGAACGTATTTCAATACGACTACTTAGAGCGAACTCGAAGCGACATCATGAACATGAACTGGAGCGAAGAAAGACACTTGTCTGCCGTCAGACAAAACTATCCTGCCATGTTTTACTCCGACTGGCTTGATGCTGCATTTTGATTGATTTCTCATTTGATTTCCCATTTGTGGTCTCCATAATTTTCACATGACTCGCGCATACAATTATGATCAATTTTCACATGACTCGCGCATACAATTATGATTATGAATTTCTAGCGAACAAACATGTGCCCTGCTGTGGTATGTGGCATGCGAGTCATGTCAACATACAGTGTTGGCCAAAATTATATGCGGGTTGGCCAACAGAGTTCAATTTGACACGCATCTTAAACTTTTAAAAAAAAGTAGTTTAGCTATGATGTTTATGACAAGGTAGCTACATACATATTCCCACATATCAAGTTACTCTACTCTCACAGATCAGCTCTTCCACATTTTCGATACTAATAAATCAAAATTATGCCCTCGTAAACTAGCCTTCCGAAGAATGACTTCTTCTTGATTTCTTACGATTTCAGCTCGTAGTGTATGCAAAGTTAATCAGATTAGTTATTGAATACATACAACCTCTGGCCACATAGCGAACCACAGTCGAAATTGTGATCTGCGTTTAGCGGAATTCTGCAGCCGAAAATGTAAGAATTTCTGGGCATTTGCGGCTGGAGATCATTTTTGGACAATCAAGACCGCTTGAGTTTAACCATCAATGGCCAGCAAATGGCTGGAAATTCGAAAACTTATTGTGTGGGTATCCAGTCATTCTACATCCAGCTTCAACTCGCAATTCAGAGCATGTTATTTCGAAAATTCGAGATAACATGCTCCGAGAAATTTGTTAATTTTTTTCCTTCCTGTCATTTCGTCATGAAAGGGAATTTTTTCAGATAAACAGAGCTCACCATTCTCCCTGATTTGCACTTTCCAATGTTACCACATACAGTCGCTTCATTTCATATGATCATGTGTGTCATTGCACACACAGTTCACCATTGGCGTCCCCATCCTGGATTCATGGGAGAAACAAGCCTTCAGGTAAGTGTTTCCAAGGTGTTCTTAGCATTGTCTTTCTGTTTTAGTTACTAGTCACCTCAAATTGATGTAATCGATAACAATCGGTAAGTCTCTTGCGTTTTTGCGATTGCAAATCCAGGATGAGGACGCCAAAGTGGACTGTGTGTGCAATGGCACACATGAGCATATGAAATGAAGCGACTGTACATACGGACGGGAATGCAAAAAAATTAGTCTTCAGCAACTCATAAACGGTTCAAAAGACCGAACTTACTTTTCAGCCAACCATAACAGACTACTGTAAGCATCCAAAATCCGCTTTCATTCGATCATCCGAAAGAAAATAACAATTTTGAAAAGAGTAGATCTCAGAGCTGGTCAAAATCGTAGGTCCACTCAAAGTTTATATTCACCAGAGTACTTTTCAGCTCCCAAACTTCATGTGAATACGTAGCCAAAGTATTAAGCAAGTTCTTCAGCTGAGCTGTGCAAACTCCCAAAATAAGCAGATTGGTAGTATAGGCCTTCCGCACAGAGCGCGGAGAGTGCGCAAGGTGTGTATTGCGCGTCATTCCTCTTTCCTCGTGCACTCTCACTGCCTGTTTTTCTCTGCGCTTCTTCCAGTCGTGAACTGCCTTCAATGTACGCAACAACGTTGCTCTCTATGCGCAGCGCGCACGGCCTATAATTTGGTCGAAACCATCATCTTAATTACCTTAACTTTTCATAACACGAGGAAACCATCAGCTTCGAATTTTCTTCTCAATGCAAGCACAAAGTAACCAATCTCTATATATATAAAACTCAAAGTGTGTTTGTCTGTTAATAAGTATGTTTTTTATACAAATTTTTCTGAGTGTACCAAATGAGCTGAAACTTTGCACACTTATGTTTTGGACCCCGACGCAGAACATAGGCTACTTTTCGCGGCGAGTTACTAAATCCTTCTGTTGATTTGTTGATTTGTTTACTTACATCTGGAAAAATGAGGCTTGACATGCTCAAACCAATCATTTTGCCGTGATCATGTAGTCAGGGGATGGTAAAGCTCATTTTAATGTCAATGTCGGAAAGATGCGGGCAATTTGTTTCAATGCCCTTTTGCGCAGAAGAAGCTCAAAAGCGTAAGTGTAAGTAACCTCTTCTTAGCTAAACTGAAGCCCGAGTGGAACCGGGACCGCCGGCTAGTCAACAATAAAGATGGCCAAACTGTCATCTGATTCTTGGTTCAAGAGATGTCATCAAAGGGGGATCGAACCTCCAATCATGCTCATGCTTGACCGCCTTCATTGCACTTTATCAAATTTGGTTTGGTCTCTAGCCTTGCATAAAATCTCAAACATTAATCGGGTGAGCTTCCCTATAGTAGCTTCCCCATCTCAGATAAAAAATTATTACACTTATAACCTCCTCGTCCATAAAAGGTCCGCGAATAAGGAAAGCAGATTCGCAACTTTTTATGTTCTTTGATTTGGTATACATCCCATCTAAAAAGGCCACCTTCGACTAAACACGATTCCCTTTCAAGCCCAAACTTCTATCTCAAACTCTTTCTGAAATGTTCTTGCACAGAGTAAAACCAAAGTTTACGAACGGAAGTTCGTAAAGCTGTTTGAAGGTGCAACACAGCTCAACCAAAGCAATTGCTTAATATAACTCTTTGTCGACGAAACTACATAAAAGACTGAAAGTAAACAGTACTCTAGTACCTAAATAGAAGCTTTAGGTTCAAACTTGCTCTTTTCGGAATTAGACTTTTATCGAATAATCAAACGAAAGCGGGACTCGCTCTGGATGCTGAGGATAATCTGATGTGCTGATGTACACATTGCTCTACCAAGTTCTTGATTAATTCACTGACAACAAAGGAGAATGCAGCATTTTTAGGATGCGCCTATAACTTTGGCCAACACAGTAGTCATGCAAATTTCCACAGAAAATTTGCATCACGCGAAGTTTCCCAAGCTATGTGGCAGCATCTAAAAATATTATGACCATGATAAATTGCAGTGTACAAGGAGAATACAACCAATGCTACTTCCTTGATAGAAAGTCCTCTTCGTCTTTTTTTTGCTCAATTTACGATATTTTTCGAGGAAATGTTAGTGAAATGTTTTCAGTCCACCGCGACCACTTTCGGTCTTGATGAATCCGAGTGGGGTGAGTTTGCTTGTACCTTCTCGCGTTGCCCTTGGGTAATTTCGGTGCTGGGGCGAGCATTTGTACCTATACCCACAAAACTAGAATCACCCGTAAATGGTTGAACCTGGCCTGGTTGAACCTGATTCCGCTAACGTAATGTGAAAGCGTGCCTCACAAATTTTTTTCCAGCCTAGACGCCATTCAATGAAATAATGCGAGACCGAGTGTAGAAAAAAGCAGTAGGGAAACCATGTCTTCTCAGGAAACCGTCTAGCCAATGATGTCAACTCGCCATATTAAATATTGGGTCGTCTCGTAGGCCCGTAGAATTTTCATAAATCAATTTTAAAAGTTTTATTGTAATTCAATCAATAATGCATTTCCGTTGTTGCGCACAAGCTGCTACTTTTTGGATTTTCTGTTTCTTTTTCTATAATGGCCATAGGTGCGATGAGGTGAGCCGAAGCTCACCCTCCCTTCACTTTGGAGCCTGGGCCAATCCCCCCCCTTTCACCTGGAACATATGATGCTGATGGACAGCTTATTTGGCGCTTTCACCTGTAAATAATTTGCTATGATTATTATCGTCGCAAATAAATTTATTGCAGTATATCGAAAGCAGTAAACGAATTAAATGTTTAATTGTGTCATTTCAAGCATTATAATTGTTATAGTAATGAGATTAGTGTAGTTTGAGTCAAAGCAATCTTTAACTGAGCTTTCCATAGGATGCAGAAAAAAATGGATCCTGAAGTGAATTTTGTGTCAAGGTATTAGATTGCAAAAAACAAAAATTAGGAACTTCAAAGTGTAATAATTGTTTGAGGATGAATCTGAAAGATAACGGTCTAGGTGGATTGCACTCATGAAGAGCTTTCGACTGAGATATAATATGATGGCCTGGAACGACGTCGCTACGAAAATCACGGTGCTAAAAATCGATTTCTCAAAAATAACTTTTGTAAAAGTGAATGAAATAAGAAGGGAAGGGTATAGGCGAACTCTACTTCTCAAGAGCTCTCGACTGATGTATAATATGTGGGGGGGGGGAGTTCATGCTGCTGAACTTCGGGAACAGGGGGTGAGCATATTTGGCCGAAATGCTCACCCCCTGTTCCCGAAGTTCAGCAGCATGAACCTCCCACATTTTATATATCAGTCGAGAGCTCTTGAGAAGTAGAGTTCGCCTATACCCTTCCCTTCTTATTTCATTTACTTATACAAAAGTTATTTTTGAAAAATCGGTTTTTAGCACCGTGATTTTTCGTATTTTGAGGCACGATTTTTCTGTAAAGAACTCCATTCAGGCCAACTTGTTGTACACCGTTCGAAAGCTTATAATGAGTACATTCCACAGACACCCTTCCCATCGAGACACATATCATATACAAGAGTTATTTGACTTTGAAAACCTTGATTCATCCTGATTTTTTACATTTCAGCAGACTGATAATTCCATAGCGACGTCGTTCCAGGCCAGCATACTACACATCAAACGAAAGCTCTTCATGAGTGCAATCCATATACACCCTTCCCATCGAGATATAGTACTATTTACAAGAGTTACATAATTTTGAAAATCCTGATTTTTTATATTTTAGCAAAGTGATGATTCCATAGCGACGTCGTTCCAGGCCATCATATTATATCTCAGTCGAAAGCTCTTCATGAGTGCAATCCATATACACCCTTCCCATCGAGATACAGTACTATTTACAAGAGTTACATAATTTTGAAAATCCTGATTTTTTATATTTTAGCAAAGTGATGATTCCATAGCGACGTCGTTCCAGGCCATCATATTATATCTCAGTCGAAAGCTCTTCATGAGTGCAATCCATATACACCCTTCCCATCGAGATACAGTACTATTTACAAGAGTTACATAATTTTGAAAATCCTGATTTTTTATATTTTAGCAAAGTGATGATTCCATAGCGACGTCGTTCCAGGCCATCATATTATATCTCAGTCGAAAGCTCTTCATGAGTGCAATCCACCTAGTGCAATCCATCCATCCATCCAAATTTTTAAAAAAATAAAAATAAAAAAAATAAAAAGTGAAATATACAATAGTTATAAATTACAAAATTATATAAAAAATAAACTAAAAATACAATATATCCTCACTATAAGATAATATATACAAATGAAAAAATGCAACAATTAAATTATGCAATCTCAGTAGAGATTATATATACAAAATTCTATTAATTACAAAAATTATTAAAAAAATTTTTCGGAATAAAATCTCCCCCCCCCCCGGTCGACGTCGGAACATTTCCGACACCCTTCACTTTTGAGGGTCAAAAACAGCCGAGACACCCTTCACTTTGGAGGGTGCCCGGCTCACCCCATCGCATATATGATAATGGCGGGTCTGGTCTCAAAAAGTCGTTTGACCAGTGCCTGAGATCGTCTTCACCAAAGCAAACGCCGTTTATGTGATTGCGACTGCCTGGCGCAAATGATAATCTGCTAAAACGAGGTCTTAGAAGTACACTGGATACTGATTTATCTTATGTTTACGGTCAAGTGTACGGGTTCATGATTTGCATACCCGTACGGAGTTTAACTTAATGGACCTGTTTCTTAGACCGTTTCTGCAATGGGGATTTGTTTGGATGCTGCAACTGGGTCCGTACGATGGGACAAACGTCTTGTTCTTGTCTAGCAATTTTCAGTGCAGAACTTCCTGGTCTTCCTATTAAAAGTGTTGTTTAGGAGTCACTCTGTCAGTGGTCAACTCTTAATCTTTCGAAGCAATCCAGTCCTTTGTTGTCTCATGTTACGTGCAAACGATATTCTCGATCGGCGGAAAAACTCTTGAAAACGCTTTTTTCCCTAAGATCAAATGAGCAGGTGTCGCAGACGTTTTTTTTTGCTTCTTGGGAAGTTTTTGGGAGCTGGAGATTGCAAGCAAGATTGCAAGTTTTTTTATGAGAATCAATTAGTTCATTCTTAGGAGAATAATCAGCTTTTCTCAATAATGCGCGCACATTACCGCAGATTAACCGCTGTGTATCAATAACCAATCATACCCAATCGAATCAAAAGAAACGAGGAAACAAGAAAAAATCAGTGGAAATCAGCAGGTTCCAAACTCAATGTTTGTCAAAGTGTGCATACGCATACTGAGTTAGAATGGCTCCACGGTACACGCTGCTTAGAGTTGTGCCACCTGCATTTTTCCCCTTTTTTTCCGTCTGCGGAACATTCGATCTTGGGCTAACCGAGACCTCTACCCTCCGAGAATGGTAAACTGGTACCAGAGTGATCTGGAAGGATAAAAGCACTGACTTGGTAACCGGCTGGTCCCCGCAAGCCACTGTAAAAGGCTTGCACGCATTCATTAGCCTGTTCGACAATGAAGTAAAGTGCGTTCGGCGCATGCCGGTAGAGCATTAGTATTGAAAGCCAAACTTAATCCCCACGTGGCTTGCGATAGTTCACCGAGTGTGTGTTCGCAGCAAGGTCCTCGCGTTGCGGGTGCGTGTATATATCGCAAAAATGAGTAGGCAGCTGACACAGACCACATACAGAATGCAGAAAGATTTTAGGTTTTATCGATCGTTGCAATTGTGCTCCTTTCGCTACCAGCTGCAGATCTGAGCATCATTAAGTCACGCCAATCTCTGATCGAATCTTCTACTCGGCTACCGTGTAAGTTACAAACAATCTTTTCTGCCAATGTCTGTTCATGGACTATCTCCAAAGAGTGCTACAGCTCTGAAGGCTACTGCCGAACCAAGGCGCAAAAGCAATACATTTTAAGAGTCGCATATTTTTAAACGCAATTTGAGTTGGTCCTGCCAATGCTGAGCAAGAGAACGAGCGAGGCGGCCGCGAGGAACTCGAGAAACTGTAGGCTACTGCGAAAGACGCAAAACTATGTTTGAAACAACGTTTGAAAAGCGTTCGCTTAACTAATACAGTGCTGGCCAAAACTATAATTCCACCCTGGAAACTGCCGTAACTCATCTGCTTCTCAACGAATTAATGTGAAATTTGGTACAGCTGTGTGTTTAAAAGGCTACCATCAGTGACCAGAACGGATCCCGTTTTTGTTTGATCATTCAGGGAAAAACCAAAGATTTCGAAAAAAGCAGGCTTGAAGGTTGGCCGGAACTATAACTCAGCTAAGGTTTCTGTCCACTAAAGTAATTCTCGGCTTCCAACGTCTCTTTTGCATATATTAGGTTGTCAAGAAAATAATGTCCGTTTTTATTTGCTTGCTTTAACAAAGCAACCTGACTCAACCCAACAAAGGGTAAGGGGTACTGTTCGATAGAGCAAAGCAAGCTCTACAAGATGGCACTCATGATTTTGCGCCAAGTTCGATCCACGGAAAGTTCGAACTCAAAATTTAAAGATTTCCAAATGCACAAAAAATCGAAAAAAATCAGATCTTCGTCCAAATAATTTCTACGGACCTCCCACTCGCTCACATCAATACTATCGATATCTGATACCCATATGTGCGATTGCCGTATTTCTTCCTTGACTAGAAACTGAAAAAACGGAAATTTCCCCGATTTTCTCAAAGCAATGCTGAGCCGTTTTTGCATATGTAGTTCTATACTACAAGCCTAGGTAAGTATAACTGTAGGTTTTCAGCCTATTTCAAGCGGTACTTTTTCGAGAAATGTCGTTTTTAGCACTGAAACTGAAACGAAGAAATCCGAATTCGTTATTTTTCGAAAACTACCGCTTGGAACGGGCTGAAAATCTACAGTTATACTTACCTAGTGTCGCGGCTCGCGATGCAAGCCACTCCTCGTAACAGGAGGCCGGGAGCGCTGGCTATCGCGTTACTTGGCGCGCTTTCAAGATCGCGCCAAGACCTCTCCTGCTGGGCGCGTTGCCAAGTCACAGGGTATATAAGGGCGCGCAGGCCGCGGTCTACGCCTCTTCGATTTCCGTTCGTATTGATCGTTTTTATGATTTCGTTCGTGCTGGCAGCGCCTCCAACAGCTCCCGCAGATGATCATCGGTTTCGAGCGGTTGAGCCTTTGTTATCTTCTTGGTTTCGGAGACGCGCAGCTAAATGTTATGGCTCGTCTTGCGCAGGAAGTGTGCTCGCGGGAGTGGAGAGGGGTCACACCGTCCCGGAAGGGCTAGGGGCTTGCGGTTGACCCAGCGGAGAGCCCGGAACTACTTGAAGTTGATCATCATCGTCATCATCACCAGCCTCGGCAGCACGGGACGAGGCGGCTCGTCCCGTGTTTGGTTTCTCATGGATTGAAGTAGTGTTTTTTAGTAATTTTAGTATTTCTAGTAGTATTAGTGATTTGTTATTATGTTTTGTAGATAAACGTAGTCTGAACTAGTCGGTCCTTTTGTTTCTCAGCGTCACGCGCTATTTTACCGTGCCGTTTATACCTGTAGAGGGTAGTCCTCGGCAGCGCCCGTCAAGGCGTCATGAACCTTGGTGGACGCGCGACATCGTAGGGGACAAACGGGAGTTAGGTGTAGCTGCGGCGAGCACTCTAGGCAAGGTGCTGATCACACCGAGCCGCCACATGGTGCATCGACGCCGAGCGCATGGTGGGTGGCGGTTTTGCCGCCCCGCGTATGGAGATGGGTAGCCGCGCGCCCAGGTTGCGGCTAGGTAGGTAACATCAGCGGCTTAGGTAAGGTTTTAGGTAGGTTCTCTCGCGCTAAGTTATCCCATCCTCCATGCGTGCGTAACGAATCCTGTGTCTACCACGTTCAGCACCTAGTAAGAAGATCCAGGCAAGCAGGGAGACGCGCCTTTCGTCTTCGTAGCCAGTAGTGGACTACAGAGGCTAGCCAGGCTAACATCGTGGGCAGCGCGTGGGGTAGTGGTAAGGTGGCAGCTTGCCAACTAACCCCCGAGCTCAGCGCGTGGACTCACTCGATTCCTGGTCAGCCACCGCGCCAGAGAGGCTGTAGGAGTGACGGGCCGGCGTCGTCATTGGCGGGCTCGACCAAGGACCAGCAGCTGCAATAGTGTCGAGTTTCAACAAAGGATAAGGCAGGTAAGTGGAATAGGTTTTTTCAGGTTTTAAGGATGGACGGATTTCGGACGCGCGGATCATGGCGAGGCACACACGGCGCCGTCCTTAACAGGAGAGTGAACCGGGGATAGGTAACTGGGTGTTCGGGCTAGGTAAGGGGGTCTAGGATAGGTTAGCAAGGATTTGGCTTAGGCATAGGGTACAATCTAGGTAAGGGGGATTAGGTGGGATAAGGCGGCTTAGGTTAAGGGGGCAGGGTTTTTAGCTAGGTTTAGGAGGGTAACTGGGTTCTCTTTAGGTAGGTGAGGGGGTTTAGGATCGGGGGGATGGGTTAGGTTAACAGGGCTAAGTTTGGTTTTTAGGTGGGTTAGGTAAGGGTATGCTTTATTGGGGTTCAAGCTAGGATAGGTAGGTAAGGTATCCAGGTAAGACCGCGCGGATAGGTAGGTAAGGTACTTTAGGTAGTATAGGTAGGTAAGGTACTTAGGTAAGGTAGATAAAGACGCGGCAAATAGGTAGGCAATTCATATTTCTTCAGTTTAGGTAAGGTATACTCCTTAGGTTTAGGTAGGCATTTGGCGGTTCACTCGCCCATGGGTTCAGCGAACCCCTCCAGGTCGCCAAGCTGGAGCCTCCTACAGTGTCTACACTGGCCTCCGGTCGGTTACTTGCTCTGCTAGTTCTGCTACACGCGTTTCACTTAGGTGCCGCGCTAGGCTCTTAGACGAACGCGTTGTCGTAACTGCTTGTCTTGCGCCCTCATTCTCCCTACTGCCGTTGGACTACCCCATTCCTTTTGCTTTGGCGCACGGTTTAGGCAGGGCCGGTTTTCTATAGGTACTCACGTCATATTTATCTTGGGGGGTTGTAGTTGTAGTTTCTACTCGCTTACCTTGTTGTATTTTTGATATTGCGTTTCTGCTTTTTATGTTCCAGGTAATGTCGCAACTCGGTTCGCGAAAAGCCCAGCTAAGGCCGCCAACTCACTACGCAAGAAGATCGCGGAAGTCGATCAGGCCAACCTCGATCTTGTGGACTTTGCTTCGGAGGCGAGTAAAGATCCACATTTGGTTTTCAATCGTTTGAATTCTTTTTCTCTTTCATTTTCTTCTATTAGTCGTGCTGCCTCTGCCCTTCGTGGCCAGTTGGAGAAAGCCGAAGAGTTTGCTCGGCAGAATCCTGACGAGCATGGAGAGTTCCCTTTCCTCTCCGACATCCATACTCATTGGGAAACCGGTGGGATGGATGATCTTCTAGAGGAGGCGGATGCTCTTCTTGTTCGCTTGGATTCGGCGATCAGACTTCTTCCTATTTTGGGAGGCCTTCAGTCTTCTGTTCCATCTGTTGCTCCATCCTTGCCGCGCAGTTCTCCTCCCCATAATACCCAAGATTCTGCGCCAACCCCTCAACACGCGCATCAGGCGGAAGTGGAAGTACGCAGCCATTCTCCGTCGCATCATGGTCGTCCATCTGACCCAACCGCGCCTGTTGACCAGCGTCCCCCTGCGAGCCATACTGGCGCGCATCCCTCGGGCGGATTTGGCTTCCCCTCGGGTAACCCTCCCTCGAATCCCACCCACTTTTCGCAATCTCCATCTGGGCTTCCAAATTCTTTGCCAAATCCTTTTTCGCATGACCTTCAAGCCTCATCCTCTTCATCCCTTAACCCCTTTTTGCCCTTGGAGCAACCAGTGAAGTTGCCTTCTTACGAGATCCCAACCTTCAGCGGCGATATCGAGGCATTCTCCGAGTTTTGGGATATCTTTTCTACAGCCGTGCATAATAACAACACCGTGCCGGCAGCAGTCAAGTTCATGTACTTGAAGTCGGTCCTTAGAGGAGATGCTGCTCGGATTATCGCAGGCTTCAAACCAACGGCGAAGAATTACGACACTGCAGTACGCACCATTCTGAGCACGTACGATCGTCCTGAGATTCTGAGAAGTCGATTGTGGGACAAGTTGTCGCAGCAGTCACCGGCGTCAGACTCTGCAATTTCGCAACGCGCTACACTTTGCGCGCTTCAGGCAACTTGGTACCAGATGAAGGAGTTGAACGAGGATTCCAGCTCGATCGCTACGTTGAGAACAATCCGATCTAAGTTTCCCTGGCGTACACGCGAGAAAGTTGGCGAACTGAAAGGCAAAAGTGACACTATGTGGACAGTGGACGAGCTGTTGTCAGCTCTCAGCACGGTTATTGATAGACTGCAAGTGGTAGAGGACTCCGATCCAGCAGGTCATCGCGCTTATAACTCGGATTCCACAGTTCGTCAGCATTCTCCTTCCCCGTACAGGTATCCCGGCACGAGTCAGCCGTACATGAGGTACCCACCGTATCAGCAACAACCAGCTTACCCACGTTACGCGCGTAGCTCGCGCTCACCATCACCAAGATACCGTGACGTCACTTATAGACCTCCGACTCCTTATTACCCACGGCGCACATCTCGTAGCCCTGTCAGACCCCAGTACACTACATCATGGGAGCCTCGGTGTGCCTTCTGTTTCCGTCAAGGACATCCTTCGGAGTGTTGTAGGACAGTGTCCGACGTGCAACAGAGGAGAGAGCTCGTCAACCAGTATAGACTGTGTTGGCTGTGTCTCGAAGAAGGTCACACGTTCAACATCTGCAGAGCCCCAGCGTGCAGATACTGTGGCAGATTACATCATCCAGCTTTGTGTGCTACATTACCATCAGCGCCCTATTCGTCCTACCCACCTGCGCAATTTCGTCAGCGCACTCCTTCACCTAGACGCGTACAGTTTGAGACGACAGCGCACCCTTCACCATCTCGCACCCAGTACGCGAGTCCGCGCACTTCTCCTTCGCGTCGACCTACACTCAAAGCGCCGTCTCCATCTAGGCGTCAGTCACGTTCCAACTCTAGACGCGCTACTCTTCCTCGAAGATCTTCAAGCGCGTTTCTCGCTGTGCAAACTTCCACCTGCACTCCAGTCGCGCATGATTCCATCCAGTCAGATGAGCCCATAGAGTTGCTCGACCAACATGAAGCTAGCGTAGGGCCACATTCACCTTCATCTTGCACTTCTGTGTGCCGAGCTGCTTCCGCAACTCAGGTTCCTCGTCTAATGGTGGTTCATGCTATAACCCGGAATCTTAAAACTAGTATGGATGAACTGCTTACTGTCTTCCTCGATAGCGGTTCGCAGTATAGTTTTATCTGTACCTCGCTGGCCTACCATCTCGGCCTGACTTTCAAGAATACAAGGACTGTCACGACTCTGACCTTCGGGGGACACCAGTTCACTGAAGACTCGTCAGAAGTCACACTCACGTTATGGGACCAGCTCGATCCTCCAATTCAACTCCAGCTTTGGACGCGCGATACCATCACAACGGTCCCGAAGACGAACAACATGGATGATACGAATAACACCTATATGGACGATAGAGTCGAAGTCGATGTACTCATTGGAATAGATAACTACTGGCGCGTTGTGGACTTGCATAGGAATGAGAAGCTTCCATCAGGTCTCATTCTGTCCCACACTCGCTTCGGACCAGTTCTATCAGGTCTTAGTTATCCAGTAGTATCGGAGATCACTAGCTCGGCAACGACTCTACTTAACGATGACGCGCCAGGAACGGAACAGCTTTTACGAAGTCTCCTCGGCCTAGACACACTCGGATTAGACGATTCAGATGTATCACTAGATGCCGACGTCATCAGGCAGTTTTACGATAGTGTTAGGATAATCGACGGTTCCATCTACGTCGCATTTCCGTGGAAATCCCAGCATCCTCCTTTGGCAGATAACAAAGCTCTCGCCTTTCGTCGCTTAGAGAGCCAGTACGAGAGACTCCATGCAATACCATCAGCGTGGAGCGAGTACTGCCACACCTTTGATCGTCAGCTACGATCAGGCGTAATCGAGGACGTTACGGATCTGCCCTCTACTACCCCTAACACATATTACATCCCACATCAGGCAGTCTATAAGGAGGATAGCCAGACCACCAAGCTACGTATAGTCTTTGATGCCTCGAGTCATCAGAAAGGACATCCCAGTCTGAACGATTGCCTGCATCAAGGACCCTCCTTGATACCCGATCTTGTAGGAACCCTGCTGCGTAGCCGTCTACATTGCTATTTGATGATCGCCGACGTAGAGAAAGCCTTCCACCAGATCCACTTACACCAGGATCAGAGGGACTGCACCAGATTTCTCTGGTTAAGAGATGTCCACCAACCTCCGTCGACAGAGAATCTCCGGATCTTGCGTTTTACGCGCGTTCCTTTCGGCATCAACGCATCACCGTTTCTACTCAACATGTCCATCAGATATTTCCTCGAGAGGGATCCAGCCAATCGACTCAAGGAAGAAATTCTTGCCAACACGTACGTTGATAACGTGCTAATCGGTGCGAATACCACCAAGGAGTGTATTACCAAGCAGATGGAGTGCAAGGAAATCTTCAGTCGCATGCACATGAACCTACGGGAGTTCATGTCTAACAACCAGCAGACGATGCTTAGGATTCCGGAAGAGGATTGTATGACCTTACCTGGACGATTCGTGAAGCTCCTAGGGATCAAGTGGGACCCCAAGCTCGATGTACTTCACGTGCCTATTGAGATCGCGCGACAAGAAGTGTCGAGCAAGCGTACCGCGCTTCAAGCGTATGCATCGATCTTCGATCCACTAGGACTTCTTACCCCGCTTCTTATAAGACCTAAGATGTTTATACAGGACCTCTGGGAATCTGGTTATTCGTGGGACGATCCGTTAGATGAAAGTACTACCCAGAAGTGGAATACCATTGTCCAGGAAATCAGCGGCTTTCAGTTGAGACTACCTCGTTTCGTAGGATATCCATCTGCCAACGCGTACGACCTTGTCATCTGTTCAGACGCGTCGAAACGAGTGTATGCTGTAGCAGTCTACGTTGTGACGCGCACGTCCACCTATAGTCCCAGTTCCACTCTACTCTTTGCTAAGGCAAAGTTAGCACCATCGGGCGCGATCACTATCCCGCGCATGGAACTCTTGGCGTGCCACATGGCTGCAAAAACAGTACGTTTCCTGAAAAGCCAGCTCAAGATTCGCTTCAATTCCATCAGATTCCTGACTGATTCTCAGATAGTACTGTACTGGATCTACTCTGATAAGTTGCTCAAGACTTACGTCGCCAACCGTGTCAAGTACATCAGACAGGTTCTCGACGAGCTTAAGTCTGACAACATCGACTGTGGATTTTACTACCTGGCTACAGACGTTAACCCGGCTGACTGCGCCACCCGTGGACTCACAGCTAGAGAGCTCGAAAACCACATTTGGTGGAGCGGTCCATCGTTTATCACGACTTCGTTTGCTGACTGGCCGTGCAAGTCCTTCAACCCTTCTTTCGATCCACCTGCAGGAGGAGATTCTGAAGAATTACGGACGACCACAGCACTAGTAACTTCAGCCAATACCATCATGGCATCCTACCAGTCCTTTGTACCGTTTAGACGGACCAATTCCTACATCCGACTCGTCCACATCACAGCCTACGTCCTGAAGTATGTAGCCAAGCTACGCCGTTTAGTAAGGACGCGCCACAGCCCTGATGATTCCGACGAGCATCCCCTATTCGGCACAATAGGCACAAGTCCCATTGTAACACCGGGTGACTTCTCAGCTGCTGAGTTGATCGTTATCCGCGAGCATTACCGCGAGGTTCCTCAGCAGTTACACGGCTTTCATCTGAAGAAACTCCGCACAAGGCAAGAAGGAGATGGTACGATACACGTGGACTTACGTATGGCGAACGCAGAGACGAGCGAGACGGCGAAGAGCCCGATCCTCATACTCTCAGGTCATCCCCTTTGCGCCATGCTAATAGCTTACTACCATCAGAAGCTATTCCATGCCGGTACTTCCCATTTGATCGCAGCCTTACGCGAGAGGTTCTACATTCCCAAGCTCAAACGTATGGTTAAATCGGCTATTGCTAAGTGTGTGACGTGCAAGCGATATCAAGGCCATCTTTTCGCATATCCACGTTCACCAGATCTTCCTCCGGAACGGGTCGTTCGAAATCGTCCTTTCCAGAACATCGGACTCGACTATTTTGGCCCCATTTCAGTCCGTCTACAGCAAGGCACTCTTCACAAGGTTTGGGTTTGTCTCTTCACGTGCATGTCTACGCGCGCGCTACACCTCGAAGTAGTCAAGGACAACTCAACCTTCCAGTTTCTCCTAGCATTCAGAAGATTCATCGCGCGTAGAGGAGCTCCTGACACCGTCATAAGCGACAACGCGCCCACATTCAAGCTAGGAAGGGAGATCATCACTAATAACCTGAAGGAAGTAGCGGAAGATTCCCTAGTGGACGGATTCGTTGAAAGCCAGAACATCAACTGGAGTTTCATCACACCATACTCGCCGTGGAAAGGTGGATTCTACGAACGTTTGGTAGGATCAGTGAAGAGCTGTTTGAAGAAGACGGTTCGGCGAGAAACCCTCGATCTATGGCTTTTTGAGACGCTCACCCTTGAAATAGAGGCCGTCCTTAACACGAGACCCTTATTTCCGGCGAATTCGGCTAACTCGAACACGGACCTGGTGATAAGACCCATAGATCTGATAAATCCACAGTTTCGACTAGGTCGCCTGACGTACAGCATGCCTCAGAAGATCGAGACGTTGTCGCGCGACAACTACGAATCCCTGAAGACGCAGTACCGGCTCTTGCAGACTGATCTTGATTATTTCTGGGATATATGGCACAAGGAATACCTTACCGCGCTCGCAGAACGACAAGCGTCGCGCACTCAGAAGAGCTCCGGTACCAAAAGGTCACCGCGCGTAGGAGACGTAGTACTAATAAAAGAACAGGATTTATCAAGATCTAGATGGCCGCTTGGCCTCATTCTGCAGTTACACACCTCACCCGACGGCAATGTAAGATCAGCCAGAATTAAGATCGGAAAGCGAAAGATAGTGGACCGTGCACTCAATCATCTACTGCCGTTAGAGATCAGTGCAGCAGACACAGAGGATCCTCAAGTGAACGCTCAGGAGCGTAGAGCGACACGGATTCAGCCATCAAGAACAGTGAAAGCAAAATGATAGTGAAATCATCATTCTACAAACGTATGTTGTTATTGTTACTTTTGATTGTTATTCGTTGATTTCATTTGTTGTTTATTGTTGCCTTGTTATCCTATTTGTTTTGTACGTATGTAGTATGATGTATTGCGCGAGGACGCGCCTATCATATTTTTGCTCCAATCCATTGAATTTTGTGTCAAAAGTTCGATCTTCGAATAAACTAAGTGTCGGTTCACTTGATCGCTTACATGGACATGCTTATACCCTTATATGACTTTTTTACCCGACTATCACTTCCCTGTGCATAGCTTTTGCAGTGCCACAGCCACGGATTTGGATTCCCACGGATCAGACTTTGACTTCACCCAGCCCAGGTCAAGCAGCTCCTACGCCGTATCTACTGCCAGGTATTTTTTAGCGCACGCGCGCGTTATTTTGAACAGCCAAGGTTACGCATATGTACTTTGTGCATTTTACATATCTTACTTTTTGTTGCGCATACGCGCCTTAGGTAGTAGAAGAGCTTGCTATCCTTTTTTTGCGCGTATTTGCTAACCTTGTGCCTTGTGCAGTTTGCGTAGAGAACGCCCGCGCGTTAACATCCTTGTCGTGGGAGGCTGGACTGAAGTCCATTTTTTAACATCTTTAGCCTGCGCGATTATGTTTTTCATTGCCATCTATATGTATTTGGTCCCCGTTCGCGCATGGGAGGAAGCGCTCGCGAGCCTCGGTAACATCATTTCAGACGTGAGCGCAGGATTTTGGGACCTTCCAGGGTAGGTAGTGCGTCAGCATCACTACGGAGGCAGTTGATTCGGTATGTACGGTCCGATTTTGTTTGATTTTGACCTCGTGAATAATGTGTGTTGCAGAATTGTATCATTTGGTTGAGCACACCTGGTTATGGATGGTTGTTTGAATGCGCATGTCCGAATCACCTCCATGGCACCAACAGCAACTACTACCGCATCTACCTGCCCAATAATCAATACATTAGTCTGTTTCACCTTCACTAACTGTGGACGTTCAGCTATTTTTACCATCCTTCTTAGCTGTATTTTATTTCGTGTTATCATCCATAGTTTAGTTGGCGCGTCGTGCGCATTGATGCAGAACTGTATCAAGTATTCGAGCGCGATAGCGCCCTTGTGAAGGTGTTGCATTTTTGCACGGGCCGAGTTGTTCATTTTCCTTTGTCGCGCGCCCCTACTGTGCTGCCGATGGCGACGTTTCTTTTTTGTCTATACTTGGTTAGGTGTTCTCCGTTGTGGACTCCAGCGCTATCACGTAACCACCATCCGAACGTCCAAGCCACTGTTTCGAGGGGGAGTGTCGCGGCTCGCGATGCAAGCCACTCCTCGTAACAGGAGGCCGGGAGCGCTGGCTATCGCGGTACTTGGCGCGCTTTCAAGATCGCGCCAAGACCTCTCCTGCTGGGCGCGTTGCCAAGTCACAGGGTATATAAGGGCGCGCAGGCCGCGGTCTACGCCTCTTCGATTTCCGTTCGTATTGATCGTTTTTATGATTTCGTTCGTGCTGGCAGCGCCTCCAACAGCTTCCGCAGATGATCATCGGTTTCGAGCGGTTGAGCCTTTGTTATCTTCTTGGTTTCGGAGACGCGCAGCTAAATGTTATGGCTCGTCTTGCGCAGGAAGTGTGCTCGCGGGAGTGGAGAGGGGTCACACCGTCCCGGAAGGGCTAGGGGCTTGCGGTTGACCCAGCGGAGAGCCCGGAACTACTTGAAGTTGATCATCATCGTCATCATCACCAGCCTCGGCAGCACGGGACGAGGCGGCTCGTCCCGTGTTTGGTTTCTCATGGATTGAAGTAGTGTTTATTAGTAATTTTAGTATTTCTAGTAGTATTAGTGATTTGTTATTATGTTTTGTAGATAAACGTAGTCTGAACTAGTCGGTCCTTTTGTTTCTCAGCGTCACGCGCTATTTTACCGTGCCGTTTATACCTGTAGAGGGTAGTCCTCGGCAGCGCCCGTCAAGGCGTCATGAACCTTGGTGGACGCGCGACATCGTAGGGGACAAACGGGAGTTAGGTGTAGCTGCGGCGAGCACTTTAGGCAAGGTGCTGATCACACCGAGCCGCCACACCTAGGCTTGTAGTATAGAACTACATATGCAAAAACGGCTCAGCATTGCTTTGAGAAAATCAGGGAAATTTTCGTTTTTTCAGTTTCTAGTTAAGGAAAAAATACGGCAATCGCACATATGGATATCAGACATTGATAGTATTGATGTGAGCGAGTGGGAGGTCCGTAGAAATTATTTAGACGAAGATCTGATTTTTTTCGATTTTTTGGGCATTTGGAGATCTTCAGATTTTGAGTTCGAGCCCTCCATAAATCGAGAATGGCGCAAAGACATGAGTGCCATCTCGTAGAGCTTGCTTTGCTCTATCGAACAGTACCCCTTACCCTTTGTTGGGTTGAGTCTGGTTGCTTTGTTAAAGCAAGCAAAAGAAAACGGACATTATTTTCTTGACAACCTAATACATAGTCGAAAGTCAAAGCAGTGCCTTTAGTCCAGCTGTGCCATACCTTTAAAAAAACGCTTATCTGCTTTTTCACTTGAAAAGTATACTTGTAATTTGTTCCCGAGAATGTGTTTTTATGGGTGATTCAGCAGTTTTTTGTCTAGTTTGGAAACGATAGGGCTTCGTCTAACTTATGGATGCTTAGCGAAGTGAGAACTAGAGAAAAAAATTTGAGTTTTCTTATTTGAAGCGTACCCGACATAGACCTAACAGCAAGCCTGCGCTCAAATTTAAGCCCCCAAACTCTTTCTGCAATGTTCTCATGAGCGTGGAGAAGAGTAATAACATTGTTGTAAGTATGAGAGTCCGGATGCATTGAGATTTTCGCAGGTCCTTGCATGCAGCCTAATTGAGGAATTCATCCTGCAAAAACTGATTTGCAAATGCTGATTCGCCACCCCCCTCCCCGAAAACGGGTCGCGAAATTCTTCAAAGTTACTTACATGAGTTATAACAATGTGCAAATGACTTGTTTATTTTTGTAAACAGTTAAAATGATTTTTAAAATGTTTCAAAAATTCAAATTAGCCTTAAAAAAATTTTTTTCGGGGCGTGTTGGGGGCCCACAAAATTTTTGAGAGCCTCCTATAAATTTTTCGGTGTGCGTGGCTAACGCCACGCACCTTCATTTGAAAAATTTTTTGCCGCCCCTACCCCACCCCCCCCGGCCCAAAATCCTGGGTACGCCACTACTTGGTAAGTCTCTTGGGGTTGTCTAAATATTATCATTGAACCGCGAAGATTTATGCTTTGAAAACGAAGCAAAATGTGACTTGGCGAACAATTCGTAAGTATAGTGTACAAACTTCTTTTTATGTAAATAATGCTTTACATCATTTTGAGCTTACAAAAATAACATAAACCAATTTTGAAGGCAAGAATTTGAGCGCAGGCTTGCTGTTAGGTCTATGTCGGGTAAGCTTTGATTATGAGAACTCAAATTTTTTTTCTCTAGTTCTTAGGGTTGTTTCATACTGCCGCACTGTGCAGCAGTCTGCACTGACCGCAGCAGATTGCAGCAGACTGCAGCTGACTGCACTGACTGCAGCAGACTGCAGCTGATCGCACTGACCGCAACGACCGCAGCGGCTGTAGCATGCAGGCGGAGAGGATAAATAGTTGTGGTTTAAACAAACAACAACAATATATACGTAAAAGCAAAAGACAACACGGTTTAGAATGTTACAAAACAGGTATATGCAATGATAGGAGGAATTAGAACAAATACGAACATACGAAAGGAAACTATCGCCAAAATTTGATTGAGAAGAATTCTGATGGAACTTATGATCTTCTTATGCGTGCGGTCAGCTGCAGTCAGCTGCAGTCTGCTGCAGTCTGCTGCAGTCAGTGCAGTCAGCTGCAGTCTGCTGCAGTCAGTGCGGCAGTCTGAAACAACCCTTACTTCGCTAAGCATCTATAAGATAGATGGAGCCGTACCGTTTCCAAACCAGACAAAAAATGCGGAATCACCTATAAAAACACATTCTCGGGAACAAATTACGCATGAAAGTATTTTTAAGCGAAAAAAAAAAGCAGATAAGCGTTTCTTATAAAGATATGACACAGCTGAACAAAAGCGACTGTTTTGACTTCTGATTATGTATGTGCACAAGAAATTTTGGAAGCCGAAAATTACTTTAGTGGACAGAAACCTGGGTGGAATTACAGTTTTGGCCAACCTTGAAGCCTGCTTTTTTCGCAATTTTGGATTTTTTCCTGAATAATCAAACAAAAAGGGATCCTTTCTAATTACTGATGTTAGCCTGTTGAACACACAATTGTACCAAATTTTAGATTAATTTGTTGAGAAGCAGATGAATTACGGCAGTTTCCAGGGTGGAATTATAGTTTTGGCCAGCACTGTATTAGTTAAGCGAACGCTTTTCAAACGTTGTTTCAAACATAGTTTTGCGTCTTTGGCAGTAGCCTACAGTTTCTCGAGTTCCTCGCGGCCGCCTCGCTCGTTCTCTTGCTCAGCATTGACAGGACCAATTTAAATTGCGTCTAAAAATATGCGACTCTTAAAATGCATACATCAAAATCTATGAGTTATACAAAGTTCCTAAAAATATGAATTTTTTGGTGTAGTTAATAATAATTTTTAGTCTGTCCGGTCTGCTCGTGCGAGCGACCAAAGAATTGTATCCCGGTAGAAGATAGAATGTACGTGGAACAGTTGCCTTAATTGCTTGATTGGATAACAATACACAGTTCGAGCTTTTCAGATGCATGATCCATTGTCCGGAACTACAGAAGGTCGGTACAGAAGCAATCACATTTCGAAGTGAAGATATTTTTCATCAAACTTGGCCATTTGAAAAATTTTTAAGCTGACTTGTACAGCGACGATAACAAAATACATTCTCATTCAAAAATTTATTGCTGTATTGTAATCAAGCTTTAGTGAAAGAAGACAAGTTGATGATAGCAAATTTGGAGGACTCTTACACAAGCGAATTGTAGGAACTCTAAAATCCCTTTGTAGCAGCAACGTAATCCTTCGTAAACGCATCCAAATATGGTTGAACACTGCGATCCAAAAACTTTGTATTCTTCAAGTATATGAACAACACTTGATGGATGTACAAGTACTGATGCTCAGTCTAAAAAAGTGATTATTAGAAAATACTTCAGTTCATAGTTTCATTGCCGATGGAGGCGGTTGCCTGGTTAAGCCAAGCGGGCGCGACAGCAGCGCGCAAACGGTTGCTATAATGACTCCACTGGAGAAGTGGTACTTACATGTTAGCGCCCGCTTGGCTTAAACGCAGCGTCCCACCAGACCGGGGGGGGGGGCACCCGACTTTGGTAGTAAGGTAATAGTAGACCCCCTAACTGCGCGACGACAGAAGTTTGCAGAAGTGGCCCGAATTTTACGGCGGCTCGGGCGGGTGGAGGAACGAACGTCTCAATTAGGCATCGCCTCCGCGAACTGCTGGTCCTTTCGTCCTACTATTGTGCATCGTGTTGGGACCAGTGGTCCGCGGAGGCGGTGCCTGGTTGAGGTGTTCGTTCCTCCACCCGGCTCGGGCGAGTACGAGATGCATGCAAGGTAGAGACGCAGAGTCGTTGTGAGACCCTGCACTCATGACTGGGTGCGCTATGCGTGCTCTGGCCTTGTAGTTCGAAATTGATCTGTGGGCGGCGTTCGGACCTCCGTAAGATTCGCCCACATGAGGGGTGATTTGTAAACTTCGTACACCCCCTTCCGTGCTGCAAACTTCTGTCGTCGCTTAGTTAGGTCTATTAACAATTAACACCAGAGCCAGGTACCCCCCTGTCTGGTGGGACGCTGCCTTTGAGGGTTGGTCTTCATGCAGCAATGGACCTCAATCATTCCTGCTACCTGAATGCTGTTGTTCCTCTGTTTTCGCAACTCAATGAGGTATGAGAATATATCCTGTAATGGAGCTGGTTGATGCAGTAACTCCATTGCATGCTCTAGCAAAACAATGGATCCAGTTCTTCCTATCCCGGCTGAGCAGTGCACTATTATGGGTGTGCTACAAACAAATTTTATCTACTGTGGTTGCCCACTGTGGTATGATTCATCCTCACGTGCACTCTTTCAGTCTTGCCAGTAGCGAAATAGGAGCTAGATCAGCTTCTGGCACCCCGCGATCTGGCCAGTCCATCCAGTGGTAATGGAGGCAAGTGTGAACAGGCTGGTTGGGTACACTTACTTCCAGTTGTCTGACCATTATTTTCACTTTTGTTTCGAAAGGAAATGGAAACTGCAAGAAAAGGGCAGTGAAAATTAGTGGAAGATGGATTTTTACGTTTGTTCAAATGCGAACTGCGTTTCTATACACAAAGGATTATTGAAAATCTTTCAGGCTTTGGCCCGTAGTGAAGCTCGGTTAATGGAAATGATCTCTCCTTGGGCCCTCATGTGAGGTTTCGTTAGGTGAAATAACGACCGCCCCCACTCCCCCATGCTATAAGAATGCAATGTCACCTGGCAAGCCTCACTCAAAGGCAGTGTCCGGGCAAAAACTCGATTTTGAGATTCTGTGCTTACCCGGGCCTATTCGCTACGCTGAATCCGAAAATCCACATTGGAAAGCGCAAAAACGGCGAAAAAGGGCTATAACGCAGGAGGGAAATCAAAAGTGGGCGGGGTTTTCCTCAGGGTGAACACGGTCCCAGCTCCCGGAGCGATCTTTTCGCTTCCGACTTCAGATCATGCATTCGCACTTGGTCCTTTGAATGTCAGGGCGGTTAGTGGGATTGAAAAGATCGCTCCGAAAGCTGGGACTGTAAATTCACCTTGGGGAAGACCCCGCCCACTTTTCATTTCACTCCTGCGTTAGAGCCCTTTTTCGCCGTTTTCGCGCTTTCCAATCTGGATATTCCGATTCAGCATAGGGAATAGGCCCGGGTAAGCACGAAATCTCAAAATCGACTTTTTGCCCGGACACTGCCTTCAAGTTCGGCGAGTAGGTCATTTCTCTGCCGAGTCATGGGAGATGATCCGCGCGAATCCCCCGAAACAGTGTAATTACTAAAAGGAGCTTTAGAGAAAATCTCCGTAAGTCACCCCTGAGTAACATACAGTATACCTGCGGACGCGCCTTATCCTTATCCTGGTCTATTCCCAGTTAAAAACTGTATTGTACTTACTGGATACTGTCTCTTCAGTTGTACACTAACATTGCCCTCGAATACCAGTGGTGGTCCTTCTTCTGTTGGAAAGTATTCTGCACACTTTTTAGTTTTCTGTTGAAGAAGATTCAACTTGAGTTATGGAAAATTACATAGCAACCTGTTCAATAAAGTTGCACAGCATGCATATCGCAGTAGAATTTTCCTGTACCACCATATACCAAAATTCTGGGCAGGTTTTTGGAAGGGGTGCCTGAAAATTGCCTGTAAATGCAATTCTTCTTGTCTTTCCGAAGCCTACCTGGGTGCAAATAAATCTTTTCGAATTCATCGGAGTAGTTACATAATTAGCGTGTATGTATGAGACTGGTCCGATATGAAGTACAACTCTATCGTTATCCAAACATCCTACATCCTGTAAGATCACCATAGAAATTTGAGAAGTGGATGTAAATGATTATGTATGAAGTACGTAGATGAAGAGGAAAAGTAAACACGCTATACCAAATTAAAGCGGAGAAACGGTACTTGCAAAGCTTATAAATCAGAAGCGACTACTGCAGCTCATGTAAGTTCCGTTTCATGCTCGTTACTTCTAATACTATTTCTAGGTTTGTTTTTAGAATCGATATTATATACATGTGAACGTAGTTCATAATCGTGCTCAACCATCACTGCTCAAAGCTCCAGCACAAAAACCAGTTAGGGCCAATACGCAAACGATGTGCGTCACTCAAGGCTGTGTTAACTAAACACCGTACTTTGTATCTGTTTCGGCCTTGTGGAATCTGCGCTACGAATTCTGTCATCTTTGTAAAATCGTTCACACGTTTCAGCGACTTGAATTCGGCAATAAGGCCTCTGACTCCTTTTCTGAGTGTTTCTTCAACAAACACCTTGACCTAAAACAGATATTCTTACAAACGTCGCCACAATGGCAGAAGGAACCAAAGCACTGTCAGTAGTATCCGCAGGAAGTAATATGAGTGCAAGCGTTCCAAAAAGATTTAGTGAAGATCGGAAGACTTAACGAAAAATAATTTAATTTTGGTTGGAAATGAATTAAGTTTTCCAGAATATTGCCTTGTCAAGGATGGATACCATAATGGGCAAAAGATTCAGCGCTAAGCAGAGAATAGTATTCGTATTGACTCTGACCTTGATATGTACATATTAGGTTGAGAAGAAAGAATGTTGCTTCCTTGTCATGGCACCGCAACAAAGCAAATCTAAGGACGTGTATACAGGGCTCCTAAATTGCAGAGTCGTTTACACCAGCGGTCGCGCGACCGCGTCGCGCCCGGGCATCAATGGCGCCGCCTCGATCAATGGCGCCGGCGCCGGCAAAATGCCCGGGCGGTCGCGCCACCGCTGGTGCAAATGACTCTGCAATTTAGGAGCCCTGTAGATGCCATTCGATAGAGCAAAGCAAGCTCTACAAGAGGGCTGCTGCTTTTGCACCAAGTTTGATCCATGAAGTTCGAAAACGGAATCTAAAAAGTTTCAAATGGCCGAAAAATCAAGTAAATTCGTATCTCCTTCCAAAATATTTCTGCGGACCCCTCAACTTGCTCGCGGAATAAATCCTTCATCAAGCATTCATAAGCGCAGCTGCGGTAGTTTTTCCCTGGCTAGACCTCGAAATAAAATTTCCATGCTGCCGCCAAAGTAATTACTAATTACCTGGGGTTGAACTTGCTAAGTTTATCTGTACGAAATTGCAAGATCCATAATTTATGTTTTGTATCTATATATTTCATGAGTTAAAGTTGAACAGCTCTGGTCACGATCTTGCATATCTCCTCAAAAACTCAAATGTCTTTTGGAACGTCATTAAACACTAAAGATGCGCTAATTGTGTCCATCTTGCAGTGAAAATCGCGCCTCTTGACATACACCCAGAACTACACAGGTACTGCAACTTCTTTGATGCCCCTCACTGGTAGTTCCTGAAGCCTCAAAATTTCAACAAAAGAGATAACCTACAGTAAAATTTTTCGAGAAACAATTCGCCACTACGGCTATTTATTTGCTCAACGATGCGACTTGCTCAACACATCGACTGCTAATCAACCTCTGGTTTGACCTCAAAATTCAAAAGAATCTGATGCGTAAGAACTATATTAACCTCTTGAAACTGTCAGGCATAGATCGTGAGGCAAGTAACGTGTTCCCCATAAGCTCATTGACAGTTGGGTGAGTGATTACTCGTAACAAAAGTTAATTACCACGAAAATCAAATTTTGCTTGTAGGGCTGGTGAGAGCGCCTTAAAATCCTTATGTCAAATCTGCCGCTTATGATTTCCGACTTTTTTTGCAAGGGTTCATATGCTTGATCCCTCTATGAAGTTAGCGCTTCTGATTACCTCCTGCAGATACAGGCAGCGAGGCCTTCGGTTCCACCATCACCTCTTCATTAGGACATCCTATAGGAAAGAACATTTGATAATAGAGACTGGCCATACCTGCACTCGCTTGGCTGCTTTCGGTAACACGCATCGAAATGGTATCCGCTCTTGTGCACTTGTCGTTGTTGTAGTCACGGAGATTTTAGCAGACTGCGTTGGAGGTCTCTCTGGTCTAAATACTCACATGATTTTGCTCACATTGCTTTTAGCCAGCAAGATAACCTTTGCTGTTTTCTAATTTTATTTTCAGCTGATTCATCAGATAATCGCTGTTGTTTCGGTCTCGCTCTAGGCGATCGTCTTGAACGCGATTCTCCTCTATAGTATTTTTTGACGGTAAAAGCAGTCATAATCGTATAGTTCAAACTTACGATACAGCATCTCGAGAGCCGCTCTCTTTCTCTGCTGAAATACTCAAGACTGACTGATTTAAATGCAGTGACTCGGCAAAACTTAACATCTCGGAATTTTGAGATGATAGGTTGCTTACAGCCCAAATATGAAAACAAAGAAAAACCGAGCGCAAGGCATGCTGTCCCTGCCAAAAAACTGCCCTACCCGTGCCGGGATGCGGACAACTTGCTCGGCTTACTTGCTTCTGCAAGAGATCCATAACAAGGAAAGCAATCAAAACTTATGCCTATAGTAGTCTGGTTCACCAAGTGCATGTTTTGCTATCTGAAATACTGTAACTTGATCCGTGTACCTCAGGCAAACTTCGAAAGGCATTTCCAAAAACCTCTTATTTTTCGTATAAGTGCAGATTCTTGAAAAGAAGTAAATATGTGGGAGACAGATTGTTAATTTAGCATGAAGGTGATATTGTAGCTAACTCATTCGGCTTCGAAGTGTAAAATTTTCATCATGAGGTCTTGCGTTGTCATGCAAAAGGACCGGGACTTTTCAGTCGACCAAAGTTGGGCGAATTTGCTTGAGTTTCGCGCGCATTTCGTCGATTTGTACAGAACGTCTCCGCTGTGATGGTAGCGCCGTGGACTTTACCCTCAATGTCGTGACCATCATTTTCTTCATGGCTTGCATCTACTTATGGTGTTTAGGCTGTTCGCCTTTATCATCCAATGCGCCAAACAAATCTACTATCGTCCAATTTTTGGACGATAGTAGATTTGTTTCGTAAGCACTTCCAATTTTTTCACGTCTCCGAATGGTCCACTATCGTAGCAAAGACAATAACAAAGTCACCTACTTTCCATCGTTGAAAGCGGCAGTCATTCTTCACCAAAGCTTTAGCTCGTCGTCATAATGTGAGAGACGTTTTATTTGTAGGATCTAATCACCACTTTTAAATTTTTGAAAGCAACGACGCACGGTGAAAACACAATTCCTTTTCCCCATACTTAAGCTTCTGCCCTACTGCGAGAAAAAACTCGTCAAAATATTTTTGAAAAAAAATCTTGCTCCGACATTTTTCGTTACAAACCCGAACTTCAAGAAAATGTAGAGATTCTTTCGTGCAAAAAATTATTGCAAGAAAATTCTTGTCTTCAAGCACAACTGGTGCATCCTGTGCGTGGTATTTACAATCTGTGTCATCTGTGCTCCCTTTTCGTGAAACTACGCATCCGCAGCGCATATGTATTGCACAGAACGCTCAAGTAGTACCTCAGACAATCGACGGGACCCCTCCGCCGGACCCTCCGAAACTGCCAGAGTCGCGCCGGACCCAGTTGACCAATGAGAGAAGGGCAAATGGGCGGTCCATCGCGGTGACACTGGCAGGCAAATGGGAGGCTTCTCCGGCCCTGCTGCAAAGGTCCGCCATTTCTCCGGCGCGACTCTGCCAGATTTGGCGGACTCCGCGCCGGAGAAATTTGCGCGGCGCGTGTCCGCCAAATTTGGAAGAGCCGCGCCGGAGAAAATGGGAGGGGTCCGGAGCAGAAATGGGAGACCTCCGGAGCAGAAAATGGGAGGTATCCGCCGGAGAAATGGGAGGGCTCCGCCGGGCAAATGGGAGGGCTCCGCCGGACAAATGGGAGACCCACCGCTGGGGAAACGCCGCGACCCTGCCATTTCTCCGGCGGAGGGGTCCTATCCGCTGTCTGAGACGCTTGCGAACGCGGCAGAGGCTCTAGCATTGCTTGAGCCGATCGGAATTGGAGCACTCGTTGACACAGACTGTACCAGACTGCTGCGAAAATGAGCTTTTTGTAGCTCTCCTTGTCCGGATCCGCTGCAAAATACGTGTACGTAGTCGGAGTCCGAAAGGCTTCCAAAATGGGTTTTGGGCTTTCCAGAGGCACTTTTTGATCGACTAATCCATCCGCCATGTTTCGACCCACTATTGAACGATTTGTACAGGAGATGTGGCGTTGACAAAGGTTAATGACACTGACCGCTTTTAGGCCACCTGAGCATGCTCATAATGTATGTAGAAATAAACTGAACTCGCGTTCTGATCTTTTGTTAATGGACATGCGATGTTAGTCAAAACATTTCAGCTCAAAAATGATTATCCATTTCCAGCTGCATGAAGCTTGACAGAGCGGTCCGTTATTCATATGCAAATAAAGTCTTCATCAGTAAATAAGAAGTGTGCTGGGGTGCGGTCAAGAATAACGATATGCCAGCCGCTAGCTGCCAGGTGCTCTCGCGCGCAGAACAGCCCGCCCTCATTCATTCATGAATTTAAGAAAAATGTTTTGAATTTCAGTTCTCTTCACTGAAGTTCCTTTCCTACAACGACCAAAGTATAACAGCTTACATATTTCACATGCTAAATTGAGCCCAAAACATTTGTAGGAAAAGCGACGGCCCACAACAGAGCCAACGCCGAAGATTTACGACTCTCGACTCGGAGGAGAAGTCACCGCCAGGTTTCTCTCGATGCCATGCAGCTTAGCCAGTAGATAGTTTTTTTTTTGGATGAATGCAGAATTTAGGTAAAAACAATTGTTACAATTTTTCTAGCGCTCAGATAAAGCAGTGTTAAGTATTAAAATATTGGACAAAATGTACAGTGCATGTTAATGAGGAGCTCACAAATCCATAGCTCTTACGTGTACGCATCGCAAGGCTGATGCGCTCGTTCGCGTGCGTACGGCTTGGGCCCTTGCCAACCCTCGATCGACCTCTGTGGGAGTTGACAAAATGCCCTGCCGTCCGCTCGCGCAGGTGGCGCACGCGATTTGCGGCGCGTGCATGCAAATCGAGGACTGCACAAAAGGGAATAGGTTTTTGACATCGCCTGTATCCATTGCTTGAACTGCTCCGATACTCGACACAGAACAATTTGAGCAAATTTGGGTGATTTTGTCCCATTCTGCGTTCTTAAAAGACCCGAAAACGCCCATAACTCGGCGTCCAGAGGCGCTTGGCAGATAATGGAGGCAGATTTAGAATCGCTGTGCAATGCTCTCCAAAGCAGTAAGGGTCTCATCTAAAAAGGCCACTTCGACTATACACGCTTCCGTTGTGAGTACAGTAATCCTTGAAATTAGGGAAAATTACGGAACGCGTTCTAATAGTATAACAGATTTCTATCGCGTGTTTATGGCGATGTGACTGATTATTTCCATCTATAAAAAAGTAGCCTTAAACTACATTTAAAGAAGAAGAAGAATGAAGCTTTGGGCATTTACTGCTCCAAAATGTAGGGCCTGCGTGGCTCGTCCGCTGCTGGGGCGGTGCTACCTGTGCACCGTTTATTGACACCCGAGCAATCAGAGTTCCACTATTGCCAGCTATCGTTATTCTTGAGTGCGCTGGACTAATTCAACCTGGAGAACGGCACATCCACCATTTTCCCGAATGTCCCTCAGTCTATCGCTGCTTCCAAATTTGATTTATGCTCTACGGTGGAATACCTAGTAGGTTGGCTAAGTACTACTTCGGTCGGTTTTGACGCTTTGTAGAAATGTCAAATTAGTTTATTAAGAATGTAGTACAGTGGTACCTGTATGGTACCACTGGAGAGAAAGAACAAACCGAGAAGAATCGGATGGTCAACTATTTCAGACATTTTTCTAAATAACAAATGGTGCAGCAAGAAAAATAGTCAGATTTTTCCACAAAATTCTCGAAAAATCACACTCCAGAAAACGAACTGAATCAGGGTGTAAAATGGTCATTTGGCACCGACCAACAAATTATCGAATTCTCAAACGCGTGGCCATAAATCGTCAAATTCAAGCGTTCCGGAATGCCCAGCTGACTTAAAGGCAGTGTCCGGGCAGAAACTCGACTTCTAAAAAATCAACTTATCTGGGGTTATCCGCAACGCTGAATCCGAAAATCCACATCAGAAGGCGCGAAAACGGCGAGAACATGCATTTTCCAAGTCCTCACATTTCGAAATTTGGGGATCCCCGCCAGGCTAAGACGCAGAGGTTGCAAAGAGCGCACGGTTTTTAACTGTGGCGGCATACGTACTCTGCCGTCTGGCAGGAATTCAAACAACTCGGAGGACCCCGCCCCAAGGCGTAAGTTTCCCCAATTTGCAATCGTTTTTCTTGCTTTAGATCGAACGTTTTATGCTCGCAGTTGCGCGATGTTGTGTTTCAGGGGGGCTACTTTCACATGGCAGAGAAATCTCAGAACCCCCATTTTGCCCGGATACTGCCTTTAACGCGCAGATATCTGGAAATTCGCACATTTTTGACTGCAAAAATTCACAAAGAGCAGACAACAATTTCTATTGTGGTGAGCCATGTAGCCAGGGGCTGCATGTATTCAATCAACAATTGTCTATGCGCTCACTACAAGCTTAAAACGAAACTTAGATACTTAAGAAGTGATTTTAAAGAAGGCTAGACATAGAGCGGCGTAATTGCCAATCAGTGATGAAGGAAAATTCCGAGTATCTGATATGTGAAACAGAGGCTTGAAGCTATCCCCTCACAAAAACCTCAGCTAAACAGCTGCTATTCGATTTGTCATAGAGCTTCTGGTAAGTCAAAACGAAAATATTAGGTTACCCTCATTTAAACTCCTTATCTAAATAAATCTCTTTTTATTTTCAAGGCAAGCATTTGACAGAGAGAAGCAAGCTCCATAGTTTGACCACCAAAGATCCGAATAAATAGTAATTTAGGTAAAGTTTGCCAAAATCGAAAAAAAAACGCATCCCTTACATTGGAACCTGGTCGCTCATTGTAGGCTAAGTGGATGTGGTCTCTGGGGTTGCGGCATGCCGCGCCTTGATGTATTTGCGTGTTGTTATGGAATATTCCTAATGAACCCTTGGCATGTAGCCGATAGGCAAAGGGGGAACTCTTGTGTTTTCCTAATAAATCGTCAACGGCTCAACGCGTTCCATATCAAGAATAATCACTTAAAAATTGGATTTTTAGGAGATAAAATCCTACGGACCCCAAACCTGGTCATTATACAGTGAACACAAATTAGTATCAGATGTCTATACTGGATTTTTTTTCGCGCTTAGAAAAGAATAGTCCAGAATCGGTAACTTCCGCCCCCCAGCCCCTCCCACATAGGTCATTGTATACTACAGCCTTAGTAAGTATAACCCTAGAGTTTTCCCCTGCTTGTGCACTGGTAAAAAACAAGAAGTACAAAAATTAGAAAAAAAGCGACATTTCTGTACTTTTGGCCACTTTGATTTCCCAATTTTAAGCCCTGGAAAAATCCATCAAATACTATTGTATAATAAATAAGCTGGAGGTTTTTAGAGATTTTCTGAAAGGAGATCCAATCTTCAGAGTACCTGAAAAATTTTGATTCGTGGCTTCATAGTTCGCCTGGATAACTAGATCTCTGGTGGCCATCCTGTAGGGCTTGCTTTACCCTGGCACCCTAAGTCTGCTAGCAAGAAAAAAACAGCTTGATTTATTTCAAAAAGAAGTTTACTTTTGGGACAATTCGATATTTATTAACCAATCTAATAGGTCTTATCTAACCCTAGGTGCATAACACAAGCTTTCAATTTTTCAAATTTATTCTAAAGACTGCATGCGTAGCATCAAAACGTCCACAGCTGCAGTGAGTTGTTCAGTTGGCTGGCACACCGCCTCCTCCTGTACGAAGACTTATCTTCTTCGGAGTCGGAAGAGTCTGAAGACGTTCCTGCTGATGTTATCCTTGGCGTTGGAAATACTCGTTCTCCAGTGCCTAATGCTACCACTGGCACTTTTTCATCGAAAATGCTGAAAGTGAAAACATAGAAATGGCAGTCTGGTAAAAATTGCTATTTATGGCTTTACCTCACACAAGGTACTGAACAATCAGCCACTTTTCTGGAGAAGATGGGTAACTTCTCAGTGTAGTCGTCATTGAGATCGAAGGCTACTAGATGACCATCAGAAGTGCCAGAGAACAAATAACGATTGGCACTAAACAATTAGGTGTTGCGGAAAATATCAGAATGAGAAATGAGGCACCTGTCCAGATCAAAGCATGCCTTTTGATTAGTTGAAAATGGCCGGAGCATTTTGTACATAAGAGTACCTGGCATCCTCATATCGTAACAAAGCAACTCGTCGCACTGAATCAAAATTTTTCCCCGCTGCGAGAACTGGTCTTCAAGAGGTTGCCGCAAAAGAATCATCAGCAAGAATTGGGTGGATAAAGCATTTTGAAGTTTCGAAATATTCACAGACCTTGCGGGGAGCCACAAAAAGACGTTGACCGTCGCTTGAATAGTGCATGTCCGTAATACCCGAGTTTTCTGTGGTGAACATACATTCCAACGAATTTGTTCGGTCAGAATAGAATCCAACTAAAAAAATAACAGATGAGTACAGAACAAGAGAAAAATTCAAAAACCTCACCTGTGCCATCATAAGTTGCCACAGCATACACTCCAGCGAAAAATTTATTCATGGCTATGCACGAGACCACCGACTTCTGGCCGCCATTATGCTTATCTGGAATCAACTAATCTGTAATGCGCTAGAAAATGCAGTCAGGACCAGTACCCCAGGTTTGGATCGTGGTACGCTGGCGTCCTGGTCGATCACAATTCCATATTCGAATACACGCATCATAACCAGCATACAATTGCGAGCCATCATTGGAGAATGCAATCGAGTAAGCGGCAGTCAATTCGTCCTAAACAAACATGTCGCAAAATCTGACTACAGTCGAGTAGATTTTCCGCTTGATATAGCGTCCTTGCGGTGCCGAGATTCTGCGGTAAAAGTTCCACGTGAACAAGGAGCCATGTAAGCAGTGCCGGTCATTTGCGCGCGCAAGTGACCGGCATTGAAGACTAGCTATTTGTTCACGCGTAATTTTTACCGCAATTTCTCGGCACCGCAAACACACTATATTAGGTGAAAAATCTGCTATATAGACTGAGATCTAGTGAGCTCACTTACCAAATGATTGATTCCCCTGTAGGACGAGATTCTTGCACCTTCTTCATTCCACAGATGGATCGGATGGTGTTTGGCAGTGGTTGCTAGAAGCTGTGAGTCGCTTACATCAGGCAACCATGTGGCATCGTATACTGGATCTCCGAGGGGAATCTTCACAGCTAATGACAGTCTCTGAATTGAAGATGTCTCAGGAAATTGTCACGTTTTTTTTTGATTTCTGCCAAGATAAAATACGAAAATTGTAACCTGGTCCTCATCCAAAGTAAAAATCCTTGCTGAATTATCGGCCGAAGTCGTCGCCACAGAAGTACCTTTCGGCGAAAACCGACATAGTTTCAAATAGTTGTTGATAGGAAATGATGTTGATGGAAAATTCATGCGAATGCAGTGAAAATCTTCTGTGACACTAAAAATAAGCAAGGATGTATGTAGATGGTAAGAATATAAACTGATTTACCTATGGTGCGGTACCATTGCTACGTTATCGAATTTGAATAAGGACTCCTTGACTATAACCTGCTTCGGTAGAATGACCTTGAATGCTTCATGATATTCAAAAATAAACGTTAAAAGTCTTCCCACCTCCGTCTTTCGCACTTTGATGGGTTTGTCCTCTCCAAAAGCTGCATTTGCAGATCGCTTGTTCCCTCCAAATTGACGAGGTAGCTGAAATTATTGCGACTGCTAGGCTAGGTTCTGACTTTACTCCAAAACACTAAAATTTACCTACTGCCTACGGTACCATGTATTTGAAAAGCTCACCGTACTGATACAGCTGATTTCCACAACGGTTTTATCAGCAGAGGCAGTTGTGACATCTTCAGAAATATGAACTGGGAGTGCTTTTCGAATTCCCTGTGTTTGTTATTTTCAGAGCGAATTAGTTACCAGGAATGAATAATATACATATTTCATATAACAAACAGAATTTATCAAAAATTGATCTACTGATAAAAACCATAGATCTGTTTGTCAGCATTTTGCACTGTTCTTCATTGACAAGCTAATCTAGATATTTGTAAAGTTGCCGCTATGCTAAAAAAATTTATAAATGTTTCTGATCACCTGAGCCTCTTCTAGTTCCCTTTGCAATGCTCGACGTTCACGTCTATTCAGCTTTGCATTCGGGTCATTAAGTTTGGCGAGAATATTTTCGATGAGTTCCTTCTTCGCGGCATCATCTTCAGATTTTGAAGTCTGAAAGTGATGTCTAGCTCGTGGCGCCTTTCAGGAAATTCTCTTACCTGATCTGCGGTAATCTGCTCGACGGCAATACTCTGCGCAGTGTCAAGAGTAGAAGTACTGGGTTCAGATACATCTGCAGTATCTATAACTGTATCAACTACCGTTCCTTCTGTACGTTGCTCAGGCTCCTTTGACGTATTTTCAGAGATTTCCAACACCGCTATGGAGCTTTGAACATCAGAGACAGTTTCTGGTCTAGAAACTGTGGCTACCTCGGAACTTTCCGGCGCGACAGCCTCACTGGGCTCTTTCTCGTCAGCCTTGAACTAGAACTTTGAATTACTCTCAAACGGCGGATATAATAAAAATCTGACCTCATTTTTCTTCTCCTGTGTCTCCGCAGCATTTCCTTCGTCGCAGAGAATATTCTCCACTACGGTTTCTATGATACATGGCTCTGCTACATCTTCAAATTCCATATGTACTGTAAGTTCGATAATTGGCGTACCATGGTTGCCACTGTGATCAAACATAATGTGCAAATGCAAGCAATTATCTGACTCTGCAGAACTTCGATGCAATTAATTTATCTTTGAGCAAAATTAGCACATGAAACTCTGTAACAGGTACAAATATGTAACAAACATCGAATTTTGGCTCGGCTAATAACAACAAAGTAAATTCAAAAATCTATTCTTTCTATTACCTAACAAACTGCAATGGAGGCACTGTCCCTCACATTGCTGCTATATGATAGACTAGACCTAAAATGCATCAGAGAAAAAAAACAAGTAATTTGAACTAAACCTACATAACTAAAATTCTCCGATAACTAATCAATATCTACTTTTGTTCATTCAGTTCTTCCTTGAGTTGTTCCAATTCTTCTTTTGACAATCCAGTCCGTGACAGAACTGATTGCAAAACGGATCTAGAACAAATAAAAACAATGGGAATAAACTGTGAGCGTCCCGAAATCTAAGAAGTCGCCCACAAGTATGTGGCCAACTGTCTCACTTTTTGATCCCTTTCCGTTTCTCTGGCATCTTTAACTCTTTCCTTTGTTGTGCTTCAAACTCTTCCTTTTCTCGTTGAGTTTGCGCACGCTCTCGCATTTTCTTCAGTAATGAACCCTGAACACTTCGAGCAGATGACTTTCTCAAGGAATGACTATCTGAGCAGTCAAACCTTGCGAGCATCCCCCATTGCTGAATTCTCCAGTATTTCCAAAATGTTGTCTACAGATTCCTGTAGCATTGCATCCAGCTGTTTGCAGACGTCACGGATCGGTTGTTCATCAGGGAGCATATCCGGAAATCGCAGTGACAACCATAAATAAGTGTCTAGCACTTCATAAACCTGCAAAAAATATTCAATCAAGGACTAGCGCATCGACTGACTTTAAACCTTTTCAAGATGCTCCAGCTGCTGCAAATTTTCAGGCGGTCCAATAGACTCCCAGTTCAACATATCCATCATCCAATCATAAGTCAAACACTGCCCTGAGGAGAACCTACGCATAAAAAAATCAGATCAGGTCAGAATGCTAAAACCCATGAACCATACCTTCGTACCATTTTGACAAATGCTGCTGCGGTTAGTTTGCTTTCAACATTTATGGGAGAAATGCAGAATGTGTATCGTACCTTAAATTACATAGATTATACCGTATATGCAAAATCGGCAAGATTACCTTCAAAGGAAGTGGAATGTAATCTATAAGATCAGCTAGGGTCCTCATCTGCTCGACAGTGCAAATGAAAAACTGATCAGAGACCGAGCAAACTGAAGACTAACCATTTGAAAGCGCAAACTATTGGCGACCAAAATCGACCTGATACGAACAAATCTAACAGATGCACGAATGAGGCCTGAGGTAGATGGAAGGAAAATGTTTCGATCTGCTCAAAAGTGGGAGCTATACCAACTGTCTCAATCGGTTCGACCTATAAAAGCAGATTACAGTAACAAAAGCGTATTCCTTCAGTGGACCAACCGGTTGGCTCAGAATTTCTCGAAGCGTTCCAATGTCTTCATTGCGCAAAGTGGTTACTATACCGTCTGCGTACATCGTACCATATCTTCAAATGCATATTAACCATACACATGTTTTAGTCATCATTTGGAAGAACAATACGAATTGCAGGAACAAAAATATCGTAAAATACCGACATACCTGCCAGCTCTTCCGGCTATCTGCAGAGCTGAGTAGCTAGGTAGCAGTTCACCTTGTCTGGTGCATCCGGAGAATATTATGCGGCGGATATTCAAATTCAAACCCATGCCTATTGCGTCGGTAGCCACCTGTAGAAAAGGATTTTGAGGATCTCCTACCCATAATTCATAGTTTTAGCTTACCAAAACGTTGCAAGGATCATTGGTATCATTGAACTTCGCAGCCTGAGCTAGCTTCGTTCCGGGTGGCAGGTCTCCGTAGATGACAGCCGGTTTCACTCCCAATTTTTCGAGACTTTTTGTGATGTTGTAAATAGCTTTGCGACTGAAACATACTATGCAGTCGCCGGGTTGTATCTGAAAAGGCAAAGCAAGGTATGGGCAGAGGTAGAAAATAAAAAAAATTGAATATAATAAATAGGCAAACTCACATGATCGAGTGATCCTAAACCCTGATTTGCAACAGTCAACGAAGTCTTCCTCTCATAGTAACGCACCTAAATAGAGAATTTCTGGATGGAAAAGCCTTGTTCCCCGTCTAGCTAGAACAGTTGGGATACCTCGACGTGTTCACCAATCGGCTCCAGCAGCTTCTTTACTATATCTACAGCTGCTGGTTCTCCACAGAGATGCACCTAAAGACTCTTTATCATAGATATTCAAAAGACTGAGAAGGTTTGCAGAACTGTTCAACACACCTCATCCGCTGCTACACCCAATAGAGCTCTTGTCCAGGCCCATCCACGCTGTTCATCGCGCAACATTTGAATCTCATCAATCACTGCCACCTGCAAAAGCACGAAGTCCGTAAAGTAAAAGAGAGTAATTATCTAGTTCTGAAGACTCCACGATACCTCAACACGCATTTGCGTAGACAACATCTCAACTGTAGATGACAAATGTGCGCTTGGATGAAAGTTGTCTACAGCGTACCTGGAGAGCTGGTAGTGATACTAAACTCTCGACTTTATTCAAAACTTACCTTCGCTCCTCTCCAGTGACTAAATCACACTTGATACCCAGCTCATTACTTCGTGTAAATACTTCACTGGCTAAGAGTTTTAAAGGTCCACAATATATGCCGCTTTTAGCATCTCCAAACCTAAAAAACGCACACCTTTTTTTACTGAATTTCACTCTTACTGATATACCTTTTCAAAGCATGATAGGTCTTTCCTGAGTTTGTTGGACCAGCATGGAATATGATTTTCCGCTGCACTGTTCGAGCATCAGGATACCAATTATGTGGTTGCGTTAGGTCAGAAATCATACGCAGATCATCCATAGCTTCCAAGTGGGGGAACACCTACCCACGAGTGTTTCGATAGAGAAAATAAAAAGAGAAAGCATGATGGAAATAACAAGAGCTAACCTTACGAGCGTGAGTGAGAAAGAAAGGAAAAAGTCTTTCAACATCATGACCTTCCTTTATGATATCATGAAAGAGCACCAATAATGCAGGCTCAACACCTCCCTGAAACTGGGAATCAAAATAGGTTCTGAGTATTTCACGCATGCTATCACACCTTTTCGCTTAGGCAATATTCCCGGAACGAGCGATATGCCGTGACAAATAGCTTCGTATTCAGACCATTTTCCGTTGCCAATTCCCGTACTTTTTTTCTTCGAAAGAATTCATCTAATGCCAAACCCATATTTTCCTACAAAGAATTGACGATATAACAGCAATTAGCCTGTACGTCAAGCTTCACAAAGAAATAGATGCAACAACATCCCAAAAAACTGAATATTTAAGGCTTAAAATCTCACTGAATCCAGCCCTTCAGCCCATTGCTCGTAGCCAATTACTGTAGTACGTGGAGGCTGTACAACTCGTGGAACCACAAGATCTTCTATCGCGCTACCTCCTCGATCAGCGGGCACCCCTAAACGTGAACTTTCGCACTGCACACTCCACAATTAACTGAAGCAAAAGCTTACCGGTGATTCTTCGCCTCCTATTTGTTGTAGGTGGGTTTGACTGAGAACGCACCACTCCTCGGAATCGCTGCGAGCTACACGATGCAGTGCTTCCTAGCAAGGCCTCTGTAGCTGTGACAGTCCCCCGAATGAGGGAAGAGAGGCGCATGCCGCTACGGCATGACATCTTGATTCAAAAGACAACTTAGCTATCAGACACTGAAAATATGTTAAAAATAATCATGGAAGTATCCAGCGTGTTCCAGACTATCTTGCGACGAATGAAACATTTATTTACAACCAGTCAAAAATAGCAATTATCAAAAATAATCATTGGAATAATTTTCAAAAAAATATAAATATGATAAACAAGAGTGACTCTGACATCGAAGGTTGGGTAAACACAGCACAAAATGATGAAAAAAAGTGCAAAATTATCACGAAAATATCATACCCGTTCAAATCATATATTTACATGGCTCTAGAGAGTGCTCATTTGCAGCAAACTTATTCTTCAGAACATTCTCAAACAACTTGCCGTGTCCGGGAATGATCCAATCGGCCAACCGCAAGATTTTTTCCCGACTTTTCTCTTGCTTTTGTGGATAAGCTGACACAGCCTTCCATTCATCAGCGTCGTTTTCATTTTCAAAGATGTCTCCTATGATGTTAATAATATCAAGAATGATTGTGAAAAAGAGTTAAACACAAGCACGATGTTTAAAAAAAAAACAGAGCTGGTACAAAAAGGTACTTACCAGCAATGACGAAACATCCAATTTCTGTATTTTTTACAACGACTATGAGATCATGATCGGTATGTCCTGGACAACGGTGGAGTTCAACGTCATTTGCAAGCAATATGGGATTTTCCTGAAAATTTAACTTCTTTGATAAAGAATCAAAGCTGATCAATATCGCACCTCAAGGGTATCGTATTCTCCATTGACTGCTATATCAGATGCCATGTAAAGTTTGGCATCTTTGAATAGAGCCAAATTACCGCAATGATCCATATGACCGTGTGTAACAACAACTATATTGATCTACAATCAAAAACTCATGTCAAAACTGAAAACTCGCTCAGCGTTGTTGTTAAATTACGTCTTCTTTCTCTAAGCCAACAGCCTTCAGCCTCTGCAAAACTTCTTCTCCGTTCCAAGGATCTCCACAATCCACAAGAATAAACACATCGTTTGAACAAACAAGTGTCACCTGTTGAAGAAGATGAAGCTTGGAGTATAATATATGATAGCTATATTGTTACCATTATTCACAAGATCTTAGCCAAAAACCAGATTTGGCCAAAAACTTGGACAATTCAAATGCTGAGAGATCGAAAAGGAAAAAAGCCTTTGTACGTCGCTTGAAAGAAACATTTTCCCATCCTATTTTTTGAATAATGAAACATTCATGTGGTTGCTTACCGAGCCGGATGCCAGATATTTCCCACCTTTTCGGGCGTAGCCATCTATTAATTGAACCACCTTGTTGGCCTGACTCATCCTGATAGACGTACACGGATATTACGAAGTTGCTCATACAATGGACTATGTATTTGTGGCATCCACAATCTCTACAATACAACACTGATCTTTATCAACACTATTTATGCACCCATAGAAATCTATAACAAGCAGCAACAACAAACTTGCAACAAATATCTCAATGATCAAGGTATACAGATAATGTGTAAGGTACTATGGTCACGGTTTCGAAAGTTGAATAACTGATATCACTTGATATAATCACTAATTGAGTAGAGATATAAACCGGCAGCTCGTCTCTCAGATTTACAAACTCATTGGTGGGACAGAGAAAGTGAAAGGATCTGTTAGATAATGGCTACAGAATATTGCTACGGCTATATGGACTTTCCGCTCGCTTGTCTATGTCGCTTCTGAGACGGATGAGATTCTTAGCTCTTGCTTTGTCAACGCCGTAAATTTTCATTTCGAAAAGCTTTTCATCAGCCACTTCCTCAGGGAGCTAAAAGAATTAATGATAGGAAAAGTGAAAAAATCGTTAGACACAAGCAAAACAACCTGGTCAATTTCTTCCTTCAGCAATGTCACGACAGCCCAAGACATGGACAACAGCTTGAGCGATCCGAGCAGTGTAGTAAAAGCCTGACAAAAACATTTTCACGAGCAAATCTCCAAAACAAGCAGCTCTTACCTCATCGTAGTACATATTTGGAGTCACACCCGATCTGGTAAAGATATGGCTCAGTACGGGTATGAGTCCACTCTCCATGTCGAAAAGCATTTGACTCGCACCTTCGGCACTGTAAATGAAGCTTGTGTCACAATAATGTGAGAAGATTTATGCAGAACAAACCTAAATGGTGTCACATCAACTATTTCCTCAAGAATAACAGTTGCGACAGTAGCAGACATACGTTTGAACAACTCTTCAAGCGATGCCTGAAGGACAGAATATGTATTACAGTTGAAAAAACGGATAAAATCACTAACTTTAGATATTCGCGCGCCGGTACTAGCAAATATGGTGCGAATTTTCATCAGTACGGGACAGAATTGGTCAGTTATGTCACGCGATGCGTTTCCAAGACGTGGTTCCATTGCACACCTGAAAAAACGCAGAAAATAAACATTCATGATAGAAATGTATAATCATTTTCACACAAAATTGAGATTCATACCAAAAATGCTGCTGGTAAGGCTTCAGCATGTGCGTTATTTGTACTTTGAGTGACATAACCACGTCTTCGGCCATCTGGTTCCAAACATGCCTACAAACTTGCAATCATTACACGTTAATGATATATCAGAATGATACAAAGGAGAATGAGATAATGGAAGAAATACTATAAACGTCATAACTGTCACCAACATATTCACAAACAAGAAAGGTCAAAGCGAAAGAGATCAAAAAACGACGAGTGTTCACGGGAATTCCAACATACTTGAACATCGCTGAAGATTCGTCAAACACAGCGCGTCCCTCGGTAGCGGTGATACCACTTAGCAAGCATGAATCGCTCCACTCTTCCACAACATGCGTTAGATACCTGCAACGAAAGCATTGGTATACATGGTATACATGTTTACATGTTTGAAAACAAAGGCGGATTTAACCAAGACTAACCAAATGGCATTCATCACGTTCGGAAAGGGTTCACTCCAAGGCGATTCAGATTGCCTAGCAATCTGAGCTAGTCGAGTACGGAAATCATCGGTGAGTAGCAGCTGCAGATCGAGGAATCGTTTCTAGAGAAAACGGTATTTGAAGCAACAGATTCACACAGTAATGTACTGATGGCTTCAAAATTCTTGATTGAATTTTGGATTACCTGCGCTATGTCGTCTGGTAGCAACCTTGCGCGACTTTGTTGTGACTGCAGCATTGACACGAAGGAGTCGGCACAGTTACACACGAGAAACTGTTTGACATTCATGAGATAATATTTGTTCAAAGACACAAAAAAGCAGGAAATTCACCTCGTCTGCGTCTTCCATTGATCGAAATCGATTTTGCCATCGATCAGGTGCAGACAAGATCTCATCCATACGATCCACACAGCATTCATTCTCTATCTGAATTCTTTCATACGGTTGAACAACTTTGAACCTAGGTTTTTGAACCTTTACCTCTATCCATCGGTCCAGTACATTACGGTCACAAAAAAGCGAAAGTATATTGGAAGAATACCCGTCAGGATCCATAGCTGGAAAACGCAATGATGACTACTCCTCACAAGAGCAGTGCCATTTGAAAATTCGGCTTCTTATTAGACATTCAATTATTAATGGATGATTCAGTGCATCAAAGCAAAAAAAGGAGCTAAAAGTCAAAGATATAATGAAAATAAAAAACGCCAACCCCGCAGTTGCGTTTCATATAGGATGCACTCATCAACAAGATTTGAGAACAGCAGCACGTCACTCAACACCTGCAATACTTGGATTCTGTAATCTGTATGAGAACTATGATTGGTAGGTGGAATTCTGTACAAACCACACCCCACCTTCTCTTGCCTCAGCAGCGACTTCGTTTTTGATATGGGCAGCTCAGATAAGTATTTCATGAACACAGACGTGGGTGAACGAGACAGGCTCTGGAAACTGAAGAGATATTCGATATACAAGTAAGAGGTGTGTATATCAAACGTAATTCACAGGTGAAGAACGCAGAAGCACAGAGTGCTGATTGAAACTTATCCACTTACAAGCTCTTTGATCATCTTGCCCTGTACCGCTTCGAAAAATGGCAGATTGACTTGTATCCAGTTGAGTGTTTGACTCAGATACCTAGAGAAAATAAGATTAGATACTGGCAATATTCAGAATCAAAAAGATTACTATATACGTTCATAACACAACACTCACCACTGCGGCTTCTTTATGTCATTCGTCTTCCTATCGCCATAAAAATGGAAGGCAAATCTGGTTCCGATGGGTTCTAAGAGCACCCGACACGCTTCATCATATCTAAAAAACGTATGGTCGAGAGATTCAGGGCTTGTGATCATTATCATGAATGTTGGCATTTGTTTGAGCATAAGTGGCACTTTATAAATTGGATTCAGATAAGAGGACAACGTTAAATGAAAGCTTACCCAGTATTCTGCTCCATAAATTCGGTGATAGAATAGATTAAACTCAAGATATTCGCAAGTGTGTTGGCTTCATTCATGAACACTCGGATGTCTACAAATTGATAGATAGAAATCGTAGAATATCAATCAAATATACCGACCTGTAGAATCTTCAAACGGATATTTCAGGTTGTCCAATATATTCCTTGCTCTCTTCGCAGACAACTCTTTCAGATCTGGTGCCAGAGCGTTCAGTCCATCAATGTAGGTGATCCTCGAATTGTCATTTTGCTGAAGTGATCAATAACAGATTTATCACAATCAGCGGGAGGTATGTCAAATGTGCAAATCATCTCAGACCTCTTCCTTTCCAATTTCTTGGGCATGCAAGCAAGCACAACGAAATTGTTCTTTCAATTTCGACCAGTCGCACTGAGGATCCTTCATTGCTTCTCGACATGATGATAACAGTTCCCGGCCACGAGTCACCCATTTGAGCCTATTGTTATGTTTGATGTCGACAAATAGAGGAGGAAGAAAACATGTTCCACACCAAAGAAGAATACACAAAGGATTACATATTAAGGGGTTACAAAGAAACAAATAAATTGATTGTTAAAGTAAATAAGAGAAAAGATATCTGACTATAACTACCTCTTCAACTGGACTTGTTTTCGTGACAATGCGTGCAGTTGTGGAATCAGTTCAGGGTAATGCTGAAATCATTTTACTTAAAAAAAACAGGAAGCACATTCAAGCATAAACTCGAACTTGTCAATTTTTAATGAGAAAACCATAGAACATAATTTTCTAGCAAAAGACTAAACGAACAACTCACCTTCTGCAAAAGTCCCATGAATGTCTTGACAAAACTTTCATACTGACTACGGGTATTGCACACTTCCTCCCTCATAAGTAGCAGATCTCGCTTGAATCTGTACTTTATAGCGGAATGAGCCGAAACAACAAAGCTAATTAACAACCTTACCCTTGGAGCGTAGAAAGAATTCGTGGATAGGATTCCTCGATGACGGCCAACTCTTCAGAGACAACATTGGCTTCAATGTCTATCTCGCGAGCAACCTGCAGATGGATAGACAATGCTATTTCTATGGATCCTTGCACCCAGAGTAATTTCTGCATGAACTAAAGTCAAAACATAATGCTAAAAATAAGAACTTACCTTACGAACATTTGCCAAGAATTCGATAGCATTATTAGCTGGGAGACTAGCAAGTTGATTCCGTAGCGCTAGTGCTGTCTGAAGAAAACGGATTTTTACTGACAACCCAAGAAATTTCTACAGAATCTTAGAGGCACAGAAAAGAACTCATTTGAAGATGCAAGGGAGGAAAAGAACTCACCTTTGAAAGATTAGCTGGAACTTTTTCTTCATTAGAACCAGAAGGTGGTGTGCTGAGAATGTCAGGAGTACCATCATGTGATGAAACCATTACCGATGCATGCGGATCAAAAGCTCAATCCCCAATCTCAAAAAAAGTTCTAAAATACGTTGAGCATTGGCAGCTTCAAACTTATATGCCTAGGATACTTCTGCATCGTGTAGATAGAAACATGCAAACATTTAGGAGCTATTTGACGAGGATAAGCAAAGTTAAAACAAATAAAAAGTTAAGAGACGTTTTTTGGACTTTCTCCAGTGTGATTGGAGCAAGGTAACGCTAAGGAGCGCGATGAGTGTTCTTGGCTGGCGGTTCTAGTAATTTCGCTTATCCTCGTCGGTTAGATAAAAAGAACTAGCGACCCTGCGGGTCGCTATAAGAGGATCGAAGCACATGTTTAGAAAGTTTGTGAGTGACATCTTCCTGCATTTTATTTTACTTGAAAAAATTTTTGCCGGATCAGTTTGTTCCAAAATATCGGGTGGAAGCATCTGAAAAAGTTTTCTGGACTGATATTCTACCCTGAACTTTGAGCCTTTTTATTTTGCGGGACTCGTCAATAACTCGCTTTTCTACAAGTATAGCCCCATGAAAACGTCTAAAAGCGTCTACTCTTATGTTTTCCTTACACAATTTTTTTTAGATAAATGCCCTTTAATCATCGATCAAATTTTGCCATTCATGTACGAAAAAGTTGCCCGCTATAATCCTTTATGGAAAGCGTTGGCTCCACCAGCCAGACCCAATCATCAAGCTCTCCTTCATACATTTAGGAAAATCTTTCGAATGAACGCTCATCTCCACCAGCGAGACCCAGTTACTTGAATGCATACTTTTTCAAAGAAAAGCAGATTTTTCTAAATAGGCGTTCGTTTCCAACCGCCTTTCCTACAAGATAATAGATGCTTTACCTAGCAGAAGCTCATTTTCACCAGCTCGCCAGCCAGACCCACTACTCAAGGCATAACCCTAAGTAAAAGCATTTTCAACAGGAGACCCAGTTACCGCTAGTGGGATTTCCTTAAATAGAAACACATCTTCACCAGCGAAACCCAGTTCTCTAAAAGCTTTCTCTTCCACACGGAAGACCATAAACTGAGTAAAAGCTTTCCTCCACAACGAGACCCAGTAGTTCAAGCGCTGAATTTTCCTATGTGGAAACCCATCTCCACCAGCGAAATCCAGTTACCCAAAACGTTAAATTTCCACAAGTGAACCCTTTCCTCCACCAGACCCAGTCATTCAAGCGTTGGATTTACCCAAGTGGAAGCTCATCTCCACCAGCGGGACCCAGTTACCCAAAGCATAGAATTTCGCCGAGTAAACGCTTCCCTCCACCAGCGAGACCCAATTACCCGAAGCGTTGGATCCCCAAGTAAACGCTTTCTTCCACCAGCGAGACCCAGTTATTTAAGCATTGGATTTTCCCATAAAAGCTCATCTCCACCAGCGAAACCCGTTAACCAAAGCATTGAATTTCGCCGAGTAAACGCTTTCCTCCACCACCGAGACCCAAATACCCGAAGCGTTGAATCCCCAAGTAAACGCTTTCCTCCACCATCGAGAGCACTTACTGAAGCGTTGGATTTCCCCAAGTGGAAGCTCATCTCCACCAGCGGGACCCAGTTACCCAAAGCATAGAATTTCGCCGAGTAAACGCTTCCCTCCACCAGCGAGACCCAATTACCCGAAGCGTTGGATCCCCAAGTAAACGCTTTCTTCCACCAGCGAGACCCAGTTATTTAAGCATTGGATTTTCCCATATGAAAGCTCATCTCCACCAGCGAAACCCGTTAACCAAAGCATTGAATTTCGCCGAGTAAACGCTTTCCTCCACCACCGAGACCCAAATACCCGAAGCGTTGAATCTCCAAGTAAACGCTTTCCTCCACCATCGAGAGCACTTACTGAAGCGTTGGATTTCCCCAAGTGGAAGCTCATCTCCACGAGTGAGATCGTTACCCGAAGCGCCGCTTTCCTTCACCAACGAGACCCAGTCATTCAAGCATTGGATTTTCCCAGAAGGAAGCTCATCTCCACCAGCGAGACTTAGTCGTTCAAGCATTGGATTTTCCCAGATGGAAGCTCATCTCCACCAGCGAGACCCAGTCACCCAAAGCATTGAATTTCGCCGAGTAAACGCTTTCCTCCATCATCGAGAGCACTTACTGAAGCGTTGGTCCCCAAGTGGAAGCTCATCTCCACGAGTGAAATCGTTACCCGAAGCGCTGCTTTCCTCCACCAACGAGACCAAGTCATTCAAGCATTGGATTTTCTCAGATGGAAGGCTCATCTTCACCAGCGAGACCCAGTCACCCAAAGCATTGAATTTGCCGAGTAAACTTTCCTCCGCCATCGAGAGCACTGAAGCGTTGGATCGTTACCCGAAGCGCCGCTTTCGTCCACCAACGAGACTTAGTTACTCAAGCGTTGGATTTCCCTTAGTAGAAGCTCATCTCTACCAGCGAGACCTAGTAAAATACCCAAAGCGGGATTTCCTCAAGTGAACGCTTATTTCTATCAGCGACCAGTTATCCAAGCGTTGAGTTTCAAGCCAAAAAAAACCTTCACCAACGAGACCCAGACTCAAGCCTTTCTTTAAGTAAACGCTTGTCTCCACCAGCGAAATCCAATTACTTACGCTTTCCTTTCAATACAACAGGGAATATTTACATAAATATATACTCGTGTCCACCAGCAACCAATTACTCTTTCAATTCTGGAAGCAGAAGCAAGATTATCCTGAGATAAAACCTCACCCCCACCAGCGACACCCAATTACACAAATTAACCTTTGTACAAGCCCATCAGATAACATTTTTGATCGAAACTTCCGACATTATCGTGCATAGCATAAGACAATAATATGACTACAAGACATCAATCTCAACTTATTATCGTGCATAGTTGTCTGAGTGCTTTTTCTTCTGAGGCGTCGCTTCTGGCAAGAGAACGCAGATTCATGCTTTTCGGAATACGACAAAAGTTAGATTTTCTCAAAAGCTTAGAAAAGCAAAATTTCCCATCAACCGCAGTATTTCTTAAACATGCTCCGAAAAGCATTAGGTTTTGGCTCTACCATGAGACCCACTTAATCTGTGCAATATAGTTTTTGTGTAAGCAGAGAAAAACGAAACAAAAAAAACGATAAATAAACGTAAACGCATAAGACAGAAACATAAACTGGAAATGCTAAAAATTTTGACCGCCTGCAGGCAAAAGATTTAGTAGATAAAACCTACGTAAGACGATGCGGCAACAACCTTGCACGAGGCGACTTTTCATGATAATGGCGACATAGTATACTGAACCTCGACCGGGTATTTTATGGATGTTGCTCATGGATCGCATATGTAATCATGTGACTTATGCGAAAACATCAGCTTGAGACTGCTGATATGACTCGTGATGGTCTGTTTACAGTCTGGAATTTGTCCTTAGGCGACAGCCATGCGCGAAAAAAAATCGAGACGGTTCGGTACAAATGAAATCATGTCTCATATATTGGAATACACCAGGGGCGTGTCCGCATCTCGTCTGGCTTCTCCTCGTCTACCATCTGCTATCGTTTAGGGAAAGTGCACGAATTCATGCTTTTATACGTAGTGATAGAGTAATCTACAGCACACAGACTAGATAGGGTTTCAGCATCTCTTATAATCACCCTTTGGCTTTGCAGGGGCTAATAAAGGCAGTGTCCGGGCAAAAACTCGATTCTGAGATTTTGTGCTTACTTGGCCTATTCTCTACGCTGGATCCGAAAATGCATATTGTAGAGCGCGAAAATAGCGAAAAACGGCTCTAACACAGGAGGGAAATGAGCAGGTGGGCGGGGTCCTCCCCATTGCAAATTCACGTTCCCGGCTTCTGGAGCGACCTTCTCGCTTCCGGTTTCAAGTCAATCATTCGCACTTGACCAGTAGCGATGTTAGGACGGCTAGAGGAATCGAAAAAATCGCTCCGGGAGCTGGGAGCGTGAAATCGCACTGGGGAAAGCCCCGCCTACCTGCTGATTTCCCTCCTGTGTTAGAGCCATTTTTCGCGTTTCGCGCTTTACAATGTGGATTTTCGGATTCAGCATGGCGAATAGGCCCGTATAAACACAAAATCGCAAAATCGAGTTTTTGCCCAGACACTGCCTTTGAAGACGGACCGCGAATTGCATGCGGCAAGCTATTAGGGTGCCTCATAATTTTCTACCTTATCAACCGTCGTCTTCCTGTATTTTTCCTCCAACTGATGTGGTTTGAGTAACTCTTCGACAGAACAAATCAAGCTCTACAAGATGGCCATCGAGAGCCTGCCCAAGTCATATTCCAGGAGAAGTTTTGAGCTAAGATATGATAGCAGTAGAAGACGAACTCCACCTCAAAAATCGTATGTCCGCTCTAAAAATTTTACAGATTCCCTATTAACTCTATCATATGCTTGATACATCAACATTCAATTGTACACTTTCCTATTTTTTCCATAGCTAGAAATAAGGAAAAAACGAATGGCAAAATGGCAAACTCCGCCCCTAAACGACCTGAGCTCATCCCAAGCATACAGTCATACAGAACTGAAATACGACCATGTATTGCACCCTTTGTGGATGTCCCAGTTTTCGAGAAATGCTGAAGTCTAAGAGAAAAGCATTCAAAAATTGTTAGACACCCTAATAATTAGTAAGAGGCACTTTCTGTAGTTTCGACAAGAAAAAAAGCTTTAGTTTGTAGAATGCTTGCAATATTCATGATCAGCATGTCAGATAATCTTCGTAAAGGAATTTCAGCAGAATTCACAGTTTTCTACTAAACTGACACATAAGTGTTTCTACTAATCAAGTTTATTAGTTCAAAATGAAAGATCGTTTAAAAATACTTGGGCTATTTGGTGCTTTATTATGGAAATTAGAAGCCTTATTTTGAACAGAGGAATTCGGGAAAAGTAATTCGAAAGTTCATTTTCCGTAAAAACACCCATCGTACGAATTTAGCTTGGAAGAAGTAGGTCACAGAAGCAATACTAGACCTATAAATGAAGATCTCTAGCTTTTTTAGCATTCTCAGCAAAATTCAAAAATTTCAGTTTAAGTGTCTGCCTTTACATCAGCTTTGCCGCGATATGACAACAATAATTTTTGCTGTGAGTGTCCATAGAAAAATGATTTCTCTCCTTCAAATTATATGAAACGAGGTCATCATATCTGGAGAAACTTACAAATTCTTGGAAAATTTGGTGCAGGACTTGCTTATATTATGGCAAGCATTACACTGTGTCAAACACTAAAAAAACCTCGCTGACTAACTAAGTAGTTCTAGACATCAACATGAAGAATAACCCTACATCTTTGAGCACAATCAAATCCTAAACTTTTTTTTTCGATAGAATGTCTGAATTGTAGTTATGCGAATAACATCCATTTCTTATTTGTAAGCGAGCAGATTTTGGTATACTTTTTCTCAAAAAATGTTCTAATTGAAACTGCGTCGAACTCCTCATCGGCGTCCCAAAACAATGTCGAGCTTGTAAATAATTGAGAATGATACCATGGCAATGAAGGGTGTGTAGCCTTTTTTCATTGCACTATGTATTTGGAAGGCTTTTTTTCTCTATTTTCGAAAGGAATAAATTCTTCTTAACGTTATGTAGTGTCTACTATCCTATCAGGTAGAATCAGCAATAGACTTTCGTCTAGTCAGTATAAGCGCTTTCCCATCTATCATTGCTTTCGCATTATCCAGTAAACTATGAGAGAAACCAGTCTCCACTATCATAGTTCTGCCTCCAAAATCATCATTTTCCATTGCAAAGTATGGTGTTTGTTTCCAGCTCACACTGGCAAAGTTCCAACGTTATGTCCGAATCGATGCGGCAGCTCGGCGAAAGAAGAACCGGGCCAAGTACGAACAGAGAAAGGAAGAGATTGAAAAGAACCTTACTGCTGTAGAACGTTGAGTGAGCTAGACAAAGATAACTGTATGGTCAGCTTGAATTGATTTTTCAGCCTTACCCCCAGTGGATAATCTCAATCATATACCCTTATACCCTGCCGGAGTAATGCGATATGTTCACTCCACTCCAAAACTGTCAGAAATTCAGCCAGCGAAAAATCCTGGAGAGAAAGGAGTAGAACAAAAATGGAAAGAAATCGAAGAGACTCCAAAAGTTAGAGACAAGTGAGTTTTCTCGTTTTTTAAAAATTTTCTACCAGTAATATTACATTCCAGAAGCGACTTCGTTGAGGTTTTAGAATCTCCTGTAGCAAGGAGGAAGAGTGCTAGGAGGAAAGGAAAGAAAAAGAAAACAATTGCAAAGGATCATCCTACGGAAAATAGCCGAAACCGGAAACTCGAAGACAGTGACACAAACGAAATGCTCTTGGTTACTAGTACATTGATAAAGCACTTATGAGAAGTGAGTATTGTAGATTTACTTTTGATAGAAAGGGTGACGGGGAGGGACAGTATAATATTTGAGAAATGAAAAATTTTTTCCAGAAAATTTAGATTATCTTATTGTCAGCATATCAGGCAAACAGCTATGCAAATAGCGAATAAGCTTCGTTTACGTGTTATATATTGGCAACTTTTAGCGGGTTTTAGTTGCCAGCGTATCTCCTATTCACGCTTTCCCTGGTTCTGCTTGTCTGCGCATCTGCGTCCACGTTGTCTATCAGCGTCAAAGCTCCGCGGTGCGGACGGAGTATGTAGACTTGGTTATATCTCTCTTCATATATACCGATAAAACCAAGAAAAACTTGGCTGATCATATACCTGAAGTATCTCATATTTTTTCATATGATATAAACATTACAGTGCTCATTGAGAATTTATGCCTGTTAAATTATATTATACACTCCATTATTATATATCAGACACCCTGTGAACTATCTATAGACGGAGAATCTTCCTCAGTTAACCGCTCAGGTTCACTTTCCGATTCTTCTTCTTCACTACTAGTATTCGTCTCGTTAGCAATTTTCGCCTTCATCCTTTCCGCCCTTTCTCTGGCTCGTCGATCCTCGTGCATTTTTCTAGATAAAAACGAATATATAGGAAAAAATAGAGGTGCTAACGATCCCATACCTGAACTTTGCAAGATCTAATCCGCCCATGGCTCCAAGAGTTGGAGCTCGTCTTCTAGGAGTTTGTGGCTTTTCTTGCGGATGCACATGCTCCCCGTCATGGGCGGCAAGATCAGAAATGGTGCGTTTACGGACATGCGCAGGCACTTCCATCTAAATTTTGACATAAGGTGTGTTTCATCGTTTTGTTGGGCAGGCGCTTACCCGGACTGTCTTCTTAGGTTTCTTTATCAATCGGAAGCTTTCTTGGACATTTTCACACCATTCTTCTTTAGATTCCTTAGGTATGTGAGGGAAAGAGCAGACAAGCAATCGAAAAGCTGGCTCCATATCCTGAAATATTTTTTAGGCATAAAATATCGCTTAAATATCGCTAACATCGCTTTTTATACACATTTTTGAACAATCAAAATTACCTGAAATACCCTATATCCATGACCATGATGATGTTCCTTGTGAATTCTTTCCAGATGTTTCTCGACTTTCTCCACGAATGTAAAGAAAATGTCGTACAGCTGAGCATAGATGCTAGTATTTACTATACTGACTAAAGCCAGACCCAGAAGAAAAGCACCAGCCAAGAATGGTGAATACTGAAACACAAAACCATTTTCAAGTTTGTTTTGCGCTTATAGTGCGTCTCTGTGCGGCATGGACGCTGCGCAGCGTGAGCGGCGCGGTTCCGTCGCGGCTATCACTGCATCTCTCAAAAAGTGTAATTTCTTGCAACCAACCTGTATATTGAAGGGCATAACATCGCCTAGGCCTATAGTGGTTAGACTAATAAATGTAAAATAGAATGCGTCAGGAAAGTCGATGCCTAGAATACCACAGTTTGATTTTAAATAAAGAATTAGTATCTAAACTGACCCGGCTTATTCCCTTCATTATGATCAAACCAGTGTATAGCAAATGTACAGCTTACAATGTAGGCCAACACCAAGGGTAGCGCAATCCACATTGGTAGAAAAATTTCATCAAGAGGTGTATCGAACTTCTTTTTCCGAAAGCTTCTAAAATAAAGTTTTTGCTTTGATATGTAAATGGAGATATTTGCGCTTACTTCCATCTCAACAAGCAGTAAATGTAGCTCCTTGTCAGAATTTTTTGGAACCATTCTCCTATGTCGCCCAAAACCACTAACATCAATGGTATGCCAATACACGCGTACACAACAGAGAGGGCACGTCCCCAAAAGGTTTGGCAAACGATTGTACCTGAAGGAGAAATTACATCTTAGCAGATTTGACGGTTACTATAGTGTAATTGGTTGCCGACAACATTTTTGAGTAAACAATGCCAAAGTGCGCTCTATGGCCAATTTCAACACGAAAGTGGCAAGCGAACTGCAGGCATTACAGGCTTGTCATTCGTTTCCGCGCAAATGTTGTCGTCACCGCAGCGGCACTACATTAACTTCATATTAACTACTACATGCACTTACCGTAACCAATCGTTGAAAACAATGTCATAGCGTAAAAAGTAGCGCTCGAGTAGTACCACATCAAATGCATGTCGAGATTTTCGGCTTTGTGCCAAACGCTGCCATGAAAGCGGCCTTCTGCTTCTAACATGGTTTTGTAGTATATCTGAGAAAGATTAGAAATTTTACTTCTTTCAGAAATAATTTTTTCCCGCAGAAATTCAATAATCCCTTTGACAATGAAATTTTTAGTGAACTTCCGAAAACTGAAAAAACCAATAAGGGAAAACAAAAAACTATTGTTTCTCAGCAGAGGAATTTTTTTGAGCTCCCACTTTTGAACTAAGGAAGTACAAATAACATCGAAACACTTGAGATCCCTCCCATAGCGCATGAAATATTTTTATTTTTTTGTATAATCCTTTTCGTAGAGATTCTCTGATTACTTTCTCTGCATGACATTTAGATAATTACTGTACTTCTTACTGCTTGCATTACGATCTTGACCAAATGTTTCGATTTCATTTATCAAAAAATATTCTAGAAAAACGGAATAAGGAAAATGAGGAAGTAGAAAACCCAAACTTCTTTTCAAAATTTGGATTGGAAATTGCAGAATAACAAATCTTTGCGAAGGGTCTGAATCACCCATTTTCTGTTGATCTACACTACGATATTCACGAAATGACAAGCGAAAAAAAATTGAAAATTTCACGATAGAACCTACCTTAATCATTTTTGCAAGTTGTTCATCTCTCTGTGTTCCATTAAAGGATAACGTTACATTAATCACATCTACAGTCATTTCAGCTATGATACCTTGCATGAGCACAATAGTTTCTTTGAGATCCTGGAGGATAATGATTTTTTTTGTGATTCTGTCCAAAGCAAACAATGAATAAACTATACAGTAATTTCATTTGGAGATTCAAGCCTCCAAAATATAGCACCGCCAATAAATACATAGGCTGCTAATAACATGACTAGAAAAATATGTCGAATACCAAATTTATGGTGATAATATGCGATCCATGAAAACCATTGGGTAATTTCTGAAAACTGTTCATCTTTGTGATGAATTTAGAGAAAAAGGTGAGCTACGACTCACTTTGGCGACGAATTTGTTTCTTGCGCTCTTTGTAACGTTTATGGTCCATTTCGAAATGAAATCCAAATGGTGATATGTTATTTACTGAAGTCATATGAGTGTCAATTTTGAGAATAATACAATTGTCGCGATCCTAAATCATTTGTAGGGTTATATCCAGGCAAGATATTTTTCATGGACAAAAAGATATACTGAAAAAATTAGAATTGTAGGAGTAGGATTGAAATATAGCAATTCTTGCAGAAAATCCATCAAAACAATTGAGAAATGAATATGATAACAGGTTATCTGATGACTAGATAATATAAAATGGATCAAATACAGTAACCCCAACCTTGAGATGATTCGTGACGATACGATTTCTTGTCTGCAGCTCATTTTCAGCTCCTAAAAAGGCAAAAGCAAATCAGCTGCTTCACTTCTACTACTTACGTATTTCAATCTGAGCCATGGCCTCGAGAATACAGTCACCCAGGTGCCCCAGAGGTTGGCAGCCGCACCAAAAGTCAGAATAGCACCTCGCCATCGTTATCGGCACAGCCAGACAATTAACGCAAGTTTATGCTATTTTTATGGAAAGTGAGCTGATATCCAAGAATAGGAATATCACCAATGATATATCGGTTTCATTTCTATAATTAGCAGTTCATAGTTTAGAAACTATTAATTAGAATGTACAGTACGCCACCGCTGGCAAAAAAAATATTCTATGGAACTTTTAGCACTTCCTAGCCGGAATTCACTACTAATCTTAAGATTTGATGTATCGATGATACGTCCTTATTTGCTACTTCAACACCTCTACATTTTTTCTTAATTTCATTACAAGCCAGCAGCGCTTCCTTCTTTTTATTCACTCACATAAATACTGCCTCCACACTCTGTCCCCTGCGAACAAACTTGTACTATTGACAATGTTTATTACACAAATCAGAAATCGATCAATAAATTACCGTAACACATTTTTTTTACAAATTCTGCATTCAAATACTGCATCCACAGAAAAAGAGGATCACGAACGAGACTGCATTTGTTCAGCTTACTTGCATTGCATCAAGGTTACGGTGTACCATTTGTTCTTTAAGGATGAGATGAGAAACCTAAAAATGTAAACAAGTTTTTTTTTTGAGAACTCTATCCATAAGAAATATCAACTATAAATGTCAAATGTTGCCCATTCTCGTCCTTCTCTCTCCTCCCTCTCTTTCTCCTCCTCCTCCTTTCCACTTTCTCCTAAACAAGGCCTTGTTTGGTAACTCCTACCGTCAGCGACTAGAATTTAACGATCCAAAGAATGGCTGACCTCACACAGTAGCGGCTCAGTCATTAACGCTCCAATAAAAATCTTCGTAGTGATAAGAGCAGCACAATTTATGAAGCTCGAAACGGTGGCACAAGTTCTACGACAGGGAAAGCGAAACGAAAATAAAAAAGGTGGGTGAGAATATCATACTCATTAAATCATGACAGCAAACGAAACAAGATAGATCTACATCCATAATGCTTTGATTTTCAAACAGTCTCGATAGATTCGAAATAGGTGCAGGTACTTCCTACCCCCCCCCCCCTCCGCCCCATCCCATCATTCTCTCATCAGTCAAAGTTGTCAGTTTTGACCAATTGTTCCAAAATAGCATCAACCAATCGAGCACTTGTCGTTTTATGAGTTTTTCAAGCGATAACCGTTTTTAGCATCCTTATGGACACCTCGTCAGAAAAAAGATGGCTAGGTTATTTTATCTTACGATAAGCTTGAAATGTGTCATAAAACCGCCAAAGCACCACAAAGTTCGGATGCACCCAGTGAACCCAGCCAGCACCGAACATAACTCCGTAAGGAATACCTTATTCAACGTTTCCGTGAGTTTATGGACGTTGCTGGCCCATTGATCCAACTGTTCCAGATTTGCCTTTCGTGCTCTAAGATTCACAACACGAGATGGGCGGTGGATTTTTGCGTCTGTAATTCCACCCGTCACAATGAGATTGCAAAGGAACGCCTCCATGTCCTAGAACATGTAATTAGAGAACGTATGTGAAAAGATGACTCGTTATATGATACTAAGGCCATAATTATAGAAATGGTAACACAATATGGACGAAACGTTCAAAGGCTTTTGAAACTGTATACAGCTTACCCAAAGCATTATCATCAATGAACCAAGTAATTTCTACGATATTGTGAACGATAAGCGAGGATCAAAAGCGGGAATGGAAAGAAAACAAAGCGAACAAGCTTTTAAAAACGTACGTTCAGAGGGAAATCCAGTAGCTCGGCTAATCGATCAAACGTAATTTGCGTGTAGTATTTTGAGATCATACGCATATTCTAAAAACAATAAAGCAGTAATATTCGAATAGCCAAAAACTTCCTCAGAACTCACATGCTCTCCAACTCTCATATGTAGATCTTTCCAACGCTTTTCTCCATCTTTTCCTTCGAAGATCTGTTGATATAGTCATCGTTAGCGTATATAAAACTTAGAAAAGAAAGCTCACCCCAGTTCCCGGAGTTTTCTTCAAGGTTTTTTCATAATGTCGCACAATTATGTTCTGCCAAGAGATCAACTCTTGATTAATAAACAGCTCCACGAGAGACTAAAACAGCAAAACTAGGTATGCAAAAGTAATAGAAAAGGAAAATGAAGTGACTTACTTTGTATTCAGGTACAAGCTCTAGTTCTCTCATAATCGCTATACGGTTCAGCAAATCCCATTGTTCATTACTGTGTGGCGCAAGTAAGCAGTACATCACAGCACATTTGAGTACCTGAGATGGCTTTGTAAGCTATTTCCACGAGATGCATAGCAAGACTAACCATGCGAGACTTATCTGTGTCCGCAGAAATCTTCGGGGTGTCGAAAATGGCTCTAAAAAATCAAAAATTTGGTGGGAAAGCGTCGTAACCAAAGAAGGAATGTTTTGCGTTCAAAAGAATTTACTCTACGGAAAAAAACAAACAAGATGTGACAAAAAGAGGATGGTAATATGGACGAAAGGCTGTAGATTTTAGAATAAGCCCTCACCTGTAATGCCTGCAAACCTCCAAATACTTTGAGTCTTGTAGTCCGATCGTTATCATCAGATAATAAAAGCGAAGTTTTAAGTCTTGCACCTAAACGCACAGCTTTCAGACGCCAAAGCCTGCCAAAAAAATATAAACAGTACCTCTACGCTATCGCTATTGAAGAACTTCGTACTGATCTTATTCGAGATGATGTGTGCTCTTATGTAGTCTTGTCTCGCAACACAGAGGCGCATCTGCTCCAACAGAAATTCCACCTGAAAACACAGAATATGATTGAAAAAAATATCAAGAAAAGGCTGATAAACACACCTTTTCTTTGATCTCCATCGATCCATAAGTCTCAACTTGCAGCTCTAGAATCAGATTTGTCGCCTCTTCCAGCTTACCTTCTGCTTCGAGTTTCTTCACCACCAACGATGTGAGTCGAGCTCTTTCTACTTCGACATAGATCTAGAGAACGATAAATTGTCTTACACAATCAGAACTCCAAAACACTTTCTTCATTCTTTCTTCATTCTTCATTCTTCAAAATCAGAATCAAAACCAAATCTTCACTAACAAGAAAAGAATTTGAGAAAAAATTTCAGCGAGATAAACTGTACGAAACCTAAAAAAACGACAACAGCACCAACCTTTCCAGCGGTGACTGTACGAAGTGTATCAACGAGTTTCATTTTAAGCTCTTCATTTGGCATCTTCTCCACCATTTCACAGGCATCGCGGACCTGAAGCAGATTACAAATTACATAGAAAAACTGGGAATCAAACAGCAGTTAAATCGATAATCACCATTTTAGCAATGGCCATCTTAATAATGAGTCGTTTTTTGGACAGTGTCAAGATGGTGTCGTTCAGAAGATCCCATTTCTTTCCATCGAAGCACAATTTCACCTATAATGAAGATATTAAAGGAGATGAACCTTCCATATTGAAAGATGTAAACACACCATGTGCTGTACAATTCTTGTATTACTCTTCATATCAGATCCCAGTCGAGATAACTTCTCTAAGTTTGCAAGCGAGTCCAGTGCTCCAGCAACGTCTCCTTTCTGAAAGCAAATGAATAAGGGGGAATGTCAGAAAAAGGAGTTACGGATCTTACCGCCGCGATTGCATTGGCTTTGGGAATGGCTTCATCCACTTGACTTTCATAGTCAACGTCCATCTTGAACAGTCTGCCATCCCCAACCTGGAGAGGAAACCTGGATGAAACTCGATACGAACCAGTATAAGTAAGTCGATTACCTGAGCAGCAAGATGTGCCATCAGCTCCTGATCCGTTCGTGCACCAGCCTTGATCGGCTCCACTTTTACTGCTTTACCTTCCATTCTGAAGAGCTCGGTCACAAATCGTCAATATTTTGCCAAAAGCAGACTAGAAGCAAATTTAAATAGCAAACCAAAGGAAAAAATATGAGTACTCCTGAGTAGATTATAATCTAAACAATGGTAATAGCCTCCAGTGAAGGGTAAAACGCGAGAGTGAAAGTCACACAAGAACCGCTGAAATTTTAAGGATGACTTAAAAGATTTCCGCAATTGCGGACTTCGAAATTGCAGTCGCAGCGCCGCGTCGCGGGCGAAACTTCCGCACTCGCACGTGTTCGCGCGAGGATTTTGGACGACTTTTTCGGGCTCGAAAGAGCGCGGGAAAACGGGGTTCTTTTGAATGTTTTGAATTTTTTTCGTAACTAATTGTTTTCCTAGTTGATTCCACTTTCATCAAAGTATCCTTCATTCTAGCTGTGCTGCTATCCACCTGTTTTCAAAACGAGTCACTTCTAATTCTGCTATAATTGAATTGCTGTGAAGATAAATTGGAATACTTAATGACTGATTAGAATCAGCAAGTTCGCATCCTTATTCATTCGCACTTTTGAAAAAATTGTAGAAAAATGCGGGGGTTTCCTGCCATTCATGCTCTAAAATTACTTGGGATGGAATTTTGTGCGGTTTTTTATGGCTACCTAGGACTATTTCCGAGCGCGTGGAAAGGAAAGCTATTAACCTTTCTAAAATCCCTCGTTTCTCCTATTGATTAGTGTTGAACAGTTCATTAAGCCATGGAAAAGTTTAGTTCAGATTACTTTATTTTTTCGGCAATGTTGTGGATTTTTTTGCACTTTGTGAAACTTTCCATTCGCAGAACTATTTTTTCTCTATCCTTCTGGTTTTGGAAGCATCTCGAATTTGCGATTTTCTCACACTCTTTACATACTACACCGCATTTGCAGCCGTTTTGTGCAAGTCTTGAGGTGTCGCTACAAACCTTTTTTACCATCACGTGATTGTCATGCGAAAATAATATTAAATGGGCGTTTTTTTTTTGTTCGACTATCTCCAGTAAAGTCTTATGTTCAGACTTGACCCCTTCATGACTTACGAAAGTCATCTGCAGGAGTAAAGTGCATCTAAGCTGTTTACTCGTGTATCCTGCCACAAAATCGATTTCTGCTCCATTTCTCTTCTCTTTTCTAGCAAAAGTCTCGCATAGTTCCATTGTATCCATTTCTAACACCGATGAAGCTCGTTCATTTGCACTTCTGCCATATCCAGTACCCTGAACGGCTGCATTTCTGCTATTTTGCTTTATCGCTGCGATTTTTCTGATTCTACTCGGTTGATTTAGCATTTCAGCCTTTCAGGTGATGGCTTCCCGCGTCAACATTTGCTCAGTTGAAATACTGGACAATCCATCTACGTTCACTGCACAATTCAAACTCGAAATCACTTTTGAAGTCTTCGAATACCTCCCTCATGGTAAGTGATACACAAGATTTTGATAAAAAAGCTGGCTCTAAAGCTTCCTCCAGCAGCTGTTTTTTAAATATCGATTGCGGACGAAGAGGGCCTGTGCGGTGGCAGTCAAGTACTTCCGCTTCTATCTCTGTACTAGTCAACAGTCAAAAATTTGGTGTTGCGAACAGTGAAAGAATGTTGAAAATATTGGGGGGCAAGCGTTATGGAGCAAAGCTAAGCCGCATTTCCCTGCGGTATATCCTGAGGGCCATTTGCGTTGCGTCGCCTTTAATTGCGCAGGAGTAACGCTGCTCCTGCCACCGGATTGAGCCATTTCCTATTACTACGACCAGATATGTTCAAAACAAATGCAGTAAAGGAAACAAAGAAGACTGCAATCTAGAAAACAAAAGAAAACGGATGAGTTTTAGAGATGAATCAAAGGCTCAATCTGGGATGATCCCATGCTGGATATGAGTTAAAAGTGTTCAAGAGAAGTGGAACACACTAGTAGAGAAAAGAAAAGAAATTCTCCGTCAATAACTTTCCAAGAAAATTATCTCATCTTTTACTTTCTCTTGCCTTGCTTTGCAGACTCCTTCCTCATATTCTTTATTTGAAATGCGTTAATCATTCACATTTTGATCTCGTTATCTACAGAGGGTGAGGAAAATGGCATAATCCACTCGGTAGCGTTAACTCCTCTGCGACTGCAATTAGGAGCGACGCAACGCAAAGGGCCCTCAGGATATACCACAGGCAAATGCGGCGTACCTTTGCTCCATAACGCGGCGCCGCCGAAAATATTCCATTTTTGCTTTCCCAAATCGCGCAGTGTAAACTATTGATTACTTGCGCTCATGTCTCCCTTGTCGAAATAACGTCTCATCACCGATGCCTTGATTTTCTTTTACAGAACTTTTTGATGTTCTTTCGCGGTCAAAGAAAAGAATATTCTATCTTGTCTTGATGCTTCATCGGATCACATCAATAGCACTGTAGTCTCTGCTCAGAAGATTTATGTTTGTTGCCATGAAATTGTCGTGTAGTGATGAACTTTTATATTTCTGTTTCTGTCTCAAGAATTGTGTGTTTTAAGCCAGTGTGATTTTTATAAGCTAGGAAATGGCCATTGAGTAAAATTCTTCGGATCTTCTCTATCTCAGTTTAGGCGCAAGGCGGTAATTTTGGAAATAGTCGATATTCGCTGAGTAATTTTTGCAAATCCGAAATGCTGCTGGTATTTCAGACCTACCCAATCTCATTTTGCTGGCTTTGACCTCGGGAATAACATTACATTTACAACTTCAAACACTACTGATCAGTATCTGTCTTCTTGTTTTCAGACCTCGAATGGGAACTGATTTATGTCGGTTCAGCCAAGTCAAGTTCCTATGATCAGGTTCTTGATTCAGCACTTGTTGGACCTGTGCCAGAAGGCAGACATAAATTTGTTTTTGCGGTTAGTTTGTGACACTGCTATTACCATTGTGATTTTCCACATATCCTATCCAGGTAGACGCTCCGGATCCAGCAAAAATCCCCATTCAAGACCTTGTTGGGGTTACCGTATTACTCCTCAGATGTAAATATAATGGGCAGGTAAGATGGCTGAAATCCTTTGGAAGTGTTGATCAATTTTATATTCTAGGAATTTATAAATCTGGGATGGTTCGTGTCTAACGATTATGAAGATCCGGAGCTGAAAGAGAATCCACCAGCGAAGCCGATTATTGAGAAAGTGAGTGAAATCGTGTAAATATTCATAGTTTGATATAACTCAAGAATTCCTTTTGTTGATGCTGTTCAAACTCTTTTGATTTTTGTTCTATATGAATTCACTCTTGAGTTTGCATATTGTGGTTTCACCAAAAATTGTATTTACAGCTAACTCGTACGGTACAAATAGATGACCTTCGTGTAACCTCATTCCCAATAAAATGGGATGAGAATCAACCTGATGAATATCCACCCGAGCCAGAACAGGCTGAAATAGACGAAGCGGAATTGCTTCCTCTTGAAGATGTCGACGACGAGGAGGAGAAACAAGAGGAAGAGGTGAGCAGCAAATGTTATGATCTGCCATATTGCTTCTTATATATATTTTTTTCAATAAAGGAAGAGGGCGAAGGTAACGAGGGCGATGTCGATTTGGAGCAGAGTATGGAGAATGATGAGGCAAAGGATGAAGACGAAGAGGAGAAGATCGATGAAGCAGAGGTTGATAACGAAGGTGAAGGAGACGAACAGGATAAAGCTGCAGGTAAATAGATTTGTTTCTTTGCTATCGCCGTCAGTCCTTTCAGATTTTGAAGTGTTATAGAGGATGTGGAAATGACCGAAGATACGCCGGAAAGTTCAGGAAACACTTCAGCAGCGGAAAATGTCACCGAAACCGATTCCACGAGCAAAGAGGGTAAAAGCGAGGCTAAAGAAGCTGGTGATGCCCCATTTTCTGATGTAACAAATGATGCACAAGTAGCTCAGTAGGCTATTTCGCCATTATGCGTTCACTTCCGGTACAGTACATGATACGGTCTTTCTTTTGAGAACCTAATCGCTTCCATATCATCACTTATTCCATCATAACGCATCACAGGATTCGGGCCCCATTTAAATCTACACAGTCGGCTGCGCGGGCGGTCGCGTCGCGCGCGCAGCTTTTGTCACCGGGTCACGCTTGGTGGGTCACATCATGATGACACTCATGCCAGAAAACCACTTCATGCTTTCTTCGAGAAATTCACTCTAGCGGTGAGAATAATAGTGCTGCATTCTTATATTTGACACTGTCACCGACTTAAAGAAGAGTGTGAAGAGTTCATACATCTGCAAGCAAAATGGAGTGATGGTGGACCGAGCTCTCGGCCGACATCTGTGTGATTTTTTTCTTGATTTCTTTGTTAAGTTATTTGCTCATCTAAGTTTAGGCTATGCCAACGAGATCAGATAGCATGTTTCAAGAGTCAAGAATGGATGTTTAGCATGCCCAATTTGCATTTGAGATCTACGCTACCCAGACGAACTTTTTTCACGTCAAAAACCATAGGAGAAAAGGTTGATTAGTTTTGTCTTTTTTGCTCCATTTTAAGGAAGCTCCTCTGGTCATGTTAGCGTTGCTTAGGTTGCTGGGACGCTAATTTTGATGGGGTCATCGTGTTTTGCGTTTGACTCTGGTACAACGTGCACATTCCTGAAGTTATCACGTTTTGTGTCGAAGATATAAGTATAATCTATTCTGAAAAGGAAACTAGAGTACGCTTTGCACATTGTCTCAACAAGCTTTTGTACTTGGTACTTGTTACTTGTATAGTTAGGTACTTGTTCTTCCCTAGTTCAGAGTAGTAAACAGATAGTTAGATCACAAGTATAATCACACAGTCGAGCTTGTTTAGACAGTGTGTGCAAAGCGTGCTCGAGTCTTTTAGTCTCAGAATGTATGATCATCTTCTCTGTGAATAAAATAGTCAGGAATACGGTCGCATGTTTCTGACAGCTAATGAACTATGTCTTTCGAGTTCCAAGTACAGTGATTCGGAGGACGTGCAGGGGGAAGATTGATGGGCGGAGCCGCCCTATGTCCCCGAGTAAGTGTGATGTCCTTCAAGGGATTTCTGTGGCCTTATTTATCAACGAACCCAGTGGGTTCCGGCCCACTGGGTTAGTTGATGAATATCGATTCTACCCTGGAGTAGAATCGATATTTATCAAAAGCACTAACCCAATGGATTCCGGAACCCATTGGGTTCGTTGATGAATACGGCCACTGGAGGTACAAAGTGCCCCTGCGAGGAAAAGCGGCTAGGCTTTGGGAACTCCTGCCACGCCCAGTGATTCAAAGGGAGATGAAGCACATGTACTAACTCTTTAGTTAGACTTGTGCAAAGCATAGTCGTCATCCAAGTCCCAGAATGGACGATAGCATAGCAAACATTTCCAAGCAAAAAGCAAATGGAAACAAACTCAGATCCTAACAGATTAGTTGGCTAGGTGAATGCAAATGAAAATTTCAGTGAATATGCGCTCATATGGAAACAGCAGAAAACTTCTTGATACTAAAGTTTCAAATGCTTTGATCCTCTTAGACATCGCGCTAATCCAGTCTTCGGATCCGATTCGACACTTCTCCGCACTTGAGTTGTCATGTGCATGCCTAGTCAAATTGAGGCGTCACACCCTGAACCCAAGATCCTGCACAGGTTCAAGTAATCGAGAGGTTAAAAGGTGAATATAAAGAAGGTGCAAGTGCAGTAAGGGAAATCAAACTCGGAATGAAAAGCATTCACTCCTGAATGACTTCTATCCTGAATGACAGTGAGATGTTCTTTCCTAAGCGCGACCTGAACAAGCGTGACCCAAGCACACAAAGTAGGTGCGCGACGCGACCGCCCGCGCAGCCGACTGTGTAGATTTAAATGGGGCCCAGGATTCGTACCTCTTTTACTCGTATTTATGAGTGCTTCTTGCGTTTTTTCATTTCGAGATGGATTGCTTCAGAACATTGATGTTGATTTCTTCATTGTGCAGCAATGCAAGCAAATTTGTTTCATTTTCTTTTTTGTCATATTGTCAGTGTAACGTATATTGGCTTCAATACCTATTCTTTTATTAGTAAAGATCTCAGGCGTATTTTGATTTTTTCGAGTGAGTTTTTGCCTAGATTCGGTATCTCTCTGAGGAAGGGTAGGTGCAGATGTGTGGCTCATTTCAAGTGGCTCTGCCTTATCTGGTTGTACCCAAATTGTAACTTACAATCGCCTCCACCGAACTGCGTTAGTTCGCATACTCAGCTCTCGGCTATCTTAGCTGGTCCCGTGGACATACTCGATGCATTTTTTTACACTCTACACTCTATGTCTAAGTCTCTGCGAAGTATTCTCAAGGGTGTGTAAACTCAAATTCTGAAAGTTTTATCTGTTTTATGACAGGAAGGTATGAGATTGCGCATCATGGGTACAGTAGCATCGTGGTTTAGTAACAATGTATTAGATTTTTCCTTTGAGCAGCAGCCATAGGTGCGATGGGATGATCGGGGTCCCTCGAAAGTGAAGGGTGTCCCAGCTGATTTTGACCCCCAAAAGTGAAGGGTGTCTGGAAAGTGCCGGCGTCGACGGGGGGGGGGGGGGGGAATCGAAAAAATTTCAGGCGTCGACCGGTGGGGGGGGGGGAGGTTGAAAAAATGGTGAAAATTATAAAATTATCCAGTTTGAATGGTCAAATTCTCTAAACTGGATTTGTATGGAATATAATTAGTGAAATGTTTATAAGTACATTGTTTTGAATTTATATAAATATTATTTCATTTTCATACACCATACTTCGGCGAGAGGATGCATGTTTAGGTGGGTGGAACGTGTACTGTTGTAGATGTGATTTCGACCGAAAATTACAATGCAATGGCAGATAGTCGAGGCTTGGAAGGTGCTGAATGAAGTTTTACCTGGAGCGTACAAATGTGGATAATGTTAATAAGAGACTCCGCGATGATTAGGAATTATTGTTGCAAATAAACCCGTAAGTCGGTATCTATGGAGTGCAATAAAAAAATTTGTTGTTCAATTGTGTCCACTTGAAGCAGAATAAACATACACAGTGTAGCACAGTGATAAGACTAGTTTATTTGATGTCAGGAGAAATTCCTAGGGCAGTAAAGTTGAAGCTACGACATTGACGATAATTGAGCAAGGTCACTTTTTCTAACTTGTGTAACTTGCAGTAGATCGCTTTCTAGTATAACTCTGGTTTAAATGGGCTAAAGCCAATTTTGAGCTAGATTCGGATTCTAGCCTTCAAAAGCTAAACAACGATATATAATTTGTGAGTTCAATATCTTTGCCAGGTGAGATAGTTTCTAGAGGTCCATCGGACCCCCCCCCCCCCCCCTCCAGATCAGAGCCCCATATCTCCACGGTGGGGGCATTTCGTGATTTAAATTTTTTTGCATCTTCAAGAGGGAGGTCCATTTAGTATTACATATACCCTCGCAAAGAGATTCCACTAGAGCGACTGACTTAAATTCCAAATTTACCTGCGTTTTTCAAGTGCCTTTTATTTCTTGCTGTAACTCTCCTTCAGTATATCCGATCTTTCTGCGAGGGTACAGGTGAGACTCAGTAAACCTCCTTCTGTAAGGTGCAGAAAAAACTGAAGCATGAAATGCCCCCATCGCCGAGATATGAAGCTACAAAAAACCCATCGAAAATCGATTTTTTAAATATAACTTTTATATAAGTAAATAAATCAAAACGGGAATAGTATAGGTGGATTCGTCTCCTCAAGAGCTTTCGAATAATATATAACATGTGGGGGTTTGATGCTTCCGGGTTGCGGGAAGGGGGGTGATCGGGCTCAGTTCAGGGTGATCACCTGCCGGCGCCTCTCCAATGCATTAAGGTGGCGGGGGTGATCACCCTGAACTGAGGCCGATCACCCACCCTCGCAGGGCTTAAAAAACATAGGACCACCACATGCTGTACATCAATCGAGAGCTCTTGATGAGTACAATCTACCTATACCCTTCTCACTCAAATTCGTTCACATACACACAAGTTATTTGCGAAAAATCGATTTTTGGAGGCGTGATTTCTGCTCTATTTGCAACTTCATAACTCTAAGAGGAATACTTTTTAGGATCTACTTTTTTTCTATATGGTAGAGGAAAGGTTCCTTATTAACGCCTATACTCTCGCAAGATGACATTCTGCAACTTACTCAAGTTATACTGACTCAAAAGCTGACTTTTCTTGAATATGGCCAACATCGTGACTGCAACTGTACTGCCCTGAAAATTTCTCCTGACATCATTTGTACTATTTTTATCATTGTTCTGGACTCTATATCTTTATCATGCTTCAAGCGAACACAAATGAACAACAAATTCCTTTATTGTACTACATAAATACCGACATAAAAATTTTTTGCAAAAAAAATATAAATTCATGATCAATGCAAGGTCTTTTATTAACATCATTCAGACCAATATTCTCCAGGTAAATCTGTCCATCAGCGCCTCTAAAATAAATGCCATTGTCCGCTGCCCATGTTATTGTCGGTCGAAATCATTTTTATAAGATTCTGCGTTCGATCCTTCCAAAAATGCATCTGTTCATTGATATTTTTGTAATTGTGCAGTAATTCCTCACCTTGAAAAAAATGGTCCGACCTCCAAAGTGAAGGGGGGGGGGGGGGTGAACTTTTGCTCACCCCATCGCACCTAGGTATGGCAGCAGCTGTCTAAACAACGAGTAGTAAGCTTGAAAGCTGAAAATTTCTCTTACTGGCCGCTCTGCAGCCGCGCGCACTCCTTTTGCCAAGGTTCGAGCGCGAAAGTGTCAACCGCACCTATCCCTTCCACAGATCACCCAATCTATTTGGGTGGACCGTAGGTCACGGTAGGTATACGGTAGTGAATCAAAAAAATAGAACTCGTTGCTTCTGGTCGCGGATAGCTATCCATTCATTACGGTAGCCTTGTAATGGAGATTACGGTAGATGTGTGATGTGGCTTACAGTTCAACTTCACAGTAAGATGAGTGTGACAGGCAAAGGCTGCTGCATGGCGAAGGCGCAGAAGCGGTATTAGTTGAGCGGGCGCGAACGCGGCGC